ACTATATGGGAATGATGCAAGTTGCAGTCTAACTCATCTGAGGTGGAGGAAGGCTGATATATCCTTGCTGACACCTTTGAAACCCTGCAGGGGGTTGGTGGTGGGGAAGCCACTTGGATTAGAAGCAGAGAAATGGCATGCAGGAAGGACGCTTAAGCACCCTTTGCACTGCTTCTGTGCTTTCAGTGGTCTCCTTCCAAGCCTATTTTTAATACAATACATATCATACATGGCTATTGTTACCTCCTAAGTTTGGGGTGTGGAATCATGATGTTTGTATCAGGTAGCGAGGTCAGCTGCATTGGGCAGATAGATGCTTGATGGGTCAACCAAATAGAAACTCAGATATGGTGCATCCCTGAACTTTCCTACTCTGCTGTTGTCTGGACTCTCTGATAGTAGGCCAAGAGGGCCATTCACGGATTGTGGAAGTCAGCAATACCCTTTCCATGCTGAAGACCCAGAAATACACTCAGATGAAACGGACCATCCCCCAAGAAAAGGAGGCAAGTACGATATTGCACAACCAACAACAGAATTTATGAAATCAATCCTAACCTAATTACTAAAATGTCTCTGAAAGAGACAGCCCAGCTGCTGTCAGTTTGGTATTCAGGGCTGACCTTTCTGGCTACCTGCCCCAGAAAACATTGCCAGTTTTAATAAGCCTACTCCCATAGCTATGAGCAAGACTAATTGAACTGTACAGCAGAGCTGTTTTTAATCAGCCAAAAACAGCCCTGCCCTTTACCTCCTTTGCTTCTCCTGCAACGTGCTTCTGCATTCATCAACAAGGAGCAATCCAAACTTAACAAGGAGGTGTATTCAGATGACCCTGCACGTCACGCAACTGGTACATGACAGCTTTTCTGCATAGAGCCTACAAAAGTAATGCATGCAGCAAATTATTTCTAAAAGATGCCATGTCAGATAAATTATCTGCAGTTATTTCTGTGGAAGTTTGCTTCCATTATGTGTTGACGTTTGGTTTATCCTTTATACATATAGCTGCTGTCCAGATGAAAATTCTAAATGGATCTTGCCCATGAAAAGAAAAGTAAATGCAGATATTGTGCATGCTTATGATCCAAATATTGGTTGGCCAGTGAGGGGTTTTAAATTTGCATCATCCTGTTACTGATCCAGTACAATGTAGAGAACTGTTTCTATCCAACTTCTTCCAGGCACATCTGGCCTGGTTTCACCCTTTGCCATGTGTTCCATATCTCGTTTGTAAATCTTTATAAAATATTGGGTGATAACTAACAGTACTCTGAGTGCAAGCAGCCTCAGTGATAAGGTGTCTCATCCCCATTAGCAAGGCATCAGCACACAAAGAACCCAAACACCTGCATGAGTTTAGCCATGGGGGAGGCGGCCAGGACAATCAATCCTTTTCTTTCTCTTCTCATGTTAAGTAACAGTGAAGAAATAACTATAAATAAAAATATGAATTCCCCACACTGCATATAAATAATATTTTTTAAAAAGAGCAAGGCAGACAGCAAGCAAAGATGTAAGGGCTATTCACAGTATTGCACAGTGTGATGCATGTATGAGTATCTGCCAGCTGGACACAAGTCTTGGGTATGAGCTCTGTGAACGCATCTCCTGGCTCCCTTGTAATAAAGCTGTGTCCTTGAAGCCAAGGTGGTTGGTGTGGAGCTTTACCTGAAATTGGGTGTTTTTGCCCCAACATGCTTCACTTTACACTTGCTTGAACTGAATCACCATTCCCAGAGTTTGGAAAGATCCTTCTGGATCGATTTGCATTCCTTTTTAACCCTCTAAATTGAGTGTCGCCAGAAAACTTGGTCACATCACTGCTAACTCCTAATTCTGGATCGTTTATAGGATCCAAATACAGATCCCTGCAGGACCATGCTATTTACGCCCTTCCATTGGAGGATGCACCATTGATTCCTACTCCCTGCTTTCTGTTCTTGCACCAGTTACTCGTCCACAAAAGGAACTCTCCTCTTATTCCATGACTGCTAAGTTTGCTCAGGAGTCTTTGATGAAGGGCTTTTCAAAAGCCTTTCTAAAGTTGAAATAAACAATGTCTACCAAGTCATCCTTTCCACACATTTACTGACACCCTTAAAAAAATTCTGAATAATTAAAGAACGCATAATCTTTCTGGAAACCATGTTGATTTTTTTGTCCCAGCAGGACATGGCCTTCTATATGAAATAATATAATGATGAAATTTTTTATTCTAGCACTGGAGAGAGCCCTTGCAATAATTTATTCTGTCTATTATATACGTTATTTAAAATGATGAGTAGTAATGAGCTGGTTAGATTTTTTTTCAGTGTTACAGCTGCTGTCTGAAAAGAGGAGAATCTGTCTAAATCCATTTGACATAAAAAAGAGAGAATAAAACAAAACATACCTCTGAAAGGTTCTGTAGTTTGAGTTTCTGCACAGATATAAATGCAATTTTAATGCTTTCTCATCTTAGCAAAGCAGAATATTTAATTGGTTGCAGGAAATATTTGCTTTCCAATGGCACACACTCCCTTGTGAACTATAGCAGTGATTTCCCATGGTAATAAATGACTTAGGAAGCAAAACCTGAATAAGAAGTTTGGCTTGCCTACATTTTTGTATGATTTGGTACTAATGGGCGTTCTTCCCACACCTTTTTGCTTAGTTTTGTCTTGTATTAATAGCAGGCAATCCAAATCCAGACTGATGCTTATCACCAGGCCTGAGATTTGTGGCTGAAGCAAAGAATAAAATGCTACCCCCCCCCTTCCTAGTTCATGCATAAAAGCTGACTGGACAAGCAGAGGAATCTGTCTTCAACACTGACCTTGAAGAGCATCTTCCACTGCAGCTGAAGCTGTAGGATAATTAGGCAATGCAGAGCAGGTCACATGGCACAGTCTTTTCCTCCATGACCCTTTTTCTGCCTTCTGGCATCTGTTGCCTGCTCTCCCTAATGGAAGTGCTAGCTTTGCCCTTAGGCAGCAATTGGGAGGTGTCTGCCACGAAAGCACTGTGCTAATACAGAAAGGGAGGACTCCCTTCTCCCTAGTTGCAAGTTTGGCACACTCACTACTGCCCTTGCCTAATCTATTGGCCCTGCAAACTCCATGGCTTCCTGGACTCATTCTGAGCATCCTCATTACTGCTCCCCACACTGGTCTTTTGACCCTGCAAGCTTTATGTGTTCATACTGCAAATATGCATCTGGTGCACATGCTCAGTACTGTTCCTGTTTTGGCAGGCAGTGCAGGAAGGATGGAGGGAGGGAGTCTTCTTTACTGCTGAACACATAGGCAGATCTGGCTCCCCTGCTTTCCCCAGGGTCTGAATTTTTATTCCAAGCAGGTCTTCCTGTGGGGTTCCCATAACCACTTGAGTCAGACTGTAAAAGGAAGAGACATTGTGCTCCTGTGCAGAGAACAGGTCTTTTCCCCCCTAGCTTTTCTTGAAGTCACAAGATGGAAGCTTCAGTGGCTTGGTCTTAAACAGCAGAGAATGGCCAAAGAACGTTGCTGTGCCTGAGAATGGTGAGGGGAGCTGGGTGGCAGCAGGAAGCTGGAGCTGGTGAGCATGAGCAATGCAGGGCAGGCGTTGGTGTACGTGCATGTGTCACTGGGATGAAAGTATTTTCCCCCGGGGTGACTGGATGTGCGAAGGTGTGTGGGTGTATTAATTTTCGCTCATAAAAGCAATTGAGTCAATTTCTTTCTTTTTGCAATATGCATTGTAGCTGGAAAAATAAAGGGGCTCCAAAGGAGTACTTTTGTGCAGCTCTGTGAATTATACTACATGCAAAAGGAGTTTTGGATGCTCTCAGAATTTGCTCCATAGAGAGCTTTTCTGTGTGACTCTGAGATGATTTTGTCAGCTTTCTTCCCACCACCACCCTTTTCCACTTATGATCTTGATTCCCTTGGCACTCAATTCCCTGTGCTAGAGGGGCTGAGTTTTAAACAGGAGAATGTGGGGCCACAAAAACGTACAGTTTGATCTATTCCCCCTTTCTTTGCACTACAGATGTCCATCTGCCTCAGTTTCCCTTCTGCAGTATTGGGTGCAGGCTGCTGTTCTGCCCCTGGTGACCCTGTGAGCCACTCCACCTGCCCACCAGGAACCAGCAGCCACTGGTATGATGCTGAGACAAGAATGTGGAGGCTGCCCTCAGTCTACTAATAACTCCTTCCTCTTTTGAATCTCTTGAAAACTGACATTTAATTAGCATCAATAGCACACTAAGCAATGAACAGAAAAAAGTCCTATAGTCCCTGTCAGGCAGTCTTACTCAAATCATAGACCTGTGGCATTTGCCTAGCATCTTATTGCAGCCATGCATTTGATAGTTAAGACAATGGAGTTGGCTCAAAATAAAGGAATTTTGCAACCCAGGGGTGGCCAAGATCATCCTCATTCTAGCGAACTGTTTTTCCCTCATCATTCTGTAGCCTTGTAGTGTTCCCAAAATGATCATTGTGCTCATTCTCAGAATCCAGTAATGAAAATAGAGGATACAGTACATTGAAGTAGTTGGGAGACCTTTGGGTGAAATGTTACAAAGCTTAGGAAATTGGTTTAGAAGAAAACAGTTTTGTGAAATCCAGTGCACGGAAAGAAAAAATTACAAGCCCTTCAAAACCAGATATTAGAACATATTCGAAATTGCTTTTAGCCAGTTAGTCAGCAGGTGAAGATTTTCACAGCATGGAGATGAACATCACCTGCTAAGCAGAAGGGGTGGGGAGCTGCTGAAGGGGTGGCTACTTTAGTGCCACAGCACTGTACCAGAAGAACACGCTTGCAACATTGCCAGGGCATTTTCAAAGCAGACAAGAATTAGTTTGGGGTCACAAAACTTCCTTCTCGCCTGCAGTATCTGTAGCTTGCAATGCTAAAAATCTAGCATCATGTGTTTTTATACCAAAGCCTTGTAAAAATTAATAAATCAATACTATAAAATGGCAATTAAGAGTAGAACACTGTATGTCAGCAGCATATTTTTAAAGGCTAACAATCCATCACACAACAATAAAGTTCAAACACGGAGGAAGAGATTTACAAGTTATTGACTTGATGATTGATGGTTTCAGTCATTTTCATCTAAAATATATCAGCTTGTTAAACAAAGTGAGTGCAGTCACTTTCTTGAGAAGAGCTTCTGTGAGCCCATAAAATTCTCATATACTCATTTTATTAATTCCAAATTATTAATGAAGTTATATAGCTTTAAGTGCTGTATTCCCTCAGTCAGCGGTGCATCAGTGAAATACTTTTGTTTGGTACATCATATTGCAGCTTCCAAAGTCATCTGCAGAGATATGTGAGGAATTTGTTTGCAAGTGGGGATCCATTGGATTCCCTGGGCTTAGCTCCTTGGACTCTGGTCTGTTCTGCAGTGGCCAGGAGTCTAAGTTCTTGGCGAGCACTCCCCGGATTTGTGGAGCACTTCCCAGGAATCAGCCTACACACCTGTGCAAGCAGTGCCCCTCCTCTGTGCCTGCTGTTGCCGCCGTCAGTTGCAGCAGGTACGGAAAGTCAGTCCCTGGCATGGCACCTGGTGCAACTGCTTGCAGCCTTCCTCTTCCACATGCGGCACCCACTCTTTGGGCAACTGCACCTGACGGAGAAGGTTGCTGGTTGCACAACTGGAGGTCTGCGATGACTACTTTGCAGGACTAGGCCAAGCACAAGAGGAAGTCCACAGATGCTAGAGGGAGAAATTCCAAAAGGGCTTGTCCCAACTTGCAGGAAATGAAGGCTTACTTTTGTCAAGGAAGTCACTGGGTATCAAGGGGTGAAGAAGACAGGCATACTTCTTCCCAGCACAGGCATTGAAAGAGCCTCCTCAGAAAACTACCATATAGTAAGCCAGATCCTTGTTCCATCAGTACTGACCACCCTCACCAGCAGCAAATTTCCAAGGTCTCATCTCCCTTTACCAAAAATAATGTGAAGGCCTCACCAACAATCCAGTGGATCCAGGGGTCCTTGGTGGAGGATGCTTTGCCATCCCAGCTACGTTTTGGTTGTTCTTTTCCCTATTTTTGCTTGCTTGCTTTCTGTACAAGCCATTGGAATGATTGTATAGGGAGCAAAAAGTCCCTTCACTGAAAACTGAGTAGATAGTGCAAGATTTTCTTTTTCTATCTCACTAGCATGCACCTCCCCTCCCAATCCGCACCATCAAAGAACCTGTTGTCTCACAATAACGGGAGGGAGGGAGGGAGGGACAAACTTTGAGGACTGCCACTGACCACATGAATCTTCCTGGTTGCTGAAATCAACTTCAGAGGCCCTTCTCCTCGACAAAAGCAGCCTGAGCGTGGGGGAAGTTAGTGCAGAAATAGCCCCTTCCCTCAAAATCTGGCATGACACTATCATCTCTTTGGCACTAAGCAAAGACATATTTATTTTGCCAGGCGTTAGTCATGGCCGAATTGTTCTGCATTGCTTTTGTGATATTCATTCTAGGCTGTGATCAGATGGAGATTTTGTGCATTTGTGGATGAACACTTTCATATTGTATTGTTTGAAGATTATGTTTTATTACGTTTATTTTTATTTTGCAGATTAGGGCTTATATAGCTTGGGGGATATTTTTCCTTCCACATGTTATAGTAATGATGGATTTCTGCACTGCATAACTTGCAGCAGCATCATAAATTATATTATTAACATATTTTTATAAGCTGTCGTTGTGGTAGGATACATGACTGGAACCCTTCCCACCTCCTGGTTTGTTACAGAAATATCCCATTATGGATACCTTATTGTCCTAATCCTGCTGCTACAGGTGTCAGGTGTGGGAAAGGTGCTACACCTTCGTATCAAAGTTGAGAGTGGTGACAGCCATCATCGATATCCAAATTAAATCCATTATCACATGATTTAGCAAATTGTCACCATAGTACAAATCACCTATTTGCAAGGAAGAGATGGTCTGGATTCAGCCTCCTCCACCCCCATTCTTTCAAACAGGCAATTAGCCTTTGCAAAGCTGATTGCAAACCCATCTGTTTGGCAGGTAAACATACTAATTTTCATGCACAGTAGCAAGCATACTGTCCACAAGTGAATGAAAAGATCTCTGTTAGGACCCACACATTACAAAACCTATGTTTTTTTATGCAGTGCTGTTTCCTGGGAATGTACAAATGCTTCACGGATGGTTCCCATGAAATACAATGATAATTTAAGAAAAAAATTTGTAACAGTCTAGTTGTACAAAAAGGTATCCAGTAAAAAGTACTTGATTATGCTGAATGAGACACACAAGGTTATTTTTTTCCTTCTCTGTTCTCCATTATTATCAAAACACCACCTAACAATATTTATGTGACCATATATAACCAAGGCATGTTCCTCATGATTTGTATACTTCCATGAGAGGGAAATGTAACACACAAGAGGAAAACTGTTTAAAGAACAACACCCTAATGATAAAAAGCTATTATTTGGGACATTTTATAAAAACTCAGTCAATTGGCTGATACCTTTTAACAGATAAGTACAACGCAGAATTGTAGCCCTATGACTGGCAAAAGTGTGGAGTGCTGATGTGACCTGGTTCCACTTGCAAAATAGTAGCTCTGCACTAGACAAGCTGGAGGTCCATGTGAGGCCGAGCTGCTAGAAAAGATACTCCTTCTTTCTACCTCCTTCCAAATAATTTTAAAAATAATATTCTAAAGTTGCCAGCAAGTAGTAGCTGACATTTCCCCCCATTGGTTCATGTGGCATTTTATATTCTTTTCTTCTCATTTCAACTCTAGTACTTTCCGACCTTTTGGAGATTACAGATATAATTCATGTCGAGGTTAGCACTGGATGTTTCTAATTTTGTTGGTTCCTTTCACAGAACAGCTAATGATAAAAATACTCCAGGAGAGACTTGCAGGGAGCAGAAGTGTTGGTGCTTCTGATGACATGAGACTGATGATAGGCAAAATATGGAGCTTCCTGCTTCACGGGTTCTTTTTCTCCGTGCTCCACTAAGCCGTTTCTAACTTCATAGTGCCTGCCTGCTGATCAGTGTTTTCAACTGTATCAACTTGTCTTCTTTCAGAGCATCTCGGAGAGAGGAGAAGAACCCAAAATAGTTCTGAAAATTATGCATCATAAGCAAAACACCAGCTAACAACTCATTGGTCACGAGAAGATGATGGACGTAGGCACGGCTATGATTCTGACAACAGTAGCATGAGCATCCATTCATTAAAGGACCAAAATCATCCTGATACCTGAGAAGGAAAAGAAAGAGGAGCCCATTTTATGAATGAAAACACAAAAAGCGATATGCCAAACCTGCACTTTAGACACACTGGGAACACTGCCAACAGCCCAGCTATGAGTCATTATGTGGCTCTGTGTAACTCCTAAAGGACAGGCATCCCGAACAGTATTACAGCCATCCACATACATAGTACTTTATAAAGAATAAGCAGGCAGATCCCTGCTCTAAAGAGATAGAATTGACATGCATTGCCATTAAAAATGGTAAGTAAATGGTTTATCATAACTGAACAGTTTACTATACCAAGGGTATAATAAACCATTGTTCTAATATCAGTTAGCAGATTAAATTAAAAAATTCTCAGTCAGAATGCCATGCAGCCTGAAAATATATTTTGCCACATCCCATCCGATCTGGAGCTTTAGCATGTTTTAATTACTATAGTAGGAGGAGCTTCCATAGTAAATGACAAGTCCATAGGCAGGTTGCAACTGTTGTTCTTCGAGTGGTCATCTGTGCATTCACACATATGGGTGCTGTGCCTGCAAAGTGTCACATTTGGGAAGATTCCTCTAGCGAAGCCTAGAATGTTTGGCAGGAGCCCATGCCATTTTCTCAGTTTGCTTTTGACCACCATTTGCAGTGCATCGAGTTCTCTAGTGTTTACTTTCTTAGCCTTCCATCACGACTTTCAATTTACCTCACAATTTTCCACTATCCAGCTTTGTCTTTCTCACTGTTTATCACTCAGTACTTTATCTTGTTTTTCAATCTCCTACATTCCCCATCCTTCAAAATCCCCCTCCTTCTTATACACTCACAAAAAATATTTTTAAAACCCTTCTATCGTTACCTCCTCTTACTCTTCTACTCCTGGATCTCTCTTCTCCTTTTCTCTCCTGATGTCACTCAAATCACCTTTTACAAAGTGCATCGAATCCAGCATAAAAATGCCATGTACCAATTGTCATTTACTGTGCCTATTCTGTTTGGGCAAAGAGCATGAAGTGGACAAATGTCCACATTGTCAAGTCTTCACTAAGCAGGCTCCCAAAAATAGGGCTGGCAGTCTGAGGATGGACATGTGTGAGCATGCCCTTGGCACCACGCAAGAGGTCACTGGCAAGACAGGTGAAAGATCTCTAAAAAGCATTCTTCTACTGGCACTTCAGGCACATTGAAGCCCTCTGCTCTGACCTCTAAGCCATCAGCAGTGTCTGAGGTGCCGAAAAAGCATAAAGAGGAAAGAAAGCGCCTCAAGCCTGAAGGTGCTAAATCAGCAAAGACATTTCATAAAACTAAACACAGTAAATAGCCATAACAGCATTCGCCAGCTCATTCTGAGCAACGCAGCTCTCCAACCCGAGCGGCAGCTCCAAACACACCACACCACCTGTTCTGAGCTCCTCTCCAGCAGCTGTATGTGTGATGCACAAAGACCATAACAAAGAACAAGGTAATGCTTGCCACTAGTCCTATTCAGTCATTTTTCTCTGCATGATGCAAGAAAAGATGTACTGGTAAGAACAGCAGGGGGAAGTTTGCTGAATATACACTGACTGTCCCCATAGCTATATTATGTGCATTTGGCACCCCCTCCTTTAAAACTTTCTCCAGTGTATGAACCTCATGGGGCAGGATTAACAGGGATGCAACAGTAGGGCAGAGCTAGTATGTGCAACATATTATCTCAGGGCATAGTAGTAAAAAAACAGCAATAATATACGTTGCCATGCTGGCCAGACACTCTGGAGCTGTGCTGTGTCACAGGCAACTCTGTGTCCAAGAACATCTCATGTGAGTGGACAACAATAAACTTAAATGGTTCAAATCCCTTTAAATTTAAATGCTGTTTATGATGTGAAAGCTCATCATTCTAGTCTGTTCCAAGCACATCATAAAAAATCAGGACACTCATGATCTCTGTTTAATTCTTTAAATGTTGGCAATCAACCATTTTTTCCAGCTCTAAATCTGGCCAGGGCATACATATAGTTCTGGAAAGCATAAAAACCATTAAGCAAAATACCTCTTTACTGATACCTGCAGTGTTATGAGCAAACCACAGGCGTTCTCAAGACACATAAAATGCGATCCTACACATGTTTATTCAGAAACCCAATTACATTCAATGGGATCTACTCCCAGGTATGCATGTATAAATAACATTAGCCCAGAGACAATGACCAAAGACTGTGGTCATCTTAGCAATCTCATGCATGCTTACACAGAAGTAAGCCCCACTATGTTCAGTGGTGTTCACTCACAGATAACTGTGAATAGGAGAGTAGACTGAAGCAGCAAGTGAAACAGAGTAGTCCATGCCAGAACCTGATATCTGAAACCAAACCAACATACCTTTTGTCTTTCAAATATATTTCAAATGAAGTCATTTCCTCAGGTCTTCTGACTGTTTCATTTGTTTTATCCTCTTCCACTTCCTTCACATCTGTTTCTCCATCTTCATTTATGAATACAATGAAGCAAAAGTACATAATTAATTAAATTGTAATATTTTTGTCTTATTCAGGGTTTTCTATTTATATATTCTATTTATTATTTTATTTTTGTTTATTTTGGTTTTATTGAATTCTCATAGCTTATTCATGATTTTATTCTTATTGAACTTTTGTAATTGTGTATTGTAATTTTGTATTGTTTTATGTTGCCTATGGATTTTAACATGATGTCAGCTGCTCAGAGGGTCCATGGCTAGTGGGGCAGCATATAAATCAAATAAATAAATAAAAGTCATTAAATTGAAAAAATTAAAAAAATGTGCTGTCCCCCAATCCCAAACATTTTAAGCCAGTTTCTATTAATATGTTTCTCATAAAAACCCACAATGGCATTTAAAATGTTTAAATGAGTGTCATAATGTATTCAAACCAAATGAAGTGATGACTCTCAGGAGATGATGGGACAAGTGGGAGGGATGCAAGGTAAATGGGCATCAGGACTGGCTTTGAAATAGAAACTGCCTTGGTTGCCCTGCAGGAGGAGTGTTGTAGGAAAAAAAAGACCCTGCTGATTCTTCTGGATCTCACTGTGGCTTTCTATATTATTGACCATGATATCCTTCACGGTAGATTGTCTGGGATGGAAGTGTGAAGCACTGTATTGCACTGGTTCTTTACCTACTTAGATTCTAGAAGGTAGTACTGAAGTTTGGTTGCTCTGTGCCTTGGCAGCCAGGGTGTTCCATGATGTGGTGTGGTGGTCAAGAGTGCTGAACTGGGGAACTGGAAGATCTGGGTTCCAGTTCCTACTCCACCATGAAGCTTACTCGGTGACTTTGGGCCAGTCACTCACTCTCAGCCTAACCTCCCTCACAGGATTGCTGTTTTGAGATAAAATGGAGCTACGGAAACTGCATTGTAGTCTTCACAGGTGGATATAGATGGAAATGTCATCATATATTCCCCATGCTGTTTAATACCTGCATGAAACTCCTGGAAGAGGGTGCCTGGAGGTGCAGGTTCTATGTCAATATGTGGTATAGATGTGGATGACCTGAACAAAGGCAGTTCTTTGTTTTCTTTACTATGTCAGGTGGAGAACTTATTTTCCAAGGCATTTTAATCTTTCAGTTTCTGTTGTTTTAAAACTGTTGCTGTATTTAGGAACTTTGCACTGCTGCTATGCTTCATTTTGTTTTTTTTTTATTTTTATTTCATACTGCAGTTTTAAACATTTAAACGTTATTTCACCATCATTTCATTTTATGGTTTTAATTGTTGTGAACTGCCTAGAGAACTTTGGCTATTGGGTGTTATAGAAATGTAATGAATAGAATAAAATAAATAATCCAATGAAAAGCTTGAAATTCAAGTGGATTCCCTTCTTTGTTGTTCTTCCATCCTACTTCCAATTCACCCCATATAAGCACTATAAAATTCATTCCTGCCTAAACTAAATGTAGTGCACTGTGCAGTTACTTAATTCACAAACTGATTTTGCAAGAGACCTCCATCAGATCTATACTCCTGCCTGAGCTGACGGTATATCAGTTTGCTGAAAGGCTTTCTGTCAGAACGTTTAGGCTGTCACAGTAGTGATGCTTTTATAGGTGAAGAGAGGTCTATATTTCAGATAAAAGTTTTAACAAGTTGAACCTTCCATACAATCTTGGATGTAAAGATATCAAATGCATGCAGAACTTCTTCCTCCTTTAGAAATTCTGAAAGTAGATTGTTTGCTTTAAACTAAATAAGGAAATAGGTATTTTCATCAAAAAATGCCAGGAAACATAAAGAAGGGCTCCACAGTTTGTCTTATGAAAGAGGACAAAGGGGCAAAGTCTTTCTTTGCATTTAAAATCTGTATGACCTGTCTATTTGTAAGTGGGGCTTCTGGAAAATGTGATAAAAGATATATTGTCTGGTTTGAGTTGTCGAGGCATGAAAAATGCTAAGACCCAGCCATTAAGAACAAACCTTGCTGTTCTTTTTTTGCCTACATCTTCACACTTGCCCTATTTATATATGACAGTAACTTAGCCTTGTTGAAAATATTTTTATGAAGGAACAGTACAGCCCCTAAACGTTCTTGTCAGACTAGGGACTTTAGTTATGTAATGAAATACTAAAATAAAATATACATGCAATGTGCATTAATGCATGCACCCTTTCAGAGAGGTCATCTGCAAGGTGGCCCCAAGGAGAAAAAAAAACTACTTAAATACTGGGCTTGGCTTCTTCAGGACTATCTAGATTGGTTGAAGACAAGAATTATTTTAACCTTCCACTATAAAATACTAACTGATTTGAAGTCAGAATAAACTCTATGGACTATACAATGCATGTTATATATGTAGTAAGTGACAATAACAACATCCACCTTCATCTAAAAATAGCATTTACTGCTTAAGCATTGTTTATTATGTGATAAATAAAATAGAGATGATTTAAAACACAATCTACTGAGCATATCTACTGAGAAGAAAGCTCCACTGAGTTCAATGGGATTTACTCCCAGTTAGGTGTGGATAGAAGTGTAGCCTAAGCCGCTTAAAATAAAACCAGCCTCTAACATTACTCTAACCCCATTTCCATGCAAATGAAGCTATCAAGAAAAAAATACCTGCTGTTTCAGGATTCAGATGATAATTATGGTTGAAGGACAAAGCACAGCCTCGCTCCGTCACCTGATAAGGAAAACAACTCTCAAATATATCCACCCCTTTCTCAATGCACTCCAGAACCTCATCTGGTCTGCCAATACTGTGGATGAGTCTGCAGGAAATTCAGAGATAAAAGCTATTTTAATCAGAAGTTACTGCATTTATTACAGTTTTTTTTTAATTTAATCTCCCAATTCTATACATGTATTCACAAATACTAACCTCCCACTTTCCATTAAAAATTTCAGGTTATAATTACAACCATAAAATTCATTTATATTCATCAGTCTATTCATATATGCATAATAAGAGCCATTCCTAAGCAACAAATGTCAGGTATTGAGTGAAGCATATGCAAGTGAAAGCCTTTAGGTGCATCCCTAAATGCATGCAAGCCTGGCATTAGAAGATTTAATCAGAGATTTTATTCAATAATCCCCAGAGCCACCACTTAAAAAGCTTTATCGTGACATTCAGTAGTGGACAACCCCAAAACTTGACCTGCCTGCCTTATCTAAATAGTTAAGAAAAAACATGCAGCTATGTGCTCTTTGAGATAATATACAACCCGACCTGTATAGACCTTTATAAGTTAGCAGCAGCATCTTGAATACTATCGATTGAGATTAGTAAGCCATCCTTCTTTACTGTGGGGATAGGGTATAATATGTAATATATTTTGGCTGTAACTCCTTCAAGACACTTTTTAAATTCCCTTTCATCACAACACATCTGATACACTTATTTGAATAGCGACAACAGCTATTTATTTACTCTAAGATAAACATTTAAAGTTTACCAAGGTATTCCCCAGAAGGGCACTTGAAATGATGATGATGATGATAGGTACTATTTATCATTTACATTGCTCCTTTCAGAGTTCAAAACACCCTTCATTTCTTATTAATTTGAGCTCACATGCCAGGTTATACTTGAGTGACTTGGCTGGGATACTTTTTCTTGACTCATGATGCATTATTTTCTCTTTAAAGTAAGTGGAGGTAAACAGTTTCAAAGTCTAAAACTGAAACCAGGACATAAATCACTTTAGATATGGACTCTTAATCCAGTTACTCGCTTGATTTTAGGATTGGGGTTTTTTTTAGAAAGAGTCATCCCTGTAGGCAGGCATAAACGCTGCTAAAAGGTGAATGGGCATCTTTATGTTTGGGCCCCTTCTGGTATTTATGCTGGAAAGAAAAGTATTTCTGGCATTGTGTGTAGTGCCCTGTGTGTCCTCTAGATCACATGAGCTCATTTCACCCAAAGTACTTGTTTTCAACAGTGTTTTCCTGACAGCCAGCATTAAAATGCTCCCCAAGGACTTGAAAATGCATCTAGATTAACCCATGCTTCTTATGCTTTTATTACTGACAGCAACACTAGACTCCAAAGTCAGTTGATGATTCGTCAAATATTGGGGAGGTAAAGAAATGGAAATTCTTTACTCACAGGTGAATTTATTTCCTTCAAGTGAAGGAGGCCAGCTACTTTGGGGAAAGCACTGCCTCTGAGGCCAGAAGGCAGTCTCAGTTTTCCTGAAGAACACAGCCTACGCTTGCCAGTTGATTCTCCTAATGAATCTGTGTCCCATCAGAAGTAACTGATCCTTGATGACACCTCATCAATTCCTTTGAATGACCATCAAGCTGTAGAAGCAAACCCAGTGAACCCTGCCTGGCCTAGAAGTCTTCTAGGTGGTGACTGGCCCAACAATGAGCTCAGGTGGCCCCTTCACTCAAGGAAAACAGACATTCATTGGTGAGTAAAGAGTTTCTGCTTCTTCCCCCAAGTGCAGATCAGCAAGCTTGGGAATGTAAAAGGACAATGATCCCAAGCTGGGTCAACAGAGCCCTCAGGCCAGCTTCCAACTAGGATGGGAGCACCCTCTGAAGAGCACACTTCCAAACTTGTCCTCTGAAGAAAGCAGGTTGATAAAGATGTTTATAAGAACGGCCATTCCTCTTACTGAGTGGGCTAGTATACCTTCTGGCACCATCAAGCTGCTGGTGGTATAAGCCAGTGCAAGTCACTTGCAAAGCCAGCAGGCAAAGAGATGCTACAGATACCTTCCTACCCATAGAGTAGACAAGGAGACATGTAGTGCACTATTCTATCTGTGGGGTCTGGTTCTGCCTCAGCAGAACTTGGCTGCCTGCTTAGCATCCAAACTGTGCCACTCCCTTTCCTGAAGTATGAAAAGTTGTGGACAGAAGGAGGGATTGTTAGCTCCTGTGCCCTGTGGAAGGCTTTGTCAACCTTAAGGATGCTTGAGGCATCTGGGCAAAGGACCACTTTGTGCATATGAAAGAAGTTCTTGTCAGAGGACAGGGCTCCTAACTTGATTACCCTCTATGTAAAGGTAACGGCTACTAGGAAGATGGTCTTTGAGGTCAGGTTTTTAAGGGTGGCTGTCCCTAGCAATTTGAAGGAGCCCTTGGTTAGCACTTTTAGCACCATGTTTAGGCTTCAGCTGGGGAATCTCCAGACTGGGGGAGGCTTGATCAGAAATCACCACAGCATAGATTACTGAAACCGGTGGGGTTGTTCCTTCTGTGTTCCTGGCTTGGGTCATATACCCTGCTGCCATCTGGGCTTGCTTCCTTCTGGGCATGTAGCTGGAAGTTTGAAAAGGCTTGGCCTTCACTAGGAAGCACTTTCCTATTCGTGTGTTTGGCATGGCCTTCTTCCTGTCCTTGGTTTCTACCAGGACTTTGTCCAACAGGTCACCAAACTGGTGTCTGCTTGTGAATGGGACACTCACCAGTTGGCTTTAGTTTTTGAGTTAATGCCTCAGTTGTGCAGCCAAATGTTCCTCCTTGCCACGATAATGCTGCAGCTCTTACCCACAGCTGAAGGAATCCAGGAATGCATTGGGTAGCAACACTGCCACCATGGCTATTTCCCGTCCAATTTCCTTTTCCACGGCTCCGTTACAGAACAGGCAGTTTGTCTTCATGTAAATACCTTGCACAATGATGGCAGATGTGGTCACCTTAAGCCATCTGTGTAGATCTGATTTGGCCTGTCAATCACACTGGTCCAGTATGAAAGTCAGGAGTTACAAAGCCAGGAGTGCCCTTGAGGTAAGTGAAGCCATCAGGTTGTGGTCACCTCCTGTATTACATTTTCATGAAGGCAGTAAAACCTGTTGCAGGGGTGATGGTTTGCCCTAGGTTTGGCTGGCTTGGACTTTTCCTTATAACTCTGGTGGAGTGAGGGCTAGGCATGTAGCTATGTCTGTGTCTGGATCAGTTTCTGCTGCATTGGCTATCCATGGAGCTGGTCCTGGAGGAACATGTACACAACTGGCTGCTCTGGATCTATCTTTTGGATCTGCTTCTATGGAAATGCTCTTAGCAATTACATACATGGCTGGGGGCCTCTTCAAGTTCCTCTGTCCCTTGAAGGCTGTTTAGACTCTATCCTGATGGAGATGGAAGGAGACCACTGCTTTTGGCTAAACCATTTGCAGGCACTGGGATGGGGAAGAAGAACAGGTTGCTCCAAAATGCCCCTGAGCTGGGTAGCTTGCCGGCATGGGGCATCCATTTTCATTTTACTGTCCTTCCCAGTCTCACACTGGGGGTCTCTACTGTTCTTGGCCTGGCTGTTTCTATAAGGCTGCAAGAAAAGAAGAGACAGGTGGGAAAGTTTTACTGGACTCCTGGCACTATTGCTTCTCCCTCCTTCAACAGTGTATCCTACACTTGTTCTGCTGTGGAGGGCTGAGCTATGGGGACCTGGATGCTTCACAGCCTGCTTGTCTGTCTCTGGTATTCATCTGGCAGGAGAAGAAAGTTGTACCACTGCCGGGTGCTTGCTATTTTTGAAACTTTCCTTCCAGGGCCTTCTCTTCATTCACTGCTCCAATTCTCTTCATTCACTGCAGGCCTAACTGTTTCTCCCTGTATATATGTGCAGTGGTGGGCTGGGAAACTGAGGTTGGTACTCCCCTAGCAGATGGGAGTCTGGGTATCAGTGTTTTACCTATACCAACACCTGACTAGCAGCAGACAGGACGACTTGCAAGTGGACAACTCAGACCCTCAGGTCCAGTGCAAACTATTCACCTGTGTACTAAGTTGCCTCTTTCTCCTTTCCCCTTCTTTTTCATTTTTCCTGCTTTTCTCTGACCATCTCCTCCAGGAAAACTAAGATAGGGATAGCCATTTGGGGCCCTGAAGGCAGGGCCTTCCCCAAGCTAGGTGGCCATCTGCACTCAAGGAGAGAAACAACTAATTTGCTTTCCCACAGGAATAATGGTTGTGCTGACAACTATATAAACTAATTTAGGTCAATACATTTAGCTGATGACTAAAAAAACCAGACAATGCTATAGCAAATTCTCATTTTAGCAATGGCGTTTGTGACTGTGATTAAATTCAGATCCTAGAAGATTTACAGCATGACTTGTGTTAACTTTTAAGCTTTCAGGATAAAAACCAAAGTTAACAAAGCACAACACTATAAATGTTGAGCAATCAACATTTATAGATCCATGAACAGCAATTCGTCTAACAGCAATCAAGGTTATTCTTCATTAAAAACAAATGGGTGCATCACATCAAGCTCAGCTCTTATCTGAGAAATTTTATCTGCAACATTGTTGTTAAAAGTGCCACAGTGAGCAATTGATGGTGCTAAAGATAGGTTAGGGAGCACTGGGGCTTGAGACAAATCCCTTGCCACCCTAAACAGCTCTGCTGGATGTGAATTTGCAGTTGCAATTCAGAGAAGAAACCCTTTTTTGCTGCTTGTATCACCACTGCAGTGCAGCAAAAATGCTCTTTTCAGATGCCTGCCATTGGTGCTTCAGTTGTTGTTCTTCCTACTTCATTCATCAGAACTCCTCTGTATACCAAGGAGCTATTTGTGAAGCAGAATGGATAGGATGCTCAGAAGCAATCAAGTCTAAGACCTTAGTCAACTCCCAATTCCATTTTGTGACTGGGGACATGACAGGAACGCTGGCAGAACTGGCCAAAGAACCCCTACGGCTGACTGGAAACTGATTGGATCCATAAGTCTTTGGAGGCAGACCATTACAGGACACAAAAAAGGGGCTGTGATCTTAGCCTTCACCAGGTAATGATCTGACCAAGGCAAGACTGAGGATGCAGAAACCTCAGTCTCAAAAACCAGTTGTGAGAGCTGAATATAAAATCAAGTGTGCATCCAGCAGTATGTGTGGGTCCAGAGACCAACTGGGACAGGCCTATGGCTACCATGGTCAACATGAACACAAGGGCAACAGCAGACAAACTGGACTCAAAAACAACATTGAAACCCCCCAGAATTAACAATCTGGAGGAAACCAACACCAGTAATAGCTGCACAAAGCCCTATTTGAGGCCTACAACACTTATAACAAATGACCCAACTTCTTCCCTCCCCCACAGCCTCCTTCAGAAGATTTTAAAATGAAAAATATGTACTTTTTAAATCATCCAGATAAACCTATGGGAACTCCATGCCTCACACTCTGCACCTCCATAACTGCCTCTCCCTTTATGAACTTTCCAAGCCCTTGAGGTAAATTTCAGGTGAGGAGGATGGCAGTTTGGGAAATGACCTTTTTTGATGGGTCCTCATTTATGGCACATTCTCTTCAAGGGAGCCCACCTGGTACTGATACTGTCAGGCAGACACATCTTTTCCTAGACACTTGGACATTAGCTTTAGCCCAACTGCTGAGGGCTTTTGCAGTGTTAATTCATGACTGGGGCACACTGACCCTGTGCAAAGTGAAGGAAGACTTTTCAAACTGTATTGTCATTAGAGTGTGTTTTTATTATGTCTATCATTTATTTATTATTAGTCTGATTATGGTTTATATCATTTTTGGCTTTTTCCTATTATATTAATCATATATTTCTGTAGGTCACTTTGAGACTGCTTTATGCAGTAAAAAGTAATGCATAAATTTAACAACAACAACAACAAAAATGCAGCCACCAGAGATAATCAGTAGTATTCTACTGTTGAAAAGAGGCAGTAGGTACTTGGAAGAGAAGCAATGCCATTCCTATATTAGATGAAATACTGACTCCCAAATTATCAACAAACAAAAACAGTATGACTGATACTGGTCCTACAAATTTGTATATATCTTATTTATAAAACAGATAATTGAGGTAGAGTTGTTCTCCTGTAAACAACAACAAGAACCACCACCACCACCACACTATAGAGTTGGAAGGTGGGGAAATTAATGAACTAGCCAAGCTTTTGTTCTGATAATGGAATCATTCTATATGGCTGAACCTAAACCCAGTCGTTTTTCTGCTTCTACCTTAACTTTTCAAAATCCAGTTTTCACGAGCACATAATATTATGTCCAATAACACATAAAACAGCTGTGGCCTGAAGTTTTATTCAGAAGGTCACCCAACTGAATTATCTATGTTGTATAGGGTTTAGATCAAATTTAGACTTGATGCTGACCTTGGTTTATCTTCTGGCAGCTCTGCTATAACTGAGGATAAAAGTTCCAGCTTGGTCTTCTTAGCCATGTTATTTCCAAAGCCATCCAGTAGGAAACCAGCCACAGGTCTCTTGGCAGTCTCCCTAGCTGATCTCAGCCTCTCCTCCAAGACATCCCCACCTTCAATAACTCCAATCATCAAGCTCTTTTGCAATTCCTGGTTTGAAAGAAAGTAAGACATATTAAGATAAAAATATATGTTTTGGATTAACTGTGTGCTGGATCAGAATTTAGATGGAAGGCAACTACTTTGCCAGCATTATTGCACTAGTGATATTTGAGGTAGAGTCCCACCCTCAAAAAAAGGGAAAAGAAAAAGAACAATGTGCAGCATAAAGGTTAAACAAATGAGCAGGCAGATATGGAAAATGTTATCATGCTTTTCCTGTTTCCCCTTATCTCTCCTGCAGCAATTTTCTGTTACTTAGATAAGAGCTTAAGAAAAATAATGTTCCAGTTTGCACGATTAAACAACCCATGGTTTAATCATGGATTCTTTAGGTATGAGTAGGAATGCTGACTAACAGTTCACCCGCTTCTACATTGATGGAAATGTTCATTCCTGGATTGTTTGGATTGTGAAATCCAAACCTGGAACTCTGGGTTGTTGAAAATCATAATCCAGGAAAAAAATCATGAGTTAAAAATCCAAGTAAATTAGCAAAACAAAAACAGGCAGAACATCAGTAAGCACCACACTTGCTTGTACATGCTCCTGGACAACCCACAACTGTTTAAACATGGAATGTCAATGTGATATTAAGACTTATTCCCAGAATTTTAATGCAAAGACATTTCCCTGGGACAACTGCTTTTTAAAAAATGATTAAATTAATCCTTCCTTTCTACCACAAATGGCATTTACTGGTTCTGGCAGACCGAAATTTCCTCTTATCTAGTGAATTGTGGGTTGCCATTCCCTTGCAAAGAGATATGAGAGAGACTGAAAAAAATTTAATGGCTTAGTTTTTCAATACAAAGGCTAAGCAACAAAAAAAGTATACCGAAATGACAATGCAAATGTTCTTTTACAAAAACAGTGTGTGTACTTTCAGTGCATGCCTTAGAGGCAACTGACAAAGAAGTTAGTTTCTGTATAGAAAGCATGAAGCAGATCTACATTTTGGCGAAAAGGTGAGTGGTTGCAATACAAAGCACCACTGCACAGCGGCTTAAAATACTCTATGCTATGAAGTATTATATTAAATTAATAAAACCAAGGAGACAAGATCTTACTTTCAGTTCTAAAGATGATTAAAGACCTTCAAAAATGCCCAGTCAGCCACGCCAATCTGTTGCATGCTCTGGCATTCTGTCCCTACTGTTCTAGAGGCCATGCAAGGCTCAACACAAAAATGGGAGGGAGCAACTGTTATGGCAATGGCTCAAATACATTTAATCCTTACTGGAGATTTCTCTTGCAGTTGAAGACACTCATCTAAAAATGACAGTGATCGATCCACGGATTTCTTGGCCCGCTTCTTGGAGATTACTTCAGCAATAGTATCTCCATCTGAGAGACACTGGAACCAGTCTGGCTGGATAACCTGTTGGATGGCCATGAATGTCGATGCTGTCATTTCCTTCCGCCCGCCATATCCCCATACTGAAACTGTCTGTCAGAGACAAGGACACACAGAGCATTTAGACAGAGTTGACAAGCTACAGCCACTATAAATGTATCCTTTCCTGCCACTACTCTGCCACTTGACTAAGTAGCATTTCTACCCCTCTCTGATTCACATCCCTCCTACAACTGTCAGTGCCATGTAAATGAACAAAATGAAGAAGAGAACCACAACTAAAATCTCTGCCAGTTTCTATGTTACTATAAAATCACTATTCAAATGCTGCCCTTTCATTGGATTCACACATAGGCCTGAAAACTTGAGTTACAAAAGTTGCCATGAATCAAGGCAAGTTACAAGTCAAAGAACAGGTTCACATGATCACTAGAACAAGCCATAGGTTTCCATGGTGGTTCGTAAACCAAACCAAACCAGTGACCCACTTTCATCAGATTTAGACATTATGACAGCCTATACCCAGCAAGTCTTGTTTTCTCCCAATGATTGTGCAAACCCTGATCACAGTAGATGGACAGGCAGTTGTACCAAACAAGCCATCATTGCTTTGGTTACATTTGCTGGCTCTTGAATTAATTGAATTGCTTTCTTAATTTTTAAAATTAATTTAGACTTTGATACATTTGCTGATGAATTAACAACCCACTGTTCTCCTGGGAAATCACTCCAGCAATTATTTTTATTAACTTTCCAGGCAAAAAGAAATGTATGCATGATGTCCCTGTAAAATCAGAACTTAGGGTCTCAGCGAACCAAGTATACCTTCACATATTAAGTAGATCACTGTACCATACTTGTGCTTTACATCCATAAACAGCAGAGAAAATGGTGCATGTTGAATGGAATGCATAACTTTCTGTTTTTCATTTTTGATCAAGGAATGAATTCTATTACATTGCCAAAGCAGGCAAAACCACCACAATCGTGTCTTTATGTTTATAGTCTCTGATCCTTAAGTGAAATATAGTATGAAACAACAGTGAAAGACCCTCCATCTCTGAACTAACTAGCATAAGTGGACACTCAGAAAGGTAGTTAGAAGCTGATTCCACTCTCTTGGAATGAGTTTCTAATGATTCTGAATTTCTTTTACAAAGAACTGGCTCAGACTAGTTACATTACTATAAAAAGGAATTAAACTGGAAGAATGAATTGGAAGTTTTAAAAATCAGGATATTTGTCTACTCAGGATATTTTCACTAGAAACTGTAGATCAGGGTGACCAACTTGCACCCCTGAAAACATTCACTGTGGCCCCCCATGGATGACCTGATCCTGCCACCAAACATCCCCGCTATCTACACATATCCTCCCAGGTACCCTCACATACATTTCTCTTTTCTAATACTGCTTAAAATGAAGAACAAGTGATCTTCATTGGGATTCCTGGGGGAAGAGATAAATTATCTTCTTTCCGCACAGTTCCAGCAGGAAGAAGCTGTATCAGAATCACTGGGATATATGCAGGAACATGTATACCTAAGTGTGTACACAAGTGCAATCTCCAAAGCTGAAGTGTCATTGTACTCCAGCTGTAGATGACGCTTTTTGGTCTCTATTGAAATTTGGCAGGTTTTTGCATTGTAGAAACAGATGCGAAAGTGGGCTGGTATCATTTACAAAGGATGGCACAACTGAGTTACAGCTAATGCACACTGAATAGGTGCATGCCTTCCTCGTACAGCTTCTAGCCATAGTTCCCTACAAATAATGGCCTTTCTGCTACCTGACTGTTCCTTGCAAAAACAAAACAAATATTTGAAAGAAGTACTAACTGTAAACCTGCTTCTGCCAACACTGCTCCCTAAAACATAGCGGAGGAAAATAGTGTAGCCAGAAGCACACAAGATCCTTACTGTGTTTGTCCAGATTCAAGGATTGAAATGTCAGAGATTTTTCATGTGTACTATACCTTTTCGTTGTTGTAGCCAGATGGGCAGCAGGTAGCTGGGTCATTAAGAGAGCAGTACAGTACTGATTCTGGCATACCTGAGTGCAAATTAAAACATGTTGTCTTTTAAGGCTGCCACTGGTAATTTTCTAACACCTAGATTAAAGCAACAGTAAACATATACACCGGGGGTGGCTGGACTTTCCCAATGGAAAAGTCACACATAACGGTAAATGTCAGATCTTTGAAAGCCACAAGACATGAAAAAATATTTGTTTGTTTAGACTTTATAAAAATGTGTTTTTGCTTATCAGTGTATGATTTTTAAGGTACACGGACTTCTGGAACACTAACTGTGGGAATTCCTTCCTAAAGAAATGGACCTTTAGAAATAAGAACTGCTCAAAGCAAATGTCATATCAAAAATAGCAGGGGAGGGTCACTGTTGTCACAGACAGGATCCCGGCAATTATAGTTCAGCGAGAAGTGCTAGAATTCTTTGTTAGATCCACTAATTCTTTGCTGATCCACTCTCCTCCTGCTCAGAGCAGGAAGAGAGCAGGTTGGGCTGGCAGCCTCACGAGACCTCACCCCAGCATGAATTGCCTGCTCGTGATGATGAGTGCAAAGGCCCTTTGGCAGGTCTACCTCCACCACTGCTGCAGACTGCACATGCTGTCGCTGAGATCCAGGACGGGGGGGGGGGGGGGGCTCTGAGCCCTGTGTGATGCAAAATAAACTCAAAGAGCCTTGGTTTAGCCATCCCTGATATATACCTTATCTAGTCTAAGGAATATTCAATAATTTGTGAAGACACTGCAAAATTTCACTGATTAGCTCTGTCACCCAACCAGCTAGAGCAACAACAAGAGGGTTGCCAAAAAGACTGCACTGCACAGCCCCATGTAATTAGTGCTACTGTGGTTAACCCTACCCAAAGGGACAACTGACTCCTGCACAATTACTCTCAGAGCATCTGACACTTGACAGTTGAGCCTTGATGATGAAACTGTCTCAGACCAGAATTTAACAAGTATCAAAATAAAAAAAGGATAAGCTGAAGTCAGAAGCAACTGAAATCTATATCAGAATGTCAAACTGTAGCTCAGTCTAAATGTGTGCTTAGGCAATAGACTTTCAAGCATTCTATTTTATAGCTACAAAGTTCACTATGACTTTTTGAATGCAAGAGAACACATTCTAGCCAGAGTTCCTTTTAGGAGCTTAGAATAGTTAAACTTTCCAATTTAGTTACAATTATAAGAAATGCTGGTATATAATTGAAGTAACTCACTTCTATTTTACCAAAATATTACCTGTGTTTTTAGTCAAACTAAAGATGGGCTAAAGGTGGAAATGAAATGAGCTTTCTGCAAATGGCTAGGAAACTGGGGAACAGCTTTAAAACTTGTTAAGAAATCTTTGCTCCAAAAAGAAAGTTGTGGACTTTATGTTGATTGAAGATACATGGTAACAGTGTATCAGAAATCCCTAATGTGTAATGTTTTCAGTTCCCATCACTGTTAATCTCTATGAGTTATGACTCTCAGGGAACCCATGGTACACAGACTGCTTTAAAGACTGCATAGCACTTCCACCTTCTGGCAATCTGCCTGTCTGTAGAGGCCGCCATATGAAAACTGGCCAGCTTATGAAATGGTGGACAACACCATCTACTCCTATATACAGTTGTCTGTCTGTCTGTCTGTCTGTCTGTCTGTCTGTCTATCTATCTATAGTATTTGTATGCCATCCCATCGCATAGCCTCGGGACGGCTTACATAAAATAAAATAAAACATAATACACTGTTCTTTATACCAACAGAAGGCTAGAAGCCTCCATGCATTGAAACAGAAAGTGGCCTCTGTAAGTCAGAGGGTTATTTCCCTAGTTCTTTATTCCTAGAAAAAATATTTACTGCCAGGAATTACAGAGCATTCTAAATCAGTGCAATCATCAGTACCTCAATGGATCTTTATGCCTTAAAATAAAGGTTTCCATCCTATATAGTTTCCAGATTATATACCCAGCATCCCATCACATCAACACATATATTTTTACCTATGAACTTTGCCATTCCTTCTTTATATTCTGCCAAGACCTCATGAAGTTCTGCTCTGCATCCAGACAGAAACATATTAGACAGACAACTACAATTAATGAACTGACAGAAAAGCAGATTCAGTACACTAAACATACAATTTTGATGCCAGGCAAAGAAACAAAGGTTCTTTAACTGAAAAGGGCACTGAGCGCAATCAACCATCAAAGTGCTATGAAGTTACTGTGCCCACCTGATATCATAGTGGCTATAGCCACATACCAAAAAAAAAAAGCACTGATGTTGGACAGAATTTTCCCAGTGCTTTTTTCATGGAAAATGTGCAAATTCATAACAAAGAATGAATGTCATTTAAAAAAACAGTATTAGGAAACCATGGCAGATTCAAAATGGCAGATGAGTGCTTGTCAGCAAGTCATGTACTGTACCGATAAGACATCAGTGCATCAACAGTTTTCAATACCTTTGCTTTTCTTAAACAATGTAAGTGAAACATAGGCTATTGACCCAGTTCACATGATCAAAACACCTCAACATGGCTTATTTATGCCATGGTAGGCTCTGGCACATGGCAGTAGAAATGTGCACATTTAACATCCATTCCATGGTGCGTGAACTCAAGGCAGGGTTCTGCAAAGGTTAAATTACCCTTGCATAATCCATGGCCTGTTACTGGGTTATGTGATGGTTGCTGAACCTGTGACCAGGTGTTTAATATTCAAAACAGCTGCCCACACACATCAGCACATGCCAAAATTCAACATGGCTTAAAGAACACAGTGAGCTGTCCAATTGAGCAAAGTGGCTCATTGTCTTTAAAGTTTGCAAGTATTCCAATAAAAATGTCCATATTAGATAACATTTCCATCACATTTATTCAATCAAATCTTTCAGGACAAATATTTGATATGTACTAGGAGAAAAAAACAACAACATGAAATAGTTCTGTTAGCCTTGTTTACTAAATGCAGGTTTAAAAATTTTGCTAAATACGGTCAGGGGATCGGGAGGGGAACTCTTTCAGCCTAAGGACTGAACTAATTTTTGGAGAATGTCTTGGGATAGCTACCACTGATGGGAAGGGCTGAAGGCAAAGAAGGTGAAGTCAAAAGGTGTGGGGCCAAAGATATAAAAATGCCAGCACATTGTAGTTTAACACCCCTACTGTCAGAAACTAAGCTTTAGAACAGATGTCTTAAGGTTTAAAATTGGGGGAAATTACACAAAAGCTGGAAAGCCACCAAACACTTGGTATTTGGGAGGCACGAGGCGGGGCTGGGGAAGAGGAAACATGTTAATCTGGAGACCCCAGGAATGATGGGTTTGACCCTTGGGTCTAAGCCTCTTTCACTGCTCTAGGATAACAGAGTATCTTCCAATGCCAATAGTCTGGTGCAGACTGCCATATGCATATGAAACTAATTTTCATAGAAATCTTTTCCAATTCAAAATCTTCTAGAAATGCTGCATTACTTTTAAAAAGTCACCTGTAATCTCTGGCATGCAGCAAGGCAGACGCATACATTATGCTACACTGCAAGAGAAATCAGTTCTATTGATGCATACTCTATATTGGCCTCATATTGCTGGAAGGGTACAATTTAGCATGCCATTTTTACTAAAATCCTTGAAGTACACAAATCCTTATTTTAACAAAATGATACTCACACTGCTGAAAAGGAAAATTGTGCCACCACAGGGACACCTTGGACCATCTGCAGTGTGTCATGGGTCAGGTGTGGTGCTGTTCCCATTTTGGTGTAAAGCAGACAACCTGGAATCTCCATTGACTGAACACCTTTCCTGCTGAGGCTTGATAGCATGCCAAGACGACAACCATCAACTACTTTGGAAAGACTCAGTTTCATCTTCATAACACACCTGAAATGGAGCAGCAGAGGATCAATTCGCACAGCTCTTTTAACATACCTAATAGTATCATTCCATTTGCCCAAATGACATTGTGCTAGTAGAAACCAAATAAGCTTTTGGCTTGCGCCACTGCTTGCAGAACCATGAGATTAGCGGTTCTTTAACCACGTGTACCAATTGCAATCACTGGTTGAGTAACTGACCAAGAAAAGACCCTAGGACAGCGATGGTGAACCTTTTAGAGACCGAGTGCCCAAACTACAACCCAAAACCCACTTATTCATCACAATGTGCCAACACTGCAATAAAACCTGAAAACTGAGGTTTTTGTTTAGAAAAAAACAACTCCCAGCCAGTCCGAACAAATATATATATATCTTGTCAATGCACTGACCAGCCATGCGAAAGCTCAGACGAGTTGCGGCTAATGAGTTGTGGCTTGTGACATCATCGCCTGGCACTGCTATTCCTTTCTGAGCGTGCACATGGCCCCTATGTGCACTGTTATCCGATGCTCAGCTGCTGGGGTGATGCTGGGATGACTTGGCTTGCGTGCCAACAGAGAGGGCTCTGCATACCACTGTGGCATGCATGCCATAGGTTCGCCACCACTGCCCTAGGACATAGGCAGAAAAAAGGAGAGGAAAAGGAATTTCTCCCTTATTTCCAAAGTTATACACAGGCTAAGATTATTCAATATAAATGAGCTCTCTGAATGTTAAGTATTCCAGCATGATAGGAGTGGACATCAAACTTTTTCTGGGAGGCCACATGCCTCTTATGTCAATAATTACCCTCATCCTCCTTTTGTAGCCATCTAGTACAGGAGCAGGAAAAATGGAAGAGGAGGAAACAATATAAATAATAAGCTGCTCCAGCAGTTGAGCAGCAAGAAACTAAGGCAAGCACAAAGCAGGGAGAAATGAAGAGATTCTCCAAAAGGAGGGGCAAGCTTCTCTGCGGTGGTGTCCTGATTATGGAATACATTCCCCAGAGAGGTTTGCCTAGTGCCAATGGTTTTTTCTTTTTGGCGCCAGAGAAACCCTTTTTTTTTTTTTTGCCATTATTTTAATGTTTAATCAAAGGTGGTTTTAATGTAGTTTCTATAATATGGAATTACTGGATGCTGTGCCTTATTTTATATGTTGCTTTGTTGTAAACCGCCCTGAGATGCCAGTAGATCTATAAAAGCCTTAAACAAACAATAAACTTCAGGATGGAGGGCAGTAAGAAATTTTTTCTATGAAACATTTCTTATCCCACCTAAGGTTCAGAAATGCAGCCATTTTTAAAGTTAAGCCATTTTGATATCTGTAATGCTTTCATGCACTAAACATGCATTTAACATATTTCATGTAGCATCTTTTTTTTTTAAAGGAATACACTGACATACACATATACTTCTTGCTCTGGGAAGGTACTGTATTGCATCAAATTGCATTTGGGGCAGGCATCTAACCATAGGATTGCTTTAGACTCATTATACACAATAAATACAATGAATTGATACACTAAAGCGTAATTCTATCTCACTTGCTTGGGAGTAAGTTCACCTGTGATCAGTAGGACCTTCTTTTGAGTAAACCAGCACAAAATGAATGGATGAATGGAAAAGCTGAGCACAATTTGAGGACACTGCACTGCTGAAGGCGACATTAACTGATACACATCAAAGCATGCCTGGCATATAGGTAGCACCCTAATAATAAAAGTAACTAAAACCTCATCACCATCTCTGACGTGGTAGAAACACATGGTCTATACTGCTTTAGGCACAATAAACTGCCATGTGATTGCCACCCTCTCTTAAAAAGAGAAAGAACATCCGAAATGTAGAAAACAAGCACATCAGAGAGAAAGACTTAGCACAGTTTTAGCATTCAAAACAGAGGGCATATACCAGTAATAACGAAGCGGGTGCAGCCCAGGAATCCACTGTGCCTCATGCCTGTAGAACGGCCGGCTGTTAGACTTTTACAGGACATGGGAATCCCAGGCTTTGGCCGTGGGATCTACCCGCTTTTGCCTCATGGCATTAACCCAATCAAAAGACGAAGAGAAAAAACACCCACCGACCAAAATCATACCTCCAACTCTCACGCGCTGGTCAGCCACTTCCGTCGCAACTATCAAGTTCTCCCTCTCGTTCTGGTTCACCAATCAGAACACTCATCGTCATCGTCAGTCGACGACGAAAGCGTGGATCGCGAAGGAATGGCGAGATGCTTGGCGACTGGGTTGCTATGGTAAGCTAATAGACGCAACGCTCTGGTTGCGTTGCTATCTGGGTCATGTGGTTTACGGCTCCATTCTGCTGCTTGTACGCGCTGCATGAGAAGGACTGCATTTCCCGACATCCCTCGCTGGCGTCCCGAGCAAGTGCAAGAAGAGTGGTCGAAGAAAAAAAGGTGCCTTGCCCTGTCTTCTTCAATGGCGGTGATAAGACCCCGACCAGAGCTTTACCGTTGGAGGTTTTTTAGTCAGCCTGCATCGCGTCAAAAGGTAAGGATGAAGGTTAAGTGGGCCCCGCAACCCGGAGAACTGACTATTGCTGTGATCTCCCTGATGTTTTCCCCGCCCCACGACAAGCATATACTGTTATAACGTTTATCCAAAGTGGGTGGTGTGGACAGATGACTTTTTCTCCGCCTATTAATACTAGATCTCGGGGTTATCCAGTGAAGCTGAATGGTAGAAGATTCAAAATAGATAGTAGTACTTCTTCACACAATATGGTTAAACCTTGGAACTCACTGCCATTAGGTGTGATGGCAGCAAACTTAGATGACTTTGAAAGGGGATTGCATCACTTCATGAAGGGTAACGGTGTCGGTGTCTGCTATATCTGGGCCTTGAAATACCAATTACTGAAGATCAGCTTTTAGGAGAAGGAGTTTGATTTCGTGTTCTCTTGTGGGCAACCCAAAGATGATCTGATCTATAGGTTCTCTAGGCTGGCTCAACAGGGGTTTTTGCCTGTTCTTAATATTGCCTTTGGTGGAGCTCACCAGCTTGGACACTGATAAAGGAATGCCTTCTCACAGATCAATTAGAAATTCCCTCATCCCAAATTCCTCCCTGTGCTGCACCTGATGGGCATAGCTGCTTTTGGTCAACGTTGCTAGGGGGAAGCTCAAGCCTACTCCTACCCTTTCCATCTCACAGAATTTGTTGTGGCTTCTTCTGGTGATACCCAGTGTGGTCTTAATGGGACAAAAAGGTTCTGCATCGCTACCTTAATGGGAACATAAACAGAAAGTGTGTCTGCTGTTTCTGTGTTCTTTAGCTCTAACCATGTTTATTCAGAAGTAAATGTTATTAAGTTTAATAGACCATACTTCCTTGTAAACGTGCTTGGGATGCCCACAACTATAAGCTTAATGTTTTTACTAAAAATCTCTATGTCTCTGGGTTGGTTGGGGTTTCTTTTAATGATACTGTGTTTTCCACTGTATTTAATTGTTTTATTCTGTTTCCAGAAGAACACTATTATTGAGGAGTTACATATAAATATGGGAAATACATGAAAAATAAAGTAAATTACCTTTCTAGGGCTCGCAAGGATGTGTAGTAGATTTTTTTTAAAATAACTACAGAGCCTCTTTAGTTTCACTATGTTAAACTGTTCATTTTTTCCTCAGATAAAATTTGATCCTGACAATGTGGAACATTGGATTAAGGTAAAGTGGAATAAACCCACAGCCCTGTGTCCTCCTGTATTTGGAAGCCATGCCCATTTTATTCAATGGCACTCACTTCTTAAGGATGAAATCTTGAGCTCATTTATGTGGGAATAAGTTCTATTGAATTCAGTGGGGGATGTTCTAAATAATTATCATGGATAAGACTGCACTACAATCTGAACTACAGTATACTTAAAGGGGATGCAAATGTACCCATAATCATGGTGCAGACCTATAACCCTAATCATAGGGTTATGAATGCCTTAAATTTAGGTATAGTCCTTTATATTATTTGCACTGAAAAGTAGTAGAAGCTTAAGATCTTTGCTTTGTGAATGAAGTTTGCATCTTCAAAGAGAGAGATTTCCTTGTTAATATGACTTACTATGATAGGGAATGAAAATAATGGGTATAGTGCCCCATCCTTGTCAGTATATGCCAGCAGAAGAACAAGTAATCTTTTTCTTTGACATGTATTCATATTCATATTGCAGTTATGCAAATAGCCACTAAAATCTCTGTAATTCACTGTGCAGATTTTCTATATGAACCTGTTATGTCATTTTATATTATACTTGTTCTATTTAATGCAGGTAAACGCTGCATATGAGGGAGGAGAATGGGAACAAGTATGCTAGATATGCGTTGCCTCTGTTGTTGTATTTCTTGCCCTCAGCATTTGAGAGAAAGACTTTCTGTAGAGGAAGCCTTCTCTATCTGGGCTATTTAGAATGCAACCTCCATGAATAGAAAGGGCTTTCTGCTGCAGACACTCACCCTCAACTCTTGTGGAGAACAAGGATAGAGATGGGCAGGCAACAGGGTTAGCATACTTGCCCCTGCTTTTTCTTCTTATGTGTATAATGTATTAAGACAGAAAAGAGCTGCTGAATTGAACCTTTGGTATATCTAGTCTGCTATGGCCTAGTCTGACTGGAAATGATATTCCAAATTCTTAGGGTCTTTCCTAGCCCAACTGCCTAATATCCTATTGCATAGCGATGCCAAGAGACAGAACTCTGGATGTTACAGATGCAGTTTACACTGCATACTCTGAGTAATGCATAATATATTCCAGATTATTTATATTTCCCATTATTTTGTAGCGAGTGGAACAAGCCTCTGAGTTTGCTGTTTCTGAGGCTTTTTCCTCAAAAAAGACTTCTTATCCTAGAGGATTTCATGGTCCAGTGCTGGATTTGGAAACAACAGAGCAGCTGCTAGATCATGATGGAGCATATGTAGAAGGTATTTCCTAAATATGATGCTGGCTCCAGGTGGTCCAGAATATCTTAATAATCTCTCTATATTCATTGGTCATATTCCAGAATCATTACATGAAGTGCACTGAAAGTCATCTTCATGGCATTGGAATATTTGATTATTTTTTTCATGGAAAAACAGATCCATTCTCCTTCAACACAGTCCATGCTGCATTACAAACAGACACACACAAACACTCTTCTTTAAAGAATTACAGCTTCTGGTTATGCCTGAAGTTTTCAGGGTTTGACTACCTGTGCTGGCATTAATAATGTGTAATGGTCATGTGGGGTGGGGATAGGAGTTCATTTCAGCAAAGCAGAGAACTTTTAAAGAGTGTGTCTGTGGTGAAGACTAGATAAATGTCATCAATATGAATGGTAGCTTTAAAGTAGGGCTGAGAAACTTCCAGGGTTTGGTGGGCTGCACCTCCACCACCACCATGTTACCAAAATTTGGTGTCATGGCAGTAAGGAGAGCAATTAAAACTTTTAAAAAACCAAATATGATGCTTTGCTTCCAAAATTTAGCATTGTTTTTCTTGCTGCTGCACCACCAAATTGCTGCAGGAGCAGTGAGGAACCACAAGAAAGGGTCAAGGTGAGATTTTCAGGTTGCATGTTGCCCACTCTGCTTTCAATAAACAATATATATAATTTCATGTACAAATTACATTTACATGTATCATTTTAATTAATGAATTATATATCCTGTTTGGTCTTCTTAGCCCAATCCAAGTGTCTTAAAATGACACTTTAAATAAGACCAAGAATAATACCAAAAATAATTACTTCTAAAACACTTAGAAGTAAAAGAATCTTAAGCAAACTTATTTGGAAATTGAAAATATTGAGGAAACCAGTGGGAGTTGCTTCCAGGAATGTGTTGAGGCTTAGACTCTTAAATTTCTTTTGTCATTGAACCACTAAATTGGTATTTCTGGTTCCAGTAAAATCATTAACTACTTTCATCAATGTAGCTCAAGAGCTTCTTAGTGAGTGGATGAATTCAAAACTGAAGCTGGAATTGGCAAGTGATCCAGAAGACATTGCTGAAAATACAGCTGCTTGTTGTAATCTTCAGGAACCCCCTATGAACTTTCAGAAGTATGACAACTTCGATGGTGAGAGCTTTCCTGGGTTTCAAACTGAGATTTAGAGACCCAATTCACATCATGCAACAACCCATGGTTTGATAACCATAGGTTGTGGAAAGAACCCCTGAATGTACTGTCTGCCTCCCACCTGCTTGCCTGCTTCTGCTTTCATTTTAAAAGCTAGGACCAAACTCTTCCTAAGTTGTTTCATGATGCTCAACCCTGGAAGCTTTGCACTGTTTAGGGGTTAAACAACTAAACAGAGGTAATTCAAGAGTTGATGGTAGGTTAACTCTGGGCATTTCTAGATTCTTAATTGTAAGTGGAAGTAGCAAGCAGCAGGGGCCCCATGGTTCTCCTGTGTGCCCCTACCAGTTCCTGGGTTAAAAAAAAACCCAGGAACTGGTAATGCATAACCTAGTGTTTGGCAGTTTTGAGCACAATTTAATGGGAATTTGCTGTCAAGATGAATTAAATTTGCTTATATGCACATTCCTGAAGGGCCGAAGTTCTGCATTAGTACAACTTATGCTATTGAAATGGTGCTTTTCATGACTTACAGCAAGCAAAGTGCTTAAGTCAAGCTGTATTCATTCTGAAAACTCCCATGACCGAACAGTTTGGGCTTGCACTACAAATGGCAAGCTTGAATTGAGGCTATAGTAAACACCAAACATTTATTTTTGAATATTTGTAAAAACAAAATATGCTTTGTTGGGTATTTGAACATGTAGCAGAGGTAGCACATGAAAAAATGGTGTAAAATGGTGTGACATTGTTTCTGGATTTTTTGGCTTGGTAATGTTTGGATCCAGTTTTTGTTTGTTTGTTTGTGACTTAGCTATTCCTTGTGTTATCTCTCTGTGGGTTTGTTACTTTTTTGTGTCTGCAGTTACGTTTTGTGTGTTGAAGTGACTTTAAAGTACTTTTTCCTCTTTTAGTTCTTGAATAATATATATGCTGTTTATATGACTTGGCACTGCACAGAGGAAATGAATTTTGCATTATTCTCAGTACTGTGCATTGTACATATGGAAACAATTTGCCTGTTCAGCAAAATAGTTAGTTTGAGACTGTGCTGAATATACTTTAAGATAGTTCAGGAATTTTATTGCTGTACTTTTACATACTCTCCACATGACATGCATTCTAGAATTGTATGGTTATTTGGAACAAGAAATGGAAAGTACCACAGTGCAAGACTTTTTGCAGCATCTACTGCAAAGTGAAGTTGTGAAGAGTGGTATTTTGGAAAATCTTAAAACCGAGGATCGCAAGGAGAAAAGAAAGTCCAGGGACCCACGAATTACCATGGAGCTAAGGCATAAACAGGTGGAGGGATCTCTTTGTCTGTTTCCATGTATTTTAGCATATATTTTCTTTGCATGACTTGTATGTTCTCATAACTAGGATCTGTATGAGTCCCAGTTATGGAGGAAATGATCATTAGCAGATAAGACAAGACTTCACCAATTCTGTTATCTACATAGTATGATCTTTGAGCATAATCAACCCCTAATGATGCTAACACAAACTTGAAAATTGCAGGAAGATTGTATTGATGGAACACTGATTTATATATTATATTTCTTTGTGCATTTTCCGAGCCTTGGTGGTTGTCTGGAAATGAGGTAGCCATGTACAAGTGTGTAGAGACCATCTATGTGTGTGCAGGGATATAACCACACATTGCAATTTCCAGTAGTGAGTTGCAATGCAGTGCTACAGATATTGCCCATGTATTCTCTGCTCTTCGTGCAGAAGAGTTTAAAAATAGCTAACATTTAAAAGTGTTTATTTCTCAGGGTCCTCTAGAAAAGAAACATCTCTTGTTTGTTTTTGCCTTTCAGGTAAAGGAAAATCGACTGAGACGGCAGAAGGAGCTTGAGCATCTTAAACAAGAGAAAGCCCTGAAAAAATCTCTCATGTCAGAGGCCCACAAACAACTCCAGGAGGAGAACAAGAAGAAGCTTCTGAAAGCCAAAAGAGAGGACAAGGAAATCCAAAAGCTGATGGTAAAGCTGCGGAAAGAGTTTGTAGAAAGAAGGCAGCGCATAGAAAATGCACAGAAAATGTAAGTTTAGCAGACCAAGCACATGGAATTCAAGAGAGCTTCTGCTATTGTGCACTATAAAAAAGTAATAAATAGGTGCATTTTAGGTTCCGCCACTAGCTCCTTACGGATTGCCTTTTTTCCCAGGGAAAGAAAGAGACTAGTAGAAGTCAACCTGTCCCCTGCTATGTCAGCCCATCTGGACTGTGAGATAGAAGAACAAAGGAAAGCAAAAGAAACCAACCTCCAGGACCTGCTGGGCAAGATTGACATTGCAAATCGGAAGGTGAGAACCTTCACAATCTCTGTTTCAGCACTCTGAGACAGACTGTTTCTTTTAACTAGACCAAGAAACCCTGACTGTCTTATCCAAGCTAAAGTCTGATTGCAGAAATGGTTCATCTCCATGGCAGAGGTCCCAAGATCTCTCTTAAGAGACCTGGAACTGAAAATAATGAAAACCTTGGTTGTATTGTGAAGCAAGTGTCTGTGGTGAGCAGAAGGGTAGCAGAATCTAGAATTTGCTGTGGAAATGGGTTTAGTTTATACCTGGGAATATACCATTGTGTCACATCAGCTGTGTTTTTTATCTCTTTTACCAGAAGACTAAGCTAACCACTTGTGCAGTACCTGTAGCACTGTTGCAACTTGCCATTGAACATTACAGTCTGTGGTTATATCATTTGAGTGTATACTTGAAGAGAGCAGAGAATGGGGAAGATAAATAAAAGCAGACAAGGGCTGTAATCCTAGCTCTGCTTACTCGGGAGCAAGCCCTATTGGACACAATAGGACTTACTTCTGTGCAGACATGCGTAGGATTACAGTGCAACTTGTTAATGGGAGAGTCACACTTGTTCTGGTTTAATTAACTTTGAACCACCTGAGTGTCAGTTAACACCTCCAGACTTTGTGTGGATGTTACTATTGTTTATTTAAAAACAATTTACACTGGATTTATATACTGTCTTCAAGACAGCTAACAACAATGCAATAACAATAGTATCGAAGAGGAATACTGATAGAATCCCAAGGAAAGCAACTGACAACTAAACATATTTTAAGAGAAAATGGGCCAAAAGAAATGAAATACAGTTTCCCATAGGTCAGCTCCAGTTGAGTGATTTGTACAATTATTGTACATTTGAGAAAAACACATGAAAGAGTGCTAGAACTAAGAGGACAGCTGAAGAGATAGACTGCAGAGCTGTTCTAAAAAAAATACCAGAGAGCAATTCTGTGTTCTTTAAACAAGCTTCTGATATTGGAGATGTAAAGGATATCCAAGAAAAATCCTGAAGCCACTCTACCAGGTGTCTAATTTCCACCTCTCGTCTAACAGTCTTTTCTTCAGTCAGAGCACTGGACTTAGCACCAGATTCAACAAAGTAACCAAACAAATAAGCAAAAGCTAACAAGGTGAAAGTCAGGAGGAGAACGGACATTTCACCTGCTTCCAGCCTCACAAAAGGGGACCACTGTGGAAGAGTCCATGGTTGGTGGATAATGCCAAGAAGTGGGATGTGGGGGTGAAACTGGAGAAACACCCCTTTGAGGTCAGAGCTCTAAGACCTTGTGCAATTTGTGCCTGAACCATCCTGTGATTCCTGGGACAATGCCATCTAGGGACCATAGGATTGGACCCTCAAGACTTTGTTTTGTAAATGGGAGGGAATATGGATTAGAGAGGAAAGCAGAAAAGGACTGCTGTTGTTTCTGTAATACAGCTATTTCAGAAAACAATAACGGGGAAAATTATGAAGGAGAATGTTCATTTTGATGTTAATAAACTCTTTTCACTGGTCTTTATTTTCTAATCACAGCAATTGTGTGCCTAGTAGTTTGGGAATGGAGGTACAAAGTTGAGCAAGCTGTGATGACATTTGCTGATCATTTTTGGAATATAAGGGATTATATGATCAGAACAGTCAACGTAACTGAATATGTTTAGATGATCTTATTAACCTTTCAATACAGTGCCTACAGAAGTATTTCTCTGCCTGGTACAAGCTTATCCTGGATCTCAGGATTAAGATGGGAAAAGCAAGGGCCCTTGCTGACTGGAAGTGCCAACTGAAGACTTTGCGGGCCTGGAGAGATTATACATGGTCCCGAAAGCTGGAGCAGGAAATGCAAAGAAATGAGAACCAGCTTTGGGATCAGAATAGGTAACAGTATTTGATATGACTTCTTCACAGAGATATTAATAGTGTGAGGAAAGTATCATGTGATGTTTTGCCAATTCAGGCCTTAGAAATGCTTGCACTAGAGCAGAATGATAACGTTATTATCTCTAGTTTTGCCTTTACTATTTATTTGGAGCTTTTTTCAGAAAAGGATAATGTAAGGAGATGCAGTAAAGGCAGTAAAATGGCATGTCTTTAGACCAAGAATGGGGAACTCAGGCTTGTGGCCAAATCTAGTTCTCTAACCAATGCTTTCTCAGTTATTATGCAACTTCGCTCATTCTGAAAGCTCAGCATGTCTCTCCTAATGCTTACTTACTGGCAGTGATTAGTTTCATACTACTGGGGAAGCAAAATGAGCCATGAGGTCCTCTTTTTCTGGTGCTGTGCCTGTTCCATAATTACTCATGCCAGGTGCGGGTTGCCATGTTACCGGAACCTGGTAAGGTAGGTATAAAACAAGCCATGGGCTGTGGAATGGTTTGGACACCACTCCCACCACCCAGCTCACCACGTTTGAATGACAGAGTAACCCATGCCTGGCTCACATAACTGTGGAAATGAAGCAGCATGCAAACAATATGTGCACAGTAAGGGAAAGACATTTCCTTTTCATTTTCTTCTCTGATTTGTTTGCTTAAAGGCACTAAGACATTTAAGCCAACATTTGCTCTTATTTTGGGACTATTTTCTTTGCATTCAGCTCCACAGACCACTAGAATGCAGCCCTGAAATCTTCTCCAAAACAAAACCTAGCCCTGGGTTGAAAAAAGATATCTGCACCCCTGCCTTTGACTCTTCAGCATAACACAGCTGCATCAGGCTGTCTATGCAGTAAGCTACAGCAGCAGAGTTAGGAATGGTGCCATCAGTGCACATGCTATTTTACAGAGTGAAAAATGAAGAGTCTCTTACCTGAGGAGCTCACAATTTAGCAGTTTATGTAGTAGAGGGAACAGAGGAAGAGAGAAGAGAAGAGGGGAAGGATATGCCATTGTTTTAGGTACATGTGCATAACCCTGATTACAGGAATGAATTGCAGGTTTAAAAAAAACATTTAAAACTGTGAAGGCCCCATCTCCCTGTTTTGCTTGAACAAGTCTTAATGGAAAATACAATATACATTTCTGTTATTATTGTGATATTAAAACTTGCCAATACATTTTAACTCTTGTTCTGTTTCCTTCTTGGCCCTTGTGACTTTAACATGATCCAAAGGTCTTGATGCTTAAAGTCCATTTTGGACAAATCTGATATTCCATTGACTTTACAGAAATTAAATTAGAACCCCATTGAGCTAATTTCAGGCAGTCAAAATACATCTGACCCACACCATTCAGCCTGATGTTGTGGCTGAATGACAGCTTGCCCATAGGCCAGTCAATTTTGGGAGAAGTTTAACAAGCTGCATATCTTGAATTGCCTATCGCCAGTCAAATATCTTAACTGGAAAATGTTGCCTATTAATAGAATTGTAATAGAGGCTGTAACATAGCAAACAGGGAAATACATTGGGGAAAACAAGAATGCATTGTGTGTGTTATACAACCAAGAGTGTAAGTATGAATTGGTATCTGATCAGATACCTTTGAAAGGTGTTGTAAATAAATAAATGTATTTTTAAAAATCATACTTATGGAATTCATTTTTTAAATTTCAACCCAAATTTAAGGGTGGTGATCTTCCTAACCTAAGGAACCTGTGGTTAATTTTGGTGAACATTGTTTTTTATTTAGAAAAAAACAAATGGCTACAAGTTTTAACCGGAAATGTATTTTGCGCCATTACTTTACTGAATGGCAGTGTTGGAGTCGAACAGAAATAGAAAAGAGAGAACTACAGATGAAAAAGGAGGAAACAAGGAGGAAAATGGCAAACCTGCTAGAAGAGTTAGTACTGGGGAAATTTGCTCCACATTCTTCATGGGATAACAAGAAAATCCATGAAACAGAAGAAGCCCAGAATCTGTCTGTGAGTCAAGAAAAGGTAAATTAAGCTATTCTATGGTTTTCTGTTCTGGTTTTTTATGAGGTTGCACAAACACATGTGTGACATGCATCAATGCACTGCTCATGCCCTGAGACAGTGAACTGGCCTGATATGTGTAGCAAAATTTGTTTTTCTTTTTGAGAACAGATTGCAGGCACCGTAATACAAACATGCTGGGTATAACATAAAAGGTTTTGTTGCCTGGTACGCAGAATGATTTATGAGGTGATGGTTGCTGGGAAACTGGAACTGCTCAAAAAGAGGATGAAGCAAATATACATGCTTTTCTTTCTGCCACTGCTAGCTATTTTTTAGAATAGCCATCTTATCCCAGACTTCATGCTTCTCATGGGTATTTCAACCTCCTCCTAATGCCAGAAAAAGGTGAGAGAATCTTACATTACCAAACAACATGAAAGAATAGGATTTAGGAGGCTATTGAGTAGCTCTGGAATCTGTTGCTATGGGAGTCTAGCTTCTTAAAAGAATAAGGCTTGTTAAATTAACATAAATTATAATATTTATAATTAGTTGAGGCTTTCTTCTCCCTTTTCAGATGACTGTAACACCCTATTTACAGGATGATTCCACCACAGTAAAAGTTGAAAGAACAAATTCCTACTCTCTAGAGGACAATCAGAAATTTGATGTTCAGTCAGTAAAGAAGCCAAAATGGGCATGGCAGGTCACTCTGAAACATGCAGCTTTGAATGCTGAGGACCATGCCATGTTTTGTAACCAAAAAAGAAGTTCCTCACAGTGTCTTGGTACATCAAGACAAAAAACAGCTTCTGCCTTCTGGGGCCCCATGGAGCACCGCTATGCCTTCCAGCAGCAGCTGATTGAAGAACAGAGACAGCAGATTCAAGAGCAGCAAGAATTGATCCTTCAGCTTCAGGAAAATGAGAAACTAAAAAAGGTTAGGGAAGAGGCTGAGCAAGCCACTGCTGTTACCAGGACACTTAACAATGTTGCTCCAAAATCTAGGATTGAAAAGTCATTGAGAGAGAATCCGCTGAATTACAAGAATTCAGAGCCTTTAAGGTAGAGTGCTAAGAACACAAAAATGGCATTCCCAATGGGTAAAGCATGTCCTGTTCAAAGCAAAATATTCCAGACAACACTGTGATATTTGTAAACATACTAGATACCTCTGTCTTAGCATTTCTGTTTCTTTCAGGTCAGAAAATTGCCAGGCAGATGTCCAAAGAAAAAAGAATCTAAGAATGCTATCCACACCTCATCCCTTACTCAAAGGTAGAATCTTATGTTTGATGGAATTCATTCCTAGGGTGGGAAGCTTCAGTAAAATATCAAACCTGTCATGAAGCACTTTGAGATACAGGTTGATTGAACACAAACAGGTCCTCATAATTCAGGAATACCTTGATCAGATCTTGACCCCCTATATCATGATGTACTACAGTACGACATGTACATAGATGGATTCATATGACTGATTAATGTAATGGTCTGGCACATAATCATATTTTAAACTGATTTAGAGAGGAAAGCACAGGAATAGCCAGGCACTGAAATGATAGATACGAACACCTGCTGAAAAATAACTGTCTATTTGGCACCTTCACTGTAGGAAAATGAAGCCTTTTTTTTTGAAGTGTGCATTTTTCTTTGACTTGTAGCAACTAAGTAAACTTTTTCTTCTTGGAGACCTTGCCTTTTATATATATCTGGAGCAGGGGGGGCAGGCTGAGGTCACCAACATTGTGACAATGCAGCATGCTCACCCTTTATTTGGCTTTGTGCTAACTAATGATGCTGCTGTATTTCAACCAATCTCAGAAAGACCAGGGTAAGAAGCAATAGTAGTTCAGACAGTATACTCAGTTACTATCTCAAAGGCACATATAATATGCTCCATCTTTTGAGACATGCATTTTTAATGCTTGTAGTTACTGTAAGATCACACCATGATTATTGTTGCTCCTCTTAATAAAACCTTATTTTGCCATTCCTGTTAAATTAGTGTATAGCACACAAAACCAGATAAAACCATTTTAATGTGACTGTGTAATGATTTAAAATGTTATGAAACTGTGTTCCTTTAAATGTTGGTAAGTTTCAGAAGAGCAAGGGGAGTAAAAGTGGGGGATGAGTGAGTGAAGTGAGTTGGTGACTGAGAGTGTGTGGGCAGAGCTTGGAAGTATGAGAGGAGAGGGGGGAAAGATAAGTTACCAGTCTGTCAGAGTTGTGGCCAGTCAGCAAATCAGCAGAATCTGAAGACACAGCCCTCTCATTAGAATCCCAGTGCTGTGAAAGGCATTTACGATTCTAAAGAAGGAAGTAGAATACTTGGAGGACACATTAGTGACTTTGTTGTTGTTGTTGTTGTTGTTAGTCGCGAAGTCATGTCTGACCCATCCCGACCCCATGGACAACCTTCCTCCAGGCCTTCCTGTCCTCCGCTATCCCCGAGTCCACTCAAGCTCACACCAACTGCTTCAGTGACTCCATCCAGCCACCTCATTCTCTGTTGTCCCCTTCTTCTTTTGCCATCTATTGTTCCCAGCATTAGGCTCCAACTAGGGAGAGTCAAAACCTAATGTTGTCAAGTATTATAAGGTGTGAGAGATAGGAGAGATAGAAGCTGACAAAAACCTGAGAGCAGAAGGGAAAGATTGAACTGAGAGAAATAGAATAAAGACTGGTCAAAGTACATTCAGGAGAGAAAGGAGGATTTGAGAGTGGGGTGACTGAGAAAGGAGAGAGTGAGATACCTCTTTATTGTTTATTGTTCACTCAGCATCATAGGCTGTTTGTATACCAGATTCTCATCCTCAGGTTAATTAATAACATTGGGATTAAAATTCTTAGTGATAACATTAGATATCAAGAGAGTTAAAGACAGACCACATCCAAGAAAGGAAAGGAGAGTACCTGTGAAGCATAATACTAAATTGTCCAGAGGTTTTAATTATTAAGTTGGTAGTTCAAGGTGCAAGGGAAGAAAGATCTTTAAAAATGCTTGACTTACTGCAAGAAATTTTAAATTCGTTATAATAAGGGGATGCTGTATTTTTCATGTGATTATTGCAGCTATCATATACCTTTAGGTACATTTGAAGATTCCAGTTATACCCTAGATAAGGCCTTTTTCAAACTTGTGTGAACAATATATGTCAATTGGAAAGAAACTTGCATGTGATAAACATACTGCTTGAGAATAATAACCTTTTGCTCAGAAACTCATAGAGCCTGTTAGATTCATAAATGCCTCCCACATCTTTGAATATTGTTTGTGAAAATTTTACTTGAACTATGATATCCAGGATCGCCTCAAAACATCCTATAAAATACAAGAACCAGTGTGAAGTCAGGAAAATCCAAGTTCAGATTTCCATGCAGTCATGAAACTCTGTGGGTGACCTTGAGCTTCTCACAGTTTCAGACAAAACTACCTTAACATGGTTGCTGTAAAGGTAAAACATGGAGGAAGAAAGAGATACAAATGTGATGAATATGCTAAATTAGTCACATTTACTCTTTTCTAGAGCGGGTAATGAATGTGTAAGCTGCGATAAGAGGGATGTAATTAAAGCAGGATTGTGATGATTATAATTAATTGTAAAGGTTAAAATTAAAGGTTACAATTAAAGCATAAAATGGTATTTAACAACTTAAATGGAAGATTATTCACTATTTTAATGTTGAATTCCTGAAGATAAGATTTCTTATCTGTACTCTGATTCTCATCTCATAATATCCTCTCTGTGTAAAAAATGATACATCATTATTGTGAAATGTGAACTTTGGTGTTGTGCATTTACCCTCTCTTCCTTAGGATTTCCTGATTCCATTATGCCCAGTTACTCCAAAACTGATGGAAGTTTACTTAGTGACTTGCTCTGAGTGACATGGCAACCCAGGAGTGAGTGGCAGTGAGCCACTGCATGTTGTCATGTTGTCCAGACCAAGCCTGAGTCACCTACAGTGGCTTCCCCCGTTTTTTCCTTCTAACAAAGCATCCTAAGAACCAGTGGGGTGTTCTAGGGGTGGTTTTATCTACAACTATTTGTTACATTGCTTATCTCACTGTGATTTGTTTATCCTACCATGCGTAGTGTCCAGCAGTCAGCAAGGAGCCTGGCAAGAGTGAGAAAATCTTGACATTCTTCCCAAGTTTGCCCTAATCACTGACAGGGCTACCCACCCCGTGAATCCCCAGATAAGTGATGCGGCTGCCCCCCCTACAAATTCATGAAAAAATGCAAAATGTGCATCATCTTGAGAATTATTAGGGCAAAAAACAAAAGATTGTGCTACAAAGTCAGTGTAAATTCCACCACGTGCTTTTTGTGCGAAAAGATCACTCACATCTTTGGTATGGCTTAGCTTGACAGCTCACCTTTTGACAACTGCCGAAAAAACCAAAGGATTCAGAAACCCTTAGGATCCTCTTAAGTTCAACATCCAGGGCTGGTACCTGCTATACTTCGGCAGCAAGTGCACCCCAACACTGCACAACCAAGGCTCTTTAGTTCCCCATTTGTGCAACTGTGCTTCAGAACAATTGTGCAAGTATGACAAAAACTAAGTGGAAACAATTTTGTTTGTAGCTAATTACAAAAATGGTGTGGGGGTAATGTTTGCCAGCTACAGACAACCCCTTCAGGGTGCTGTTCTGGCACTTTAAGGGGACTATCAGTGGTTGTCAAAATGGAGATTTTGAAAGGTGACTGACACTTGGGGGACCAGCTGTCGTTGGTGATCACCCAGGTGAGCTCAGCAAGAGGGGCAAGAACTGGCTGCCACTCTTACTGAGCAGTTTGCTCACCATTTCCCTGGAGCTGGGATGGGATTAGTGTGCTGGGTTCAGATGTCAAGGCAACCCAGCTTGGGTTCAGCAACCTGGAGCTGGCCGTGGGTTATCAGGGTAGCTTCTTGTCCCAAGACAAGAACTTGCAGGAAGTAGTTCATATGACGCAACAACCCACATTGTGGCTAGTTACTTACAGTGGATCACCATATTGTGCAAACCCAGTTGCTGCATTGATCTAGATCAGGGGTAAGCAATGTGCTGCACTCAGACACTTTTATTAGTTACTACCAAGATTTTGTATTTATTTATTTAAATTTTACACCACCCATAGCTGAAGCTCTCTGGACAGTTTACAACAAAGGGTAGGAACAATAAGAACATTATAAAATTAGATTAAAACATTAAAATTAATTTAAAATAACATAAAAGAACTTTAAAAAGACCTGCCCATGAGTAAAAGAAAGGCACCTGGTGAATCGTATCATGCCCCTGAATGGTTTTTAAAGGCCATTGAAAAGAAGGCTGTTTTAACCTCATGCCCAAAAATGGCAAATTTGGTGCCAGGTGGGCTACAGCAGGGAGATTATTCCAAAGTGGTATTCCACCACCAAAAATGCCCTCCCCTACTTGCCACCCTCCAAGTATCTCAAGGGGTTGGCACCCAGAGGAAGGCCCCAGAGGCAGAGCATAGTATCCAGGTAGATCAGAGTTGGGAGATGCACTCCAACAAGTATTGTGGGGCCTTGAATTTAGGACTGGAAGCATTCAGGCAGCCTATGTAGGCAGACCAGAAGTGGTATACGTTTGGACCTCCAAGTCCCAGTTATTAACCTGGCTGCTACATTCTGCACCAGCTGCTGCTTCTGAACTGTCTTTAAGGACAGCCCCACAGAGTTTGTTGCAGTAATCTAATCTAGAGGTTGCCAGAGCATAGATTACTGAAGGCAGGCTATCCCTGTCCAGATAGGGGCACAGCTGGGCCACCAGCTGAAGCTGGTAGAAAGCACTCTGAGCCACCAATGGCACCTGAGCCTCAAGTGACAAAGATGGATCAAGGAGCACTCCCAAGCTAGAAACCTGTTCCTTCGGGGGTTCTGCAACTTCATCTTGAACAGGTTGAACATTCTGTTCAAAGGAATCACTCACCTACAGCATCTCAGTCTCGCCTGGATTGATTTCAGTTTGTTAGCCCTCATCCAGTCCATTATTGTAGCCACACACCAGCCTCATCTGCCAATGATGAAAAGGAGAAATAGAGCTGTGTGTCATTAGCATACTAAAGGCAACAAACTCCAAAACTCTGGGTGACACTTGCTCTCACAAAGAGACATTAATTACTTTCCTGGCTAAGCTGGTTATCCTTTCTTTGCTGGTTTTTATAAACCGGGACGGGCGAGGATCCAGTCCAGAGATGGTTGCACAAACGTGTCCAAGTGCTTTGTCCATATCCTCAAGCTGTACCAACTGAAATTCATCTAGTAAAACTAGATAAGACTTTTCTGGATACCTCCACCAATTCAGCTGCTGTAACTCTGGAATCCAAGCCTAGTGGATGCAACAGAATTTTTTCCTGGAAGCGTCCAGCAAGTAGGTTGCAGCAGACCAGAGATGGTTCCAAGGTGTCCCTTGGGCCAGAGGGTAATAAGCCTCGAATAACCTTGAAAATTTTCACTGGGAAGCACAGAAAGGATTAAATAGAGGTAGAGAAACAGGGTGTCTACCCTTTCCACTTCCTTTTATTAACATTTTCTTACCAGCAATTGGGGTTGCTGTACAGTTGGTTTCTGTTGGTGCTGAAAAGTTGATTCAAAGAAGTTGCATAATTGTTCAAGCACAATCTGTACCTCTGCTTGTTTTTTGTCTTTTGGGTAAGTTACTTGACCTTTGTCATACCTCCCATGGCACATGTTTTGTGGTGGTGTACAGGGCAGTTTCTCAAATGGTCAGATGTATCCAGTGACCAAAAAGTTTGACTACCTTTGATCTAGATGAACAATGCGACAGTTGTTACATTCTTTGGTGTTATAAGTCAATTCACATACAAACAGAACTAGTTATTCTTTGAGTTGCAAAGCTGCATTTGCCCTATGCTCCTTATTCTTCAATTCTTTAGCCATGGAAGAGAGAGCAATTCAGCGAGCAGAACGGAGGAGGGAACTGGAGGAAGCTAAAAGGAAACGAGAGGAAGAGAAGTTGGTAAGTAAAGCTGCATGCTGCCATAAACCATACATTAAGTATCTCTTAAAATAAAAGACAGCGAAACTAAAAGTGGCTCAGTGTTTAAACACATACAAAACACTTCAAGGCTGAAATGGGCATACCTCATAGCTGTATAGGAATTTTCTTCCTGGAACAGGCTAAAGCAACTGTGCATTTACCTGCTTGCCTGATACCGTAAGAAACATGGCATTTTATGAAAGTGAGTGCATGGAATTCCAGGTAGGATAGTGAACATGCTGGTAGATCTCCCATCTGGAAACCAAATGGACTGCCAGAGCAGGGAAGATCCCCCTCCACATCCAGCATAGATGTGTAGCAGGCTAGTGAAACTTTTTGTAGGGTAGCAATTTTTGTGGGCTTGCTTGCAAAGCTGGTTCTGCATGCAGAGCAAACAAGTAGAGCAGGATGGTGACTGCTCTCTCCTGTCCTTCTGTTTGGAGGTATTCCACTGAATGTTTGGCTGTCTTAACTAATAACTGGTAACGGAGTTGTCTTCCATGAGCACTGAAAATAATTCAAGCTAAGAAAAGTGTGCACCAGTCTGATGCTTCAGGATAAAAGCAAAATCATTTGTGGTTACCCTGTACTGCTGTGTGTGTAGCATAACTCAATGACCCAAGGGCATTAAGCCTATACTGTATACGTTCCTCTGTTTATTATGGTTTAGTGGATATCTGGTTTGGATATTTTGTGATACAAGGGGATTCAATGTGATGGGCTGAAACTGCTTTTTTCTCTTTCCTATTAAAAGGCCCAGATGCAGGCTGAAGAAGAAGAACGTCAGAAGCAGGAAGCTGCAAAAAAACAGGCTGAATTAGAAAAGAGGCGAGAGGAAAGAAAACTACAGAAGATGGTGAGCAGAATATTGAGCTTGCCTCTGCTCCATAGTTCTTTTGCTCAAGGGTTTTAGCTGTTTGTTCAGCTATGACTCTTTGCAAAGAGCAGGAATTGCCAGTCTTATCCAGTGGCAAGCAGAAGATTTGTATCTATCAGTAGATCTCTGGATAATCTGTAGAGGACCATGAAGGATTCACTGTTTAATGATAGTAACCACAAAATCTCTCCCCCTGCCCTGCCCTACCTCTACATTAAGCTGCTGAAATTAAGGAAGTTTGGGATGGAATTCTGTATAATAGGGTCATGAGCTCCATTCAGTTTTGATACCTAAACAAATTCCTGGGCTCAGAATGTCTTTAATATGTCTAGGCTTGACTTAATGGATATTGTGGTTCTAGTAAAAAAAAAAAAAAAAGATCACACAAGCCTGGAACCTGCCTGTCCCTCGTCCTGTACACCAGTGTGAAGGGTTCTTCAGAGGTGAAAAACCCAACTTACCCCTCTCAAAAGGGCCATTTTGAGCACTTCTCTTTCAAAGCAATACTAATGGTCACCATCTGAAGCGTGGCCCCATATAATATAAGTGGGCTGTAGTATTATTATCAGGATAGCCTTGCCTTGAGGATGCCAGTGGTCTTGGTCTCAGTCTCTCTCTTCCTCCATAATGTTTGGAAGCTGGACTCAAGGAATGCTGGCCCCAGATGTGTGTGGGGAGGTATCTCTTAGGCAGTAAGACCTGCTTTCTTAGTTGACACACCTTCATGCCCCTGTTCCCACTTCCGGTTCGCTTGCCCTAGCTCTCCTCACGACTGCACAGAAAGGAAGAAGGGATGAGTAGGCTGCTGCTGCTCTTCAGGGCCTTAAGCTTGACAAGAGCAAATGAACAGGAGGCAATAGTGAGGAAGCAAAGCAGCTCTCCCTTCTCTGCCCATCCCTGTCAGAGTTAAAACAGGCCCCATTCTGAAGGGTGGGGTTAGCAGGTTGCCGACAATGCTGATGTGTGACACTGGCTGTGGCTTTAAACGGAGACTGTGCTGTGTACAATCTCTGACAGACAAAAGGAAAAACTGGTGATCCATTCAAAATTGAGCAGATCAGATGGCACCATTTAATACAGGAATATAGAGCATGTGGCTTCTCCAGTTTTTGGATTACAGTTCCCATCATTCCTTCATATTGGCTATGCTGGCTAGGGTTAATGGGTGTTGCAGTCCTGATCAAATAGGAGGTGTAGAGAAATGTGTATAATTCTTGTATGTGGTATGGTGAGAACTGCTGTTGAGCAGCAACTTCAGTTGAGATCTCAGGACTGGAAAAGAATTATAGTGAGTGCTTTCTGGAGCAACATGAATATCAATCTTTTATTTTAATAACAACTTCAGCTTGGCACATGAGGGATACTGTGTTGTATACCCAAGAAAGGATTATAATCTGGCAAAAGGTCCTTAAGGAACTCCTAGTAATGAATCCCTTATGTTAATCATTGGTTTCAAGACCAATTACTAAAAGTAATGAACATTCTTGATAGGATATTTTGACCTCATGAATGTATCGTCTATTTCACTAATCACAGAAAGAACTAGAAAAACAGAGACGGATGGAGAGAGAGCAGCAGCTCTTGTCAAAAGCAAAGGAGCATTACACCAAGGTTTTGCTCAAGAAACAAGGGCTGGATCCTTGGAAAAGACTAATAAAGCAAAGTCAGGAAAATATGGTGGTAAGTACCTGAATAATTATAGGTATTTTGGAAATAATGTTGGCTTTCTGGGCTAAGGATTAGTCTTCTGCCATGTATTCACTGTTCTCCAAGCTAAAAATTCCTGGTTAGTAAACTAAGATTTATGAGAAGTGTTGCAACTTAGCTTGGTCTAGAAAGCAGTGCCTGAACCCATCAAGAATGAACCATTCCTGGCTCCTTTCTGACCTACTTAGGTTTAGGTTATGAGAAATCATTCAACCTCAGTCTATTTTCTGATGTTGAGTAAAAAGAACAGCTGGGTTGAGACTTAAAAGTGGGGAGAGAAGGTTGCAACAACTACAGTATACAAAGAACGGTGCTCTATGTGACTTTGCTCTCATGTTACAGATGATTATTTAAGTAGTTAGATAATTTGTAGCTCAACCTCCTACCAAGAAAAATGACACTTAATGCAGCTTACAATCATAAATAAAACTAGATTAAAACCACAATAAAACAAAATACAATGAAAATACAGCAATAATAGAATATAAACAGCAGCCAACCCTACCAAAGGCTTGCATCAGTAAAGAGGTCTTTGCCTCTCAGTGGAAGAACAAAAGAGGAGTGGAGCTCACCTTTCTCAGCAGGGAGTTTCACAGCCTGGGAGCAACCATTGAGAAAGTTCTTTCTTGTGCCTCCACCAAGCATGCCTTTAAAGGTGGTGATATTGAAAGAAGGGCTGCTCCCAAAGATCTTAAGACACAGATAGGCTCTTATGGAAGGAAAGAATAGGCGAAGACCTTTTTATTTAAGCGTCATTTTAATTGTTAACAGTATTTGCTTATTTTATCTGGCCAGGACGACTTATTTTATATTGTTACTTATTTTATATTGTTATTTTTATATTGTTAGTTTTGTATTTTACGTCATATTGTGAGCTGCCCCGAGGCTTCGGCGAATGGGGCAGTATGGAAATGTTAGATAGATAGATAGATAGATAGATAGATAGATAGATAGATAGTCTTTCAGGTAGCCTACTCCCAAGCCTTCTATGGCTTTATAGGTCATAACCATCACTTTGAATTGGGCCCAGACACAGACTGGTGACCCGTGAGACTTGTATAACAAAAGAATTTTATTTCAGCCAGCTTTTTAGTTGCCCCATACGTGGTAATCTTAATCCAGACATGCATTTTAGTAACTGACTTCTGCAGAGAGTCCTCACATTTAAAGCAATTATATGAGGAAATAATAAATGATTATCTGCATTTTCATTTAAAGCCAGGTATATCTGTGAATCCAGCTTGCCAGATCTGGATAAATTTCATGCTATGACTAGTGAAGAAAATGTAATTGTATTGTTAAACTGCAGAGTTAAAAAAGGGATCATTTAAAATGCTCGCTCCAGCAATAGTGAAATGGGAAACTGAGTGCAAATAATGGTGGGAGCTTCTAATAATAAGCCAGAGCAGTATTGCATTGGAGCTTTCCTGACTGCAGCCGCCAGCAATCTTTTGAGTAACCAGGTCTCTCTTGCTGTCTGAACTCAGATGGCACAAAGGCATCATTGCTTCGGATTGCAAAGGAAATGTCTGCTTGCGTGGCTTCATCATGTGCAAGAGATCCTTGATGGAAAAATAGCACAAGCTGAGAACCTTTATTCCTGCCTGTTGCTCAGAAGGTCCTTCGGAATCTGGAGAAAGGTGGGCATGTTAAATTAGCTGTTGACTGCAATCAATTACTTTGTAGCCTTTACATCTAAATTGCTCTAATCTAGGCCTGTAGGCTGAGGACAATAACTGAGGGCTAGGGACAACTTGCTTACTTTCAGCAGTTTGTGGCACAATGAATGGGGATGAGTGGGTAGTCTGAAGAGCAACATTCCCCACAATCAGCATAGCTAGGAAGAGGATGCTGTGCTATATTCATTCTTGGACTGTGGCCATGAGGAGCCTATTTATGTATTTACCACACTTATAGGCCCCCCGATGACAATGTTTTCTAGCCTACTTGATACCGCTGGTGGCCCTTGCTGGATCAGAGTGAAACTACATGACTGTCTCAGCCTGACTCCCAGTGTGCAGATCTGAGCATGGAACCACAGTGCCTTCTTTTTCCAATCAGTCTGACATAGGAAGGACTGTGTCTTTCCCTTTCCTTTTTTAAATGGAAACTGAGATTGTCAAATATATTCAATAGTAACTTTTTTTATCTGCCTGGAAGAGCTCACACCCTGCTGTTCCTAAATCTAACAGTTCTTTTGTTTATTCACACACACACACACACACACTTTGACTGGATTTAGATGGGTAACTAACCTCAGTAGGTTGCTATCTCGGAACACTTTCTGCAGTCTGGCTTGTTTGAGGGCAGCAAGCCACCCTGACAGCCCACAACTACTTCTAGGGGTTGTTGAGGCCACAATGGGTTGCCATGTCATTCACATCCGGAAGACTGATCCCCATCATGTATACAGGGATCCTCCTTGCTGCTTTTGCCAAGCTTGCCTGAGCCACCATCAGTGACAGCCACTTGAACAGCGCCTAAGCCTCACTTTGGAGCAACCATTACTGCCTCAGTCCCCCTACACCACTCATAACTCCTTTTTGGTTGCCTCTGCAACTTTTTTCCCCCTTTCACAATCTTTTTACAATCTCTGGTAGAGACAGCCACGGACAGTCTCTCTAAACTTTAATTTAAACTTAAGCCCCTTTAAACTTTAGAGTCTAAAGTGCCCAGGTGACACACTGAACCACTTTGGTTTTTTAGGGGTCAGAAATATGCACAAATATTTTCAGATTTTTTTTTATTGGATGTGTGCAAATTGCTTGTTTCCAACCAGCCAAAAGATGTCTTGCTTTTTTGGTGTTATGGTCAGTATCTGCTGCAGCATACCATAAGTACAAGACGTGGACACTGATCAAGCAAGACTGTTGATAGGTTGTCACTTTGCTTCTCACATGACAGCTGTCCAAGATTTTCTTGTGAAAGGGAGTGGCAATTATATCACCCCATCCTCTAATTCTGAACTATTCACAATAGAACTATTCACATTAGGCTCACTTGCTAGGTATTTGGGAAAGGGGAAAGGTGCACCACATTGAGTTTTGATACCATGCAGCCATGAAAAAATTGGTGGTAAATTACAACCATTCTGTGTGCTGCTTGGGCACCTAGGCTGTCAGTGGCTATAGCAATCAATCCAATGCAAGAAGTGATTGTGAGTGGCAAGAGGAGACAAGGTGGCTTCAGCTGCCAAGTCCCCGGGATACATGCTGGAGGGTTAGCCCATAGTAAAACCCAGTCAGTCTGTTGAGGGCATCTTGAGCTATTCGATGAACAATATATGCTGAAAAGCTTAACCCATGCAGTGAGTTGCCAGGTTGGGTGAACTCATCCCCCATTCTTTCCCTTTCAAAACTGTTATCTTAGTCATCTGTTCTGTCACTTTTCCCATTGCCTGTTAAGAGCTATGCCTATATAAAACTTAAACATTACTTTCTTGGATTCCCCTTTCTTGGGTTTTGTCTCCAGTACTTATATTACATATCTACTCTGGAAGAGATTGCAAGCAAACACCAGGAAACCTCTCTTAAGAAGAAGGTATTTTGGGCTTGGTTTGATGTACTCAATGAGGAGAAGAGTGCATTGTGGAGAAAACAGCAGGTGGCAGACCAGTATAGTGACAGGTAATTATATAAACATACTATATATTGTTTTCTTTTGAGATATATTTACTGGAAGTATTGACTTTTTACTTTGTACACTTTGTACACTGTTCTTGCTTGTGGCAAACTAATACAAAACAGTCCTTGATTCTGGTATACTTTAATTGCAGTTTTTAGAGATAGTGAATACCCTAAAAACCAACAGGTTTCCATAGATATAGTCCTCTAGGTGTTGACTCTTCTGCTCTGCTTTCCACTTTCAGTATAGTAATAACTGAGATCAAACTACTTGTATCTGTGATGAACGCCAATGGAAATACAAACATTGGCAATGTAGTTGCAGTATCACATATTCCTTCACAAAACTGCTTTATTAAAACATACCTTAACTGCACAAGAGGGAAAAAAATAGGACTGATTTTTACTAGTCAATGGCTTTGAAATGATAGAGAGCAAACATAAAAGAATAGCTAGTGGTGCATCAGACTCTGGGCTTTTTCTTAAAAAAAAGAAAGATAGGTTAAATCAAAAACTTGATGTCAACAACAAAAAACAGAAGAGGCAGAAGAAGCAGCAAATTTATAATAAGCATGGGCCAGAAAATATTAGCAGAATAAAGTTCCAAGGAGGACTGCAACTTTTGAGAAAGTTCTCTTGAGAAAGTAACATTACACTTCTTGTTAAAGTGGAGGGGGTGTTTGCAAGGGAGAAGGTGGCTGGGAATGGGTGCTTATCCTTTCTTTGGAATTCTCCCCTGTCCGTGTATGTGTATGTGCATGTGATGGGGAGGGTAACTGTGCTGACCTCATTGAGCTTCAAGACCAGAAGAATCTCAGCTGCAGTGAAACATTGTCTCAGGGTTCATTTGCAGGAAAGCATCAGCAGGCACCATAAGGGTTAAGACCCTTACTGATACAGCTCTACATTCACAGTTACCGGCAGATGTGTGTTTTGATTTTAAAGATGGAATTCCACACTAAGAAGTAGCATGGCTGGCAGCATTCATTTATGAATTCAGGGAAATCATGGTCCTCTGCCACAGATGATGCTAGTCTCATTCCAGCTCAGTTGTGCTGTGTTGGCATTATACCTTGTTCCCATTAGGCCTGCTCTGCACACAGGCAGATGTTCCCCATGTTCCCTGAGGAGGTAGAGGGGTGACTCAGGAATTACGTTTGGCTTTCTGCTACAGGAGGGATTTATATGCTTGTCAAGGGCTTTGGAATTTTGAGGAATAGCTTTAATATCAAGGTACTTGTCTGAAAAGAATTTTATGTATATATAAATCTTCACCCCTTTCTCCAAATATACCAGTGCAGGAAGATCATGGAAAATTCTTCCCAGCAACCAGTTTCTTCACAGAGGATATTTGCAGTCTTTTTGCACAAAATATTTAGCTTTCATGAATCATATTGTTGTCTTTAGCAAATAACCTTCCAGGTTAAATGGCAATTGAATCTGAATAAGAATATTTGTTTCTTGATAGCTTTTCACAGCTTCACCCATTTGCCTACTGAGACAACCTCATACAAGAACATAAAGTCAGAAAAATAACTATGCTGGATCAGATCAATGGCCCATCCAGTCCAGCACACCATTCCCAAGGTGGCAAACCAGCCAAACCATGGGATCCTTCAAGCAGGATGGGTACAAGAGTTCCACTTCCCCAAGCTCCTTAGCAACTGGTTCATGGAGGCATACAGCCTCTGAAAACAAAGGCAGCATATAGCTAATAAGGCTAATAGCTATTGACAAACTTCTCCATTAATTCGTTCAGTTCCCTTGTAAAGCCATCCAAATTGGTGGCCATCACTATTTCCTTTGACAGTGAATTCCAAAGTTGTATTATTCACTGAATGAGGAAGTACTCCCTTTATCTGTGCTGAATTTCCTGCCCATCAACTTCATGGGATGACTATAGGTTCTAGTATTATGAGAGAAATGCCTCCCTCTCCACTTTCTGCATGCAATGTATAATTTTAAAAACCTATCATGTCTCCCCTTACTTACATTTTTCTAAGCTAAACAATTCCAGTTGTTGTAACCATTCCTCACATGGAAGTCCAAGCTGTTAATCATTTTGGTTGTCCTTCTCTGTATTTTTTCCAACTCAGTAATGTCCTTTTTCAGGTGCAAAGACCAAAACTCTACATAATTTTCTAAGTGTGGTTGCACCAAAGATTTGTCCAAGAAGAGTATGGTCTTGGCAGTTTTATGTTTAGTTTGTTTCCTGATAATGCCTAACATGGAATTTGCCTTTTCTCAGCAACTGTGCACTAGGTTGATGTCCACAACAACCCCAGGAACCCTTTCTTAATCAACCACTGCTAGCTCAGATCCCATCAGCTTATATTTAAAGTGGATTGTTTTACCCCAACATGCCTTACTTTACACTTGTTGAACTGCATTTGCCATTTTGAGGCCCATTCTTCCAGCTGGGAGAGATCTGTTTGGAGCTCCTTGCAATCCCTTTTGGTTTTAACTGTGCTACATATTTTGATGTCATAAGCAAACCTAGCTAATCCACTGCTTACTCCTAATTCTGAATTATTTGTGAATAGGCTGAAAAGCATAGAGAGTTCCATGAAAATGTCAGCCCAGTGTGTGGCTGCTGTGAAAAAGACAAACTCCATATTAGACATAATTAGGAAAGGTATTGGGGGAAAAACCTCTTAATGTCAGACTGGCTTTATAAAAATCCGTGTGTGCCCACAGTTAGAATATTGTGATCACTGAACCTAAAAAAGCATATTGTTGAGATAAGAAAAGGGCAATTAAAATGATCAAGGGGTTGGAACAACTACCATGTAAGGATGGTTATACCAGTTAAGATTGTTTAGCTTAGGAAAAAAGCAGGTAAGGGCAGACATGACAGAAGTCACAGGATTATGCATGGTGTGAACAAAGGGGAAAGGAAGACATTTTTCTTCCTTTCCCATAAGACTAAAACCTGGGATCATTCCATGAAGCTGATAGCTGAGAGTCAGGACAGTACTTCCCCATTGAAGTCCGGGCCGAATTCAAGGTGTTGGTTCTGACCTGTAAAGCCCTTAACGGCTTGGTTCCTGGTTACCTAAAGGAGCGTTTACATCCATATGTGCCTGCCTGCCCCTTGAGATCAGATGGAGAGGCCCTTTCCTGGGAACCCTCTGTGAAGGATATTAGGAGGGTATGTACTCAGAGGAGAGCTTTCTCTGCGGTGGTGCCCAACCTATGGAATACGCTCCCCAGAGAGGTCCGCCTGGCACCGTCGTTATTTGTTTTTCGACGCCAGGCGAAGACCTTTTTCTTTAAACGCCATTTTAATTGTTAATATTATTTATTTATTTTTATGGCCAGGGCATCTCCAATTATATTATATTGGTTTATATTGTTATTATTTATTGTTGTAAGCCACCCCGAGGCTTCGGCGAATGGGGTGGCATAGAAGCTTTCTAAATAAATAAATAAAAATAAATAAAATAAATTCTTACCCTGCCACAAAACTCACTGGTTGAACTTGGACCAGTTGTTCTCTCAGCCTAAGTTACTTCACCAGTCCATTATGAGGTTAAAATTGAAAGGAGTTGGGGGAAGCAGGGATTGGCGGTCTGGAAGAAAATGAGATATAGATGTATCCAATATTTGTCCTACTTAGAGTAAGCTTGTTTAAATTAATTCAAATTGCTGTACTTCAAGTAGGACTAACATTGGATACAGCTCCAATACATTTTTTAAAAATGTATTATCATGTGCAAGCATAGCTCTGTAACACAAAGCCACTTGTCTTTCTAGTGCAATTTTCCTCTGCTGTCACGACAGTCAGAATGTGTCTAACATTTGTTAGAAATGTGTTAGAAAATGTATCTCTGGTATGTCAATGGTCAAGTGTTACGTTGGGATATATTTTCCAGAAGTCTCTTAGAAGTACATGTATGCCTAAGGCATCTGACAATTCAGATGCTACAAAGAGATTCATCTTCTATTATAGATGCCAAGAAAAGTTGTATGAGAGGCAGCCCACCAAACAAAATTTTGTAATCAAAATATTGGTTATCATGCAGTCTGTGTGGATAAGAGTTTTTGTTAGCTTGGATAACTAATTCTATTAGCTAGAATAACCAGTTCTGAAGAGACTAGCAGCAGTGTCAGTGTAGGACCGCTCTCCCTGCCCCCAATGTTATGGATGGTAAAAAAAGAAGAATAAGACAAAAGGAAAGCGTTTTCCTTCTGTTATCCTCTCGTCACCCTTCCTGGCTGCATGGAAAGCTGCTCCAACCCCTCTGCTTGCACAGAGAAGCACCCTGCTGGAAAAGAGGGGCTATAGAGTCTTGAGCTGGTGCCTTTGTGAGAGCTCGGGGGACAACTACCCATTGCTTTGGAACCAGGAACTCCGGAATGTGTATAATCTGGGCTGGGGGAGGGACAGGAGTTTTCACTCCCATTATTACCCCTTCATTGGTTAAAGAACTGGCGGGAGGCATCCAGCATGCAGGGGTTTTCCTACTGCTTGCTAGCTTCTCTGCCAGGTCTTGTTCAGAGCTCAGAACTAGAAAGAGCCAGCCTTTCTCCTCCATCTCTAGCCATTGATTAGGTAAGCATGAGATTTCCTTGCTTGGGGCTAGACCAAGGCAGCCTTTCTCTAGTACAGAGCAGGAAAGGGCAGTCTGTTTTGCCACGTGCAGAGAGGCATGGACCAATTACTGTGTGCTTTTCTCTGCATGGAGAAAGGTGATAGGGGCTGGGTCTTTGGGATGAAGGAGCTCGCCCTCTGAAGTCATCCAGGCCTCAGGGAATATCCAGGAGGCAGCTGCACCCGCAGTTGAAACCGTTCCTCATCCAACAGTCTAAAGCATCCTTTTGGGATGGTGAAATGAAGTTCCAAGGAAAGGGAGATGTGGTACAAAGAAGTTCCGTCCTCCCTTTCTTCTCCCAGGGGTCTCCTGCCCTTGCTTTTTGCCCTGAAATCTTTCTCACCTTTCTCCACACCCTCACGATCCTCCTGCCACATTTCCTTACTTCTGGAACTGTGGCTGTCACAGAGCAAACTCTTCTTGCCTTGAAGTTCAGTGGGAACAGCAGATAGAAGACAACAACAACTTAGACACAGCTTCTATGTGGGAGAACCTCTGCAGAACAGAGGTGCAAAATCCCACAACTGAGGACCAAATCTGACACTCCTGGGTTCCCCAAAGGACCATATGCTCTTTCTCATGACAACCAATTGTTTGTGATTTCTTGGCTTTCACACAGCTTTTTCCCTATTGTAAAAGTTTGAAATGCCTGTGCTAAGGCCTAATTTGACAGTAAGAGCTTTGAATTAAAGTATACTGGTATTTTGACCCCACCTACCACTAGAATGTAGCTGCAAAGTACTTCTCTGAAATAAAACGTAGCCCTTATGCCCAAAGAGATTCTGTACTGCTACTGTGCTATACTACCAAACAGGAGGATCCATTGCAGACACAGAAGCAAAAAGATACACTTTCAACAAAAGTCTTGCCCTTTAAACTGTGAAAGGGAACACTCTGTCTCGTAGCTTATTATCTTGTGAGGTTAGGGATATTTAACCATTGAACTGGAAAATAAAGTACTTTCTCCTTAAATGGTAGCAATGAGCAGCAATGAGTCATCACTTTATTGTTAACTTTGCCTCTACAGGAATAGTCTATGTTTTAAAGTGTTTGTTTTATTAAATTTGTTGAAGAGAATGTGAGAAACAGACAAAAAGGAAATAAATTTATTGCACTTAGGCATATATTTATTAACATGTACATTTTCTATTTTTAATTCTGGCACCTTTGGCATGTTTTCTCTGCTCCCCACAATTTTTAATACAGGAGGATCGTGCTAATTGCTTTCAGAGCTTGGCAGCAATTCCCAGCACTGATGGAAGAGGAAAGGAAGAGGGAAGAAAGACTAGCGCAGCTAAGAAGGATAGTGACTGAAATTCTGCCAGACTTTCAACCATGACAAATTAACGCCAGGCCAGAAGGCAAATAGAATTGGGAGAAAAGGGATAAGGGATCTGACATGCTGCATTCTCAGATAGTGAATATGTGGAGACTTTCCTGCAGATCTTAGACCTTGCATCCCTGTCTGTTTCTGTCCACAGTGTGGCAGCACCTTAGTTCCCCAGAAGAAAAGTCTTGCTGAACAGCTGCATAAGGATAGAATGCAACAATCAAAAGTAGACCAATGCCAGAGCCTCCTTTTTTCTGTCTCGGCCAGTTAGTCTGTTTCCCTATGGTGACAACCACATGTGGACCTTTTGTTGCCCTTGCCTCACCCCGCTGGTTCACTCCCATATGCACAATTGTGCAAAGTTCTGCCTTGTCATACTGTCCCAGTCTGCTGCAGGATGAGTTTGAATGCAAAAGCACCTAAGCAAGTTCTTTCCCATTCTCTGAAGTTCTATCAAAATGCCTGCAATACTTGCCTGTGCCCCCACCCACCCACCCACCCACCCAGTGATATGGAGTTGTCCCACAAGGGAGCAGCTCCTACACTGCCATGCATGCAAAAGGAGCCTGTATCAGGACTGGCATTACAGCCCTCAAAAGACTGAGGGAACATGTACCTCATCTCAGCCTGGCACAGTACAGCTGCCCAAACAGATAAGGCAGCTTTCCCCAACCAGGTGCCCTCCAGATGCATGGCTGGTTGTGGAGTTCTGGACACTAATCCCACACATCTGAACAACACTAATCGAGGAGGGTGCCCTAACTGTTCTGGTGGCTGTTTAAGTGCTGAAAAGGGCCTCCTAGCTGCAATGTTCTTAATGGTAACCATCTGAGGGACACTCATTGGCTCTGGGCTTTGGTTTGCTCCTCAGGTATAAGTTCTCCCCTCTTGAAAGTTTGCATGCATAGTGGGGAAAAGGATTTGGGAGGGTTGCCTGTGGCTGGTCCTTTTGTTTAGAATTTCTGGTGCTCGGTGTTTCTGTGCTAATGTAAGAAATTCTGCAAACGTGCTGGGAAACTTTCTGTTAAAATGCCACTCATTAACAACTGAAACATTAACAGATGGAGGTGGAGAGAGTGTAGGCAGTGAACAGTTTGATCTTATACATCTTATTTTACTGCTTTCATTATTGTGAATCATGCTGAGATTTTCAAGTCTCAACTGTATGTCGTGGAGAACTGAAATTCCACTGGAGCTGTCACTTGGCTGGATTACCCTTAGAACTTGTGTGGTTTTAAAATAATAATTGTATAGGCCAAGGTTAGCATCTTTGAGTTCTCTCTAAAATAGTCCTTTATTCATTATCTTCTGAAATCCTTTACTCTGAGCTTACTTTCTCACCTCAAACATACATAGTTCAACCACCTGAAATTCATGTCCAAAAGGTATGTACCATGCCAGTGTTTATACTTGTCATGCTATCTCTAATGTCTGTTGCAAGCCTGCTGATTAATCTACTAAACTGTTGTGTTCACTATTACAAAAGTCACTGTCCTATTGATTTTTTTCTCACTACTGAATTAACCAACCATAAATAAGCTAATCACCCTCCCCCCGCAAAAAAAAACAAGCAATCAAACCCACCACCTGTAATTTCTGGCAAATGAAAATTGCAGTTGAAAAGAAATAAAAATAATCTGTAAACAAGCAGCAGTACTGAGGACAATTATTATAAACTCAACAATTCTGTGCCAAGTTCTGTTTCACCATTTGGAAATCAAAATAAGATGCTGCAGATTCAGTTAACGTCCCTCCTTTTGAAAATGTGAAGATTGTTAATAAAATATCTCTGCCCTGCTTCTGATTCCAACATAGTAATTAAACATTTCTGCATCTGAGCTGACTTAGCTAGGGAATACTTGTCATGTTAGAAAATGAAGCACTATTCAAATTTTCCAAGTTGTAAAGTTCACTGGTATGATTTACTACTTGTGAGCGTATACTTACAAGCAGCCAGCTTGAAAAAGTTTAAAATTGAGTATATTTCAACACATTTTTGTACTAAACCTTAGTTCTTGATTATTTCATTTAGATAATCAAACTATTTCCATTTAGGTACATTGCTGATGCATCTAAACATTGTAAGAAATTTGAGTGGGATATCTGTGTGTTTTGAGTGTTGTCCGGATGTATAGAAATGAGTACTCAGGACCATATACAGAAGCTACTTTCCCCAGCCTCATGGATCATGGAACTTGAATAGATTTCTGTAGCTCTCAGGGACTAAATACCAAGTTAATAGTTTTATAAACAGGGCTGAGGAATCATTCTCAGTTGAAGGGCCTACCTGTTTCTTGGCCTGTGCAATGAACAAGAGCACTATCCAGTGTGGGCAGTGGGTATTTTCATTCTCTCACCCTCATTATCACAAACTGCTCAAGCTCCACTTGCTCAGCTATTCCATATAGATTCAGATGTAGGTGGGGCAGTGGGGGTGGCAAGCATATTTCCTGTCCCAGTACCGAGAGAGGCACTCTTTCCACTAGGGCCAGAAAAACTATTTTCTGACCTACACCGGATCCTTAGCTTCAGCTCTGAGAGGAAAGGGGCTCATCTTGGATCTACTGCCTCCAGTCTGTTTCTTGTGCCTGCCAAAGGGGAACAATACTGATTTTACAGTTCACACAGGCCAGGTTTGCATGTCACAAGAAGCCATGGTGATTTCTGACCTTTGATGGTTTGTTGTGTAATCTGAACCCAGTTTCTTTGTGGGGCCTTTAGTTTCCTGAAATCATAGAGAGAATCATCAGTTCTAAGGTTTCCACACCTCACCGCAGCATCTCTGGTCTTCCAGACCTGGGATCTTCAATAACCATTGTTGATATGGAAACCCTATAGAATACTGTGGAAAAAAACAGCCAAGGAGTGTCCTCTCGTTTATCTGTTCTCTACTACCCTTCGCTCCCTAGCAACACATGCATCATTCCTGGCTTTATTCCTATTGACCAAATGATGTGCCCACCTCCGTTTCTTTTTTGGAAATGGGGAGAAAGTAAGCAAATGTGCAGAAGGAGAAGGGAGAATCATAGCAAAAGTGTTTATTATGATTTGATAACAATTCCTTTAGGGACATGGGTGCCTAGGAAGCATTGCAGAGATGCAGGTACACTCAGAAGCAGGCAGAGGAAGAATCCATTTCAGAATCTCAGTAGATTGAAGAGGATAAGGCTACTGAGATTCATAGGAAGCAATAAAGAAAAGGATTTCATGTGTGGGGACTGCTGGAATGAATGGTGAGAGCAGGAGGACAGAGTGGAGACTGCAGACACCTCATTGCCTAGGCAATCATCTGAAAGGTTAGTTCAAGCAAAAATCTGTGCATCATGGGAACCTCAAAGGGTTGCTTGATAATCCAGTTCTGTGTGATTAAGCAGAAGTCCAGCATCAATCAAGACCATGTTTTAGAAAAGCAAACTTTATCAACATGAAGCCATTCCCTCTCTAAAATCATTTTTCTTTAATAATATGACATATTAGATTACAGTAAGAATTTAGGCAGTTACATGGACTGCCTAAATGGGTGTGTGTGTAAAACACATCAGTTATTGTCAGTTTTTACTTTCCTGCTGTTGCTGATATTAAACATAGTAACATAACCTTCTCCATGAAGTATGTGAACAAGAGCCTACGTCCTCAGTGGCAGATCATATAACAGGACTTGGAAACAAAGGGATTTGTCAGACAGCTGAGAATAGCCTTTCCAACAGATGCCCAAGTAGGGCTGGCCTTAGGCATGTTACCTTTCTTTATTAGCTATATTGTATCTTTCCCTGGACTGGATGCTGGGAATCCTGGATCTGATTTGACTGTGACCCTAGAGAACATGGGGCATGAAGCCCATACCTCACAGGGTTGTGAGGATAAGATTGAGAGAAGGATTATGTAAGCCACCTTGGGTTTGTTGAAGGAAAAAAGGCAGGATATAAATACAATGGTACCTTGGCTCACAAACGCCTTGGGTCACAAATGCCTTGGGTCACGAACAAAAAATTCGTAACAATTTTGACTTGGGTCACAAACTCCACCATGGGTGGTGACCAAGATCGCAGCCATCTCCCCATCCCCCCGAGCGGCCACGATCACAGTCGCATTCGTGCAGGGAACACAGCGTGATCGCGGCTGTGCTGTGCCCGTCTTTCCTGCAGGAGAGCACCCCTGATCATGCACGTCTTCCCTGCGCAAATGCATCTGCGATCCCGGTCATCTCCCCACTCAGGGTGGGGAGATGGACGCAATCATGCTGGTTGGGGGCGGGGGAGGTGGCCGAGATTGCGCCCGTCTTTCCTGCAGGAGCACACCCATGCCAGAATTTCTTTGAGAAGCACCACCCCAACATAAATGTAACGAACAGAGTGTTGAATATTGATAACATGGTCTCTCATTTCCAGAGGATTATGCAGCGCAGGAAAAAACAAGTGAGTATAGACAGATTTTTCACCAAAATTGACCCTGCAGCTAAGAGACAAGGAAGAGAGAAAACCCCTGAAAGAGATCTCCCTAATGTCCTTATGGAGGGGGACTCTCCCTCAAAACAATAACCTCCCCAACACCTAGGTTAGTGTTCTCCACTGTACTGTATAGTACTTTGTCACTTTATTTCAAATTTTTCTGATTAAAAAAGTTACAGATTAACCTTATTTACATTGAACCTTATGAGGAAATTTGACTTGGCTTGCGACCAAAAATTGGCTCACGGCCACATTCAGAGGGGCCAGAATGGATTGACCTTATTTACATTGAATCTTATGGGGAAATTTGACTTGGGTCACAGCCAGAGTCATGGAATGGATTAAGTTCACGAGCCAAGGTACCACTCTATAATACTGTAAATACCTTTAGGGAACTTGTTAGAGAAATATACTGTGGTCACCCCTTCTGAGAATGCCCCCCTCTATATCTGAGGTGGTGGTGGGGGTAAAGCTTTCTTCAAACAAGAACCTAAGAAATAGGAGATGGTGAGTGACCCCACCTTCTCCTTGGCCTTTTGGAGTCATGTATGGGTGTGGACTGGGTTTCCTGTGTTTTCTACAGGAAAGGTCTCTGCCTCTGGAGAACATCTTGATCCTCCCTCCTCTCCAGCTGGACAGTGCTCCCAGCAGCTGGGCAAGTGGCTGTGCCTTAAAGTGGGACAGGGCCTGCTCTTTCTCCCCTCCTGCAGCCGAATAATCTGGGTAGCTCCTATGGAAGTGTGGGAGAAGCCTGTTTATCCACCCATATGTAAGTTGAAGGCTTGCTCTAAAAGCCTCAGCAAGACCTTTCTTTGTGACTTCCGAGCCACACACACCTGGGAATCAGCATGGGCACAAAACCTCAGGGCTGCACCCATCACAACCCTCTCCAAGATGCTCTAAGGACAGAAGTCTAAGCCTAGGCACCTCTCAGTGGACCACCTAAACCCAGGGACAACATGGGGGAGGAAACTTACCTAGTCCCGAAGGCCAAAGCCACCCTCTGCAGGCTTCAGGCTGCCCTGTAGCTGAAGGGAGGCAGGGTCCAGGCGGCTGACAGCAGCACCTCCTTTGGGGCCTCCCAAGGAGCAGCTGCAAAGCTTACAGTGCACAAAGCTCTGGAACGGTGGCACAAGGGTCAGAACATGGCTTCCTCCTCACTGCTAGGTCTTCAGCCTAGCTCCACACAGGTTCTTGCTCTTCTCTCTTGTGCTCTCCTACTCTCCTTTCTACTGCTCTCCCAGGATATACAAGAGCCTCCAAAGTCTGCCTCCCTCCATGAGACAAAAAAAACATTGAAAATCTCCAAGGAGGTCCTGCCTCCTCCAGGACGTTCCATTTGAGTCTGCCTTCCAGGTCCAAGAGGCAGGGCTCCCCTCAGAGCTGACTGATTTCCCACACTCCTGGGAGAATGTCTGCTTTATCATTTTCCCTGCCCACCCTCAAACCCCAAGCCCTGAAACCTGTAAGAGAATAGTTTCAATACGAACCATTTTGCTTCTTGCAGAGCACTGCTAAGATTTAAAGAATAATACACAAGGGGAAGCAGCTTTGGTTTATTACTTGTCAAACATTTTTAGAGTAATACTTTCTTTCTGTAACTCTTTATAATCAAATGAATACAATATGTTGGTACTGGCTCAATCTCAAAAATTGAACACACAATAAAACAATGCCATCATAGTGACCAATAAAGCCCACAACTAAAGTGATTCACCATTAAGTGGGATGGGAAAAATTCAAGTTAGAACCCATTCTGCTTTACATTCCCATGATTTCAGTTGCCAGCATGTCTTGAGCTGCTGAGAAGGCAAATGCCCAGTTTCTTAAAGAATTAGTCCATTATTGTACAGTGGAGTCTGGCAGTGAAATAAAGGCTTCTGGAGAAAGAATGTCGCCTAAAATATGATTAGAAACCCTCATCATTGCACCATCCTGCCCTGCAGGGGCAAATTACATTCATATATAACACGGAAGTTTTGGAATACATGATTAAGACACTAGACACTGAGGCAGTTGTTACTTGCTCTAGAGAAGTCACTCTTGCAGCAAATTATTTAAGACACTTGAAAGCCATCTAATGAAAGCACCATTATAAATGAGGAGACTGAAATGCTATTGGCCTACTGGGAAGACTAATTTTTTACATGTCATTTTAAAGACTTGGAGTAAAAGAACTAGATATCTAAGTACAGTTAATTGACACCTACAAAATGGCTGGCAAGTACAAATGAATGACATGGAACAGGCAGCAGTTTATTCCTAACATTGTACTTTTCACTGTGCTCACTGCAAGGTTTTCATAGTGCAATAGTTTGACTTTGATGCAGAAATGGTAGAATCCTAGATTTTAAAAAAATCACAGGGACCCATTTACTAGAGCTATTTGTGCTACTGGGTGGTATATAATAATAGTATCTGTGACTATTTTACGTTGTGCTGTGCAAAAACCGAGCATTGGAGTATTCTGTAAGACAGTAAAATATGTACAGGTAGAAAAAAGATCCATGAATTTTTTTAATCTATGAAAAAGCAAGTGGAGGAGAGGGAATAGCAGTTAATAACTTTAGCACTGAGTTCCAAACGTAGCATATGCTCCAGCACACCAATTAGTTTTTGAATTACCAATATTACGCACATTAATAGTGTGCTAAAATAATGAATCTGAAACACATTGTTGTTTCATTCTGAAAACTTGTAATATGCTTGTACTGGTGATAAAGCGGGGCTCACACCCAAAATTGGACAAGCGTTGCCTTTGAAAATAAAAATCTTCAGGAACAAAAAGATAATGTCTCCAGTTATCTGTTGTTCCTGGCTTTTCAGCCACTGATGTGACTAATTAGGATTTTATGAAATGTGTGTAAAAGATATACATATATTGATAGGAGAGGTGAATCTATGCAAAGAACTGAGACTTTTAAATTCAAATTCCCCAACCCTGTACTGCAAAGTACAGTAGCATTACAGCACATATACGTATGACCTTCATGCCACAGCTTAGTTTTTTGATTGAAAGAATGATATGGTACTAATGAAGGTGATAGAAACAGATTACACAAGGGAACCTGCAGTGCCCTATTTCAGCTACAAATAGCAGAGCCATTACAAAAATAATCTTGATTTGAGGTGTTCCCACCTCCACACCTGATTAAAGAAGTGGGTGTGAAAGTACAGGTCACCATTTTATACAATTCTTTTCCCACTACCCAGCTACTAATTTTCTTACTACAATGTAGCTCCCTGAACTGCAGCTGCGCTGCACCATGATCCTATATCAATGGCACATCAATTTTTCTCAACTTCCGATTGTTCCAATGATTTTTATGACATGGTTATAAGACATGGTTCCTAACCTCAAGTAGGAGGCCAATGATGATGATGAAGAGGAGGAGTTGTTGTTAAAGATGTAATTTATATGCTATGGTAATTTATATGCTATGCAAGTGACAAGCAAGTTACATGAATTTTCCAGTTTGCTTTCATTATAAAGTAGTTTCTGATGTCCAGTATTGCTAATGGTTTATTGTTTGCTGTTACATAGTTTTGGATTCAAATGTTTTATGAACTTGTTTTGAAATTTATAAATTTACAAGTTGTTTTTTTGGCTCCAAGGGACCTCAAGGCAACTTCCAATTAAAACTTGAAACAATTTTAAAACTTAAACAATTAGAACAGCACTCACTGTAGAATTAGGAGCTGTAGGTTAGAGAGAATCTCACTGTAGATTAGAGAGAATCTTAAAAACAGAGTATATACCCAATACATTAAAATACTAAAAAGCCACATGGATGAAGAAAGTTTTAACCACCTGCCTGAAACTGGAGGAGGAAGAGTCAGTCTGCCCTTCTTTGGAAGTGCATTCCTCAGGCAGGGGGCGGTCACAAAGAAGAGCCTACTCTGAATTCCAACCAACATAGCCTCTCCTGGTGGCAAGAAATGCAGAGGGGCACCCAAAGATTCATTTGGGAGGAAGTGGTCATTCAGTTATCTTGGCTCTATGCTACTTGGGACTTTATACAGAAGCACCGGCGACTTGAATTGTGCCCAGAAACAGAGAGGCAGCCAGTCCTGTTGACATAAGGTTGGTATAATATGGTAAACAAAGCATGCACCAGGAGACAACCTGGCAACTGCAGTTTGCACTAACTGCAGTTCAGACACACTTCAGGGTCAGCTATACACAGGATGCATTGCAATAATCTACATGGGAGGTGATTAAGGCATAGATCATCACCACCACCACCACATCTGCCTTCTCCAGGAAGCAGTGCAATTGATATGCCAGTTGGTTGAGCAAAGATGCCCAGCTTGTATTCTAAACTATATTCTAGAGGGAGGCAGAGTGCTATATAGATAGTCAACACAAACAACCACATTCTCTGAAGTAAAGAGAAGGTGGCAAATGTGACTACAGCATACAAAACCCAAAGCTATCTATCAGCCTCACAAATCAAAGCTCTACAGAAAAAGTCTCCCAAAGGCACTTAGTAGAACCACTGAAATATCTCTGTTCTTCCAGAGGTGAAAAAACTGAGGTTAAAAATGTTGTGGATGTATTTGCATGCTGATGAAAGCAGCAAACAGTGTCCTTTCTAATAGCATCTCCACAAACTGACAAAGCACAGAATTGGCAACAGAAAGCTGAAGTTCAAAAACTATGGAGCATTATGATTAGGCTATACCTTAAGTCAAGGCTTCTCAAAATCTGAGTTCAAACCCCCTTCTAAAGCCCAAAAGTTGGCAGTAGCTATCACCTTGCCTTAAATTTTCATACACAGCTAAACGTGTGCAGGCTGCCAGTGTGTACATTATGGATTTGGATTATGGATTAATCAAAACTGGCATCAGAAGAAAACTTGAAAAGGTTTCTAGCTTTCCCCCTACAATTAACCAGAGGAGGTAACATGAAGGTATGGAGCAACAGTGGTTAAAAGCTGCTTCTCTTGCATGACTAGCACAGCAGTTTAGTTAGCGATGATGCTAAAATCCTGCCGTCAAGGTGAGAATGCCTCGGGTTCTGTGGACTACAGTATGTTTTCCCTCCCTGGAATTCTATGCTAATTGCTTGCATCCTCTCCAGGATGTATTCAAATAGTGCATTAGAATGAGAAAGAATACTCTTCCCTAAATCTGTAGCAGCTCACTGATACCCTGACAATTCGGACTTGATCGTGCCAACAAACTGTTCTCAAGAACAGCTCATCAGCCTGCTGACAGAGTCACACATCACATGATGACCTAACAGCTGCGCTTATGAATGAATAGCCTCCACGGAAAAGCAAAGAGTCCTCTCAGGTGCTATGCAAGTCCTTTCTCTGCAGTTTCATCTGTGATAATTGTCTTATACGTGAAAGTCATCACTTGACATCATAGGCATCAACTGAAGAACATACATAAGTAGTCAGCATCATACTTGTGTCTTTCTTGCTAGTTGTTCAGCGTAATGCATGTTCTGTGAAAATGTTTTTCCATTTTGTAATATGGCTTAAGAGATTCAGGATTTTGCTTCCAGTTCCCAGCAGATGAAAGTGATCTGTGAGTTAATCCAATGTGCTTGATACAGCCGTTTCATACAATGTCTTCAACAGAGTGCTGTAAACTAGAGGAGCGCAAGTTTAAGAAGTGGATCCAATTGCGCAGGAAGCCCTGGTTGTACTGGCCTGTATCAACCACCATGCCCCATAACATCCTTTGCCCAACATTCTCACGCAATGCAATTCGAGCTTCTCTCTCAGTCACATTGAAGCTGATGTTCAAGAGCTGAATGAGAAAGATGTAGCCCATGCCGGAGGTTACAATGGCAGAGTACCATACGCAGGTGAACAACAAGGCAGTACTAGAAGTGGGGACAGAAAGCAAAGACACCGTTTAATGCGGACACAGCCGCGTTCATGCAGAACAGGGGTGGGTAACCTCCAACTGCACTTTCCAGGTTCTCCAGAAGATCAGCCCCCACTTTCCCTGAGTCATTTGTGTTTTTCTTTCGGCAGATTTTCTCTATTTCCAAAAGGCTGAAATGTCTCTCCTAAGGCTGGCAATAAGAGCTTTACATCGCAATGTGCTTCTTTAGTGTTTGCTTGTTCATTCTTTCTTTCATGTGTATATATTTGGCTACACTTCTGAAACTCACCCCCAGACTGAAATTTGGCCCCCAGACTGAAAGGCATTCCCCAATCCAATGTAAACCTTCTGAAAAAGAGAAGGACTAGCATGCTTGTAAGAAAAAAGTGGGAAATAAACAAATAAATGCATACTTTCCCAGGGGCAGTCCCTTTTAACTTCCCTCCCGCTTTTGATAGTGTTGTAACAAATGGAAGATTCATTTTTCACCTTCAAATGTCATACTTCATTAGACCATTTTAAGAATATTTTCCAAACAGCACATCATAATCTATGCACTGCATTCAGTAAGATAATAAGCATGGGATTTTGGTAACCAGCTGCCTGCTCGATACATCACCTGGTTCTGGAAAATAAAGAACAACAATCAGGTTGTTCTCAAGTGTATACAGTCAGCCAAAGACAGATCACTCATGCCTTGGGCTTTGAAAGATTTGCATGTAGGACTCTGTATGCACGTAGAAATCAGTCAGATTTCCTAATACCACAAGCAAGGGGATAGTAAAGGGAGCCTTCAGGGGGGCCACTGGATCCCTGAAGCCAGGGTTACTGTCCCTCCCCAGACGTAATATTGCTGGTTCATGGCTGGAAGCTGCCACTGTTCTAAAATTAACGGGTTAAGAACAGGGATTTTTTTTTACAGCTCCCAACAGTTCCTGAGAACTACCTATCTGGAGAGGCCTGCTAGGCATGCACAGGTGTTTTCTGGGACACTTTCCCTCATGGTCTGCCTCTGCTCCTCAGCAACATGTGGTCCGCTTGCCTTTGCTGCTCCAAAAACTACTTCCTATCCCCCCAAACCCCTCAGTCCTGGTTATTTATACTACTGGGAGAAATAATGGCTAAAGTGGAATATAAGTATCATAACTGGAGTATATTCACTAGAATCAATGGAAAAATAGCCATATCTTATTCAGTAACTTGTTCTCGAGCCTTCTCCTCACCTGTAGTCTCCATAGACACCAGGACAGTAGAACAGTGCCTTGATGGTAGCTTTCCCCTTACAGATGGTGTCCAGGGTCAAAGAAATCCCATACACTGATGTGAGCAGAAAAAGGAAGAGAGCGAGGACAAAGGCTTGGTGGTTCTGTTCCCCAACACAGCTGTTAATCCTCCAAGAAACAATGTAAAAACATTTTTTAACAAAGTAGTTTGTAAACACAGTGCCAGGTTCCCACGTGCCCATTAAATATAGGTTCTATTCCCCTTTTCCCTGAACAGAGCTATTTCTAAACCTGGTTTCCAGAACAAGCACAAACCATAATTTGTTGGCTTCCACAAAAGATAGCTAGTTTGCCTGAAACTTAGGAAAGGAGGGAGGCAATCACTTCAAAGGAAGGAAGGAATGAGGAGAGAGTGTAACAGTTAGGATGCATTTACATGGAGGGCCCCTAGAGCAATTGGTCAAAAGGCACTGCACACCTATTCAGTACCTTCCTCTTAACAAATTCCTTTTGGGAAAAAAAGGACAGAAATTGTGGTAAAACAGGAGGATTACACTTGGAAGACCCTAATATTTCCCCACCCTCTAAAATTCAACGAATGAGGCAGGGTAATTGCAAGATAAAAGGGTCATCTGGAAATGCCTTGAGTCTCCTTGAAAGACTCACTCTTTGGGCACCAAACTATGGGTTTGTCATGTCTGAACCAACCTAATAAATAATTTGTATAAGCTAAGTTTTCAAGAGATGCTTTCTGTACTAATAACCCAGGAAGAAGACTCTATGCCACTAAAGAGCAGCTGCCTGAGGACAAGCAAATTCTGTATTGTTGCTGTAGCAACGGTCCAGGTCAATCAGAAAAGCCAAGAGCAGGGCTGCATATACCCTGCATCCCAACAGGTTTTACATTAAAATATCATAATTCTAGTATCTATGCTCGACACAGTGAAAGCCTGAATATTCACTGTTTAACAAGTTTCTGAGCCCATCCCTAGAAACAAAACTTGGAAAAGGGAAGACCAAGAAAACTGAATAAAGCTGGATAAGGACTTATAAGGTTCAGTGCACAGACCTGTAGTTATCCACTACCACTTCTTCGACCCAGCTCAAATGACCAGGCTTGCTATCCCTCCATTCTCCCATCAAGTTCCAGTACAGACATTTGGAGGAAAAGCATCCCCATTCCTTTCAATAACCTAATTCTTCAAACCACTTAAATCATGTTAAGCATGGATAAAATACATTGGTTTGTCTGACTACAAAACTTCCCCCTAAATCAAAACACACATGTGCACGCATGCACACACCTGTGCACTTGCACACACACATATTACAGAAAAGACATATAACCATGGATAAAACCATCAAGGTTTTATAACAATGAATGGTGTAATATATTATCACCTACTTCAGAGAGGGATCCAATTAATGTCCCTATCCCAACATCTGGTTTTAAAATAGCAGAAAACAATTACCTTACTAATATTGAATGCAGAAAAGACCAATATTAAGCTTGGATCCCAATCCATATCACAGAATTCACTGGGCATCAAACAATTATATCAAAAACATAAACATATCCCAAGCAAAGTGAAAAGGCAGTTTAAGAGGAGCTAAAACAGATGTCAGAGAGAAATGCAAAAGCCAGTAGGAAACTCTAAGGAACATACCAGACACAGTGATGATCCAGCCTCTTCACACACCTGCCACATATTCGGCAATGCCCAGCTCGGGGTGGCCTAACCAAATGACACTTGGTGCACCAGTCCTCCGTGATCCCACCAGGACCCTCTTTCAATATTCTGGAATAGCCCTCAGAATTATTGTTCACAGTGATGCCAGGTATGGCTGCTCTATAAAGCCCGTTGGAGCTCCCCAGGCCATTCTTGTGAAATGTGTTGCTTTTGCTACCTTGGCATGGAGCTTTATCACTGCTTGTTTGGCAAAGAAGGTAGCCAGGGTCTCTCTTGGCTCGAGACAGGGCCACAAGCATGAGGAGTAAGCCACAGGTGAGAAGGAACACCTGGCTATGCTCCACGTGGCCATGGGAGACCACTTCCTGGAGGAACACATAGTACATGTAGCCCAGGGAGAAGAGCCCCAGGCTTAAGAAGAAAAGAGTTTGACCCTTCTTCCTGTGTGTGAGGTAGTAATACCAAAGCACCAGCACAGGAAGTGATATCAGGATGGCAAGGGCCAGCAGGAAGTGCAAAGCTGCTACATGAAGGAAAACAGGCAGCAAGATGATTGGTGGAAGGAGGCTGATATCAATCTTTACAGCCCCCCTAAGCCATGGGAGACGAAAGCGGTCCGTGATGGTATCTGCAATTCTCTCTAACATTCCTGGGGGCAAGGATCTGCAAGTCAGCCACCTGTTAGGGGAAAGCACAGATTTCTGCTTATGTTAGACTGAAGAGACCAAGAAATACATTTGTGTTGGTTTCTTTCACTCTCTCAGTCACTCTGTCAACATAGTTCAACTGTTTGAGGCTACTTCACATTTTGCAGGAGACAATCATGTTTTTCCCTTTCCATTATTTATTTATTTTCAAATCGATGTGCTGCCCACTATTTCTTTTCAGTGCCAGGCTAAAACCTTTTTATTTTCCCAATATTTTAAGTTTGATTGATTTCTAGCAATAAAGCCCATATTAAAATGACAATTAGGATGCTGCATTTTATTTCATTCTGCTTTACTGTCAAACCATCCAGAGACCTCGGTAGTGGACGGTATAAAAAAGTTTTAAATAAATAAATAAAAATTTCTACAGGAGTCTCTAGGCAGATTTTAAAGCGTGTGCCCTGCGACCTAGTCTGGCTATTAGAAATAGGTCAAACAATTGTGTTAGCTGGAGCTACACAGGAATGAACAATGCTAGCCCCTGCACACTCAACTATTTCATTTGCGCTTTTGTAAACAACTCAAGAACTGGGTTGTCTTTTGTGATGTGCAAACTCAGAATTCTTAGTTGTTGAAAGGGAAGTAGGACAGATTTTTAACCCAACAACAAACAATGGGCTAAAGCCATGGATTGTTCCCCCACAACAGCCCAGGTTTCTGGGTTGTATATCACAACGAACAAAGCAAGAACAGGTTTCTGTTTTTTTTGTTTTTTGACAAAAGGAGCCATGAAGCAAAGCAGCAACTAAGCAGTAGACAGTAAGCCACTTTTGACAATCCATGGGTTAAACAATCCACTATAAAGTTGTTACAATGTAAAAACCAGATCATAGAAACAAACCAGCAATACTGGTCAATCATCAGGTCCCTGATGAATGAATGCATATTTTATGATAAGGTACATCTCTTCCAAACATTTATTTGTCCATGTTATGTGATTATTTTAATATGCACATCAGCCTTCCCCACCTGATACCCTCCAGATGTTTTGGACTGCAGTTCACAGCATTCCTGGCTATTGGTCATGCTAACTGAAATTGATACAAGCTGAAGTCCAAAGCATCCGGAGGGCACCAGGCTAGACAAGGCTAGTGTACATAGTTCAGTGTACATACTAAATATAATGCATGAACTGGCCATAATTCTTCCATTGTCCAGAAATCTACACAGTCCTGCATTGGATGACATCTGATCATGTCTTCCTAATGCTGATTCATTTGAAACTTACAGACAAGAAGCACCCCAAAAACACAGCAAAGGAAAATCCAGTTCTGTGAATCAGCCCTCAACTTCTCCGAGTCTTAGTCTTTTCTTATTTATCAGTTTCTCTGGCAAAAACTGGTTTTGTAGAAGAGCAGAGTTTATGAGCTTATGAATTCATCCATTACTTTCGGCACACCAAATCAGGAAGGCAGAAGTAAGGCATATAGTGGGAGGGACAGGACACACAGCCCTCCAGATGTTGGTGGATAGCACATTTACAGCTACAAAAATCAACCGGTTGCAACAATAAGTGATATGCACCACTGCTTCTTTAGCTATTGCCACTCTTTAATAAGGATGCCAGAGCACAATGTCTGCTTGGTTACCACCAAGGACAGGCAGATCCCAGACAATATGAGTCCACCTAAGTACAACCAGCTGAAGCAAACTCACAGGGCGGGGGAGAGTGACTAGGCAACCCAGCACACTTGCTGGGAACTTTGGATGCAGTGGTACTCAGTAATCCCACAAGACACAAGCAGCACTAGAACAATCCATTCTAGAGGCGCAATGAAAATTACTTGGGAAGAGAGCACACATCGGTTCATGTTAGTTTCAGGGAATCAGTCGAAAAGTCATGCTCCTTACCCTGAAATCCACCCTACACTCATCTTCACATCTCACTGGGCCTACCCACCTTGCTAACAGATAGCTACAGTGCTAACACAGCCAGAAAGACCCTCACCAGCCCTCCTCATGTGGACACCCTCCAGTTGTGTTAGATTACAGTTCCCACTAGCCCCAGTCATCGGTCACGTTGCCTGGAGATGATAGAAGTAGTGATCTAATACATCTGGGGCCCATCATAATTTCCTTCATTTTGCAACTATGGTTAGGTGACTTCTGACTGGGCAGTCTTATCCAAATACAGTGATGGGAATAATTGTACAGCTTCCTTTTATTGTGGATATGTACCAAAAAGGGTAATGTAAGCAGAAGCTCCAACTCTCTCCAATATGCCATAACAGGGGCTTTGCCTTCTTGCTTCTGAAACCTGCCACCTTGCCTTTCTCCTCTTTAAATACAAAGATCAAACCTGCCTTGGTGCTTTTTAAAACTGGCACAGAACTGGAAATTCAACTAGGAAAGCTTGCAGATAGTGTGTGCTCCTCAAATTATGTATTTTATTTATTTATTTATTTATTTTCTATACTGCCCAACAGCTGAATCTCTCTGGGTGGTTCACAACAGCAAGGGATTGTTAAAAGCACAGACACCTGGTTTCTGGAATAGCCTCTCCAAAGACTAGTACTTGTTTTGAGATTTATGTTTGCCCTGGTATTATAACTTTGATTGGCTACTATAATGCACCTGTTCTGTTTCATTTGCTGTTGCCTGATTCCAGTTACACTTTTTCTACTTTTACTGCATTTTAGCAGATTTCATTCACAGCCTTGTACATCATGCTGGGACCTGCAGGGCTGAAAGGTAGTTTTAAAATACTTTAGTAAAGAATAACTATAAACAGAAACCCTCACATGGAAAAAGTTGGCAGCCACAGACCACAAAAGTAGCCAGTTGACACCACAGAACAATGTATCAAGCATTCTAAATCAGAAATCACTGCAAAGAATGTGCTATACTGGAAATAAGAATTTGAGATGACACCTTGAGCTCTGCCTTGGAAGCCATAACTTTTATAGACCAAAGGGTGGTTCAAAGGGCCAACCCAATTATCACAACTCCTTCCAACGCAGCAGCTAGGAGGAAGTTCCCAAGCCTGCTGGCTTACCTTTCACAGCATTCGTCGAGATCCTCGCATTCGCACAGGCACGCCGCCAGGTGGCTCCTCTCCCCCTTCCGATCAAGGTACTCGCAGCAACAGAGCGGATCCTCCATTTCAGGGCCTCCTCGAGCTTTCTTTCCTCGAGGTTTCATCGCGTCTGGCAACTCGTGGACCCGATCAGCATCGAAACGCTAAGCGTGGGGGCTCACTTCGGGGGCACGCAAGCGGAAGAAAGCCCGAACTCTTGAGAACTGTTGCACGTGTGAACTGCCCAAAGGGCAAGCTTTTTGGAAATGATCAAAGGAAGGGGAGAGGAGGAAGGAGGAAGCGTACTTCAAAGTATGTGCGAGATAGGGCAAGGCGCGGGTAGAGACCCCTCATAACGATCTCCACCCTAACTCGCATAGCACCTGTAACAGAGCACCACGCCAGTCAGAGCAGGATGCCGCCCATCCCGCCCCGCCACGAGCCTTTCCAGACCACTGCACTGCACCTTTACCGGCCCAGCCGCTTTGCACACCTGAATGCATTCTTGCATTCCGACTTGCCAGCGGTCAGGATAAGGCGAACAGGGAACGGAGAAGAGCCACCGATGCGAGAGCGCTCCACCTTCGGCGGCGATGATTGGCTGAGCTCCCGCTAAGCTCCGCCCCCTTCCTCCTTCCCGCCCTGTTGCTCTCGCTCGGCTTCCAAGGCGCAGCCCCGCCCTTCTCGCCGTTCTCCCCTAACTGTCCTCGCCGCTACCTAAAGCTTCCGGCTTCCTTGGAAAGTCGGCCTCTTCCTCTCCTCCTGTGACGTCACGGAGCTCTACCCAGTGTGTGCAGGCGCAGCGGAGGATCGCTAAAGCACCTGCCTCGCGCAAAGCGCCTCAGTGGCATTTGGGATGCGGCGGCAGGTAGAGGTGGCAGGTAGAGGTGGCACAGGTGGCCCTGCTGGGATCACTTCGCCGCGCCAGGACTGGACAGGAGTGGCAAGCCCGCCCGCCCCGACCCGAACGACCTCCACCTTTGCTCCTGGGCGCAGGGGTGGTGATAGGTCTCAGAAAGGTCCGAGGCTCAGTCCCCCAGGATACAATAAAGAGCAACAATTGCATATGCGCTGTAATATTGAACTGTGTGTTTTAAAGAAAGCTTTCTCCTGAGGACACCTTTTTCTAAAAGGAGATGCATGAACTGGGACGGGGAGGGCATTTGATTTAAGAAAAACTACCACAGGCAGAAAAATTTGGGGAGGTTGAGCAGCAGGAAATGAAGAAAGTGGGCATAAAGCCGTCTAATCCAGGACGACCAGTTGCAAGGGAAATCAACAGAATACCTGCAACTTTATTACTGCAAGTTTTCATGGATAGCAGGGCACTGGGGCAGATGGCCTCCCAGAGATTCAGGGCATTAAATGAAAGATAGGGGTCCCAGCTTTAGTGCTGTCTTTGGCAGGCCTGTTTGGTTAATAAAGTTAAAAATAAACTTCGCCGAGGCTTCGGCGAATGGGGCGGCATAAAAATGTTTTAATTAATAAATAAATAAATAAATAAATAAATAAATCAATCAATCAATCAAGCAAGCAAGCAAGCAAGCAAGCAAGCAAGCAAGCAAGCACTTCAGTTAAAAATTCTACATAAAATGTGCACATGCACACGATACCACATTCCATCCTCTTCAGGTTCACTTTCTTCTGGGGTGGGAGAAAAGACAATTCAGTTACATCGTAAGAAGAATGATGCTTGATCAGATCAGATCAAAGGTCCAGTTCAGCATTTTGTACACACAGGGGCAAGCCAACCACTTAGAGAATTGCTCGAGCAGGGTGGGTGCGAGACCTCTGCCTGCCCAAGCTCTTCATCAACTGGTGCAGGCCCGCAAGCTCTGGTGAAGGAGGTAGCACAGCCAGTGATGCTAATAGCCACCGTCTCTTTGTCTGCTTACTCCATTCCCACAATACTGTTTAACAGGATACAAACAAAGTGAAGCCAAATAGTCATGGTTGATCTCTTGGTGGCTTTTGATGCCATTAATCCTAGCATTCTTCTGGACTGATTGTTTGAGTTGGGAGTGAGGGGCATTGCTTTGCTCCTACTTAATAAGGATGTTCCACCTCAGAAGGTGGGGCTTGGGGAACATTACTCAACCTCAGTATGGAGTTCCACAGAGGTTGCCTTTGTCCTCCATGCTATTTAAATTCTAAATGAAAATGATCTGTGTGCTCATCCAGAGTTTTAGAGTGTGCTTTCATCAGTATACTGAAGACATGCAATTGTATTTTTATTTTTCATCTGTTTCAGGTGAAGCGCTTGAGGTGCTAAATCAGTGCCTGGTTTTGCCAATAGACTGGATGGGAGCTACTAGACAGAGGCTCCATCCAGAAAAGACCATGCTGCTGCTAGTGCATGGTTCTTCTGACTGGATGGATGGTGCTCAGCCTGTTCTGGATGTAGTCACACACTGCCTGAAGAAGTGGGTTTGTTGCTTGGGGGAATCCCCTGGAAAATATGCGTCCATATTTGCCCTCCCGCCCCTTGATATCAGCAGCAGAGGCTCTCCTCCGGGAGCCTTCTGTGAGAGATATCAGGAAGCAAAGTACCCAGAGGGGGGCTTTCTCTGCGGGGGCGCCCTATCTGTGGAATGCGCTCCCCAGAGAGGTCCGCCTGGCGCCATCATTATTAATTTTTTGACGCCAGGCTAAGACCTTTTTATTCAAACAATATTTTAACAATATTTAATATTTATAGGTTTTAATTGTGCAGCCAGGGTGTTTCCGGGTTTTAATTGCATTGTATTATATTTATTTCTGTGAGCCATCCCGAGGCTATATAGCAAGGGGACTGCATATAAAAACATTAAAATAAATAAATAAATAAAGCATCTTTGTTAGGTGAGGTTCAGGTGGTTTCAGTTGCAAAGACTGTCTTCTACTGACTTTAATTGGTGGCCCAAGCTGTGCCCCTGCATGGACAGGGATAGCCTTGCTTCAGTTGTCTGAAGACAACTGTCCCCTCCAGGTGCCTTCTCCAAAAGAGGCGCAGAAGGTGGCAACAAGAGGGAAGACCTCCTTGGGGATCGCCTCCAATTGTGTCCCCAGTGAGACCTGTCTGCTGCCAACACTGTTGCTTCTTTTGGCATCAGGTAAAGAACTTCCTCTGTTGGAAACGTGTGATAATTTGGAAGCATGTGGTAATTTTTTAAATCAAGTCATAGGATTTCTTTTACTGTTGATTGTTAGAATTATTTGGATATAGATATAACAGTGTATTTCTGCTGTTTCTTTTATGTGTGCATGTAAACTGTTTTTATATTATGTACACTATTGTATTTGTCTAGATTTTTATTCTCTGTAAAATGTTCAGAGTGTTTTGTGTATTGGGCAGTGTAGAAATCTAAGAAATGAAAAAAATGGCAATAAGCAACTATAGTTCACCTTGTATCCAACTGCAATTTTTCCTATAGAGTCACCTTGTTGCAAATGGAGCCACTCTGTTGTTCCTTGCACTGTCCCATCTACTGCCCTCTGTATCACAAATGGAAATACAGGGTAGATCTGTATGTGATTGATCCCATTCAATTAATGTTATGTTTAGGACACAATCCTACACCTTTACACACAAAAGGAATCCTACAATTCCTAGCACGTTTGGAGTCAGACCTTTTCTGTTTTAAATATTTGTAAGATTGCACCTATAATTGATCAATTCAATCAGCATTCATTTTAATGCAGAAAATAATAGGATGTTTGACAAGATGACGAATGCGTGCCACAGAAGACACCATTGTAGAAGCATCATTCTTTCCTATGGGAAATCACTGGATGCGTAAGGATTTGTGAAGTAGTGGAAGTTTTAACATACTTTTAACAAATCCCTGTAGACCAATTAATAGGCACGTTTTAATCTCTAAAATGTTTTAAACAAACTAAGTACATATATGTGTCTGATAGCTCTGGTCTCATATCAAGTCCTCATAATTAAATCTTCCATTTTTCAAATACAGAACTATTTAATAGTGTGGATCTAATAGCTGCAACTCAAAAGTTATCGATTATTAATTATAACATTAATTAAATATTAATAAAACTCCCCAAATCTAGAAGAATACAAATAGCCTTTTCCAAAGCAGTTGGTTATAAGAGAACCAGCAGCCCCTATAGAACCAGTTTCTTTGTAGAGAGAATGTACCACATGTGTTCACCTATGCAAATCCCATGCAGTAGATGTGAAGGCAAAGTTAACCAAGGAATTCTATGCTTTCCACATTTTCTGTTAGCTGCCAAACTGCCCTTTATGAAATCCTCTTCTGTACCACTTTTGTTTTAAACAGCTCCAATAAGAACTTTATATATTTTGGTTATTTAGAGTTGCTGCTTTTGCATGTGCTATGTTGGCCTAAGCAGGTAGTTGCAAAAAGGAAAATAATTGCAGGCTTTTCTTAAAAAAATTAAAAAAAAGTGCAAGAGTTGAACAGCTATTTTCCTGGCCATCTGATATTTAGGTGTCTACATACACAGAGTTTATTGGGGCACGTTTCAGAATTGCCAGTGCTGCTGATATGCATCACTAATATTTCAGGCCAGCACTGACCCATGGTAAATAACTGACACAGATGAGTACTGTGAGCAGCGTCTCCCATTACAAAGCAGCCCAAATGGGAAACACAAGCAACCCCTGCTTCCTTTCACCTGTTTGTAATTCAAGACTGCTCTTCAGGGTGGATGTAATATAGAACCTTGTTGCTTGGCTCTACACACAGTGGCATTTGTATTCAAGGAATTCAGGAGTGGTAGGCTCCAGTTTTCTCACTTTGTGACAAACTTCTTTGACAACTGCTTTTATGACTGACTCACTTTGCAAACATTTTCTCTAAAAGCAAATCCTCCATGAATTTGTTTCAAGCTATACAAGCTTCCAGCTTGGAAGTTATCACTGTATCTTATGGTTACCATAGTTTAACTATGTTTGGTGTCAAGTACTTACTTTAGCTGTCTTCAGTTCATTTATGTTGTCTATTTATTGCATTTATATACTACCCATTAGCCAAAGCTCTCTGGACAGTTTCCAACAATTAATAAAATACAACCAGAAATTCACTACAGTTTAAAACTACAATGTTAAATAAAAATAAAAGCCGCAGAAAAATCTAGCAGAAATTTTAAAAAAAATTAAATGAAAGATTTAAAACAGAGACTGAAAGACCAAATTCTTGGGGAAATAAGGTCTTCACCGACACTGAAAGCCGCTCTGGAAAGTTTATTGGACAACAAAGGTGCCACAACAGAAAAGGCTATCATCTTAGTAGCCACCCACTTGACTTCCTTTGGCAGAGAACTCCTGAAGGACTGCCAAGGGCCAGTCTTAGGGTTCCAGCAGGTATATAAGGCAGAGGATGATACTGTGGGTAACTTAACCCCAAGGGGTTTGAATGTTAATACTAGCTCTTTGAATCAAGCACAGATGTGGGCTGGTTACCTGTACGGAGGGTAAAAGACTGGCCTAGTATGATCACATTGGTTGATCCTTGTTGCCAATCTTGCAGCACTATTTTGGACCATCTGAAGTTTCAGAACCATTTTCAAAGGCAGTCCTATATATAAACTCATTGCGGTAATCCAGCAAGAAGTTATGGGAGATATTACAGGATAATTGTAGCTAAGCTTTCTGTCCAGATGCGGATGTAGCTGGTATATCGTCCAAAGATGATAAAAGCTACTCTACCAAAGAGGTGTTAGAGATACATGTTTACCCAGAAGTCCAACTTTCAATGAGAATGCCCCCCCCCCCCCACCGCCACCATTAAGCCTGTTTAGGTTTGCAGCCTTCATTACAGTGTTCCATATCAGGTGATTATGCAACCATTGTATCTCTCTAGGGTTTCCACTTCAGGAAGTCAAATAAAATTAATAAGTCAAAGTACTAAACTATAGCAATACAACATTGCCTTCTGTCAGCTTTATTTAGTTACTCTCCTTATGTTTATTCACAGAAACATTCCTAACTGATTGCATAATTCCCCACATATATACCATGTTATGCCTTTGGTATATAAAATGATCAATTTTGCATTTATTTTAAGTATAAACGCACACAGAGCATCAGACTTCTAAGAACCATTGCAGCACCATCCCATTTACCTTTCCCCTGATTAACAGTTTCTGACATTAATTCCTATGCTACTTAGATATACATTCTAGGGAAATATGCAGTTCTGACACTATTTACTCCACCATATTTCCATTTGCACCATACATTAACAGTGAATTGTTTTGCTTTTTAAGCCTGTCATTGTTTTGGTCCTTCAGCCAAAATTAGTTTCCTGTACGAAGAATGATAAAGGCACTTTAAAACTGGTAGAAATTGAAAGCTACCCACAAACAGAAATCACAAATATGGTCAAATCCTGTTTAACACATATTATGTTTAACAGCAGTAAGTTCACAATTTTACTTGTGCTACACTTTCATTTTAACCTGTACTTTGTCTTCTGGTAGGAAACTTTAGAAATCTTCTGTGGCTAATAACAGAAAAGATTATTTGCATCTACACTTCTTGAAGTACAGTTAGGGTCTTAATTTGTGCTACTGCGTAGATAAAACCAGGACAAATTCTCAGATCCTGAACTGCATAAAACATATGCAAAAACATAAAACAAAACAGCATAAAATGCCTGCCATTACAAAGAAGTCCCAGAGGACTCACTATACAAATCAGATTAATATGTTGGTGGACTTTCTAAATTATTCAGGGACTAGACATTTTTCAGATATTGCTTTCTTACATGTAAGGACAATCCCTGAGAAATCCTGTGAGCTGAAATGACATAGGATAGTAGGAGGTAGAATTTCTATTATCCATAACGCAAAGAACCCTTAACAGCAAAAAACAAATCTACAATGTAAAAACTCAGATATACAAACAGACATCTAGAAAGTACATGCAGCTTTTTTATGCATATGGAGAAACCTGGAGTTTGACAAGCTTTACAAAACAATCTATGTTGCTGATTTTATAATGTTAATGATTCTTAAATCCCTCTGGGTCCAGTTTACATTTCTTTACATATCACACTGGCTCACTGAAACTTCCTTTCTCTGCAATTTCTGTATCACATAACTCCCAGACCACACTGTGTTCTTATTCATTCACAGCAGATATTCACAGCTTAGGAAACTGCTCACAGAAAGTTGTAAGTAAATCAGGAGATTTTAAAAAATGAACACACTGTACAGAAATATTATGTGCAGCTGCTACAGAAAAATATAAGAAAAATAAGCATTTTATTACAAATACACTATATCCTTAGTAGTTTGTTTTGGTGACATCAGCTTTCAGGCTTGCTGCTTTTGGTTGTGTTTAGGTGATCAAAGCTTTTTTGGAGCATAGAAAGGGAACTTTTCAGCTGCAGAGATAAAATTGCAGGAGAATTAGGCAGTGAGTTGTAGTACTGATACCCCTCCATGGAGATTAAATTACTTCCAATCCTGCATGGATCCTCTCCCTTCAAAGCACTGCATGGTAAGAGACAATCTTTCCACCTCCTCTTTATTTCCACCATACTGAAACATGGATGTATCTCATCAGTGAGCCCCTGCTGGGATGTAGGCACTTAGCAGGTGTCCAACCGTGCCTACCCTTTACATGGGTCCTGAATCTGGACCACTGTGGGCCAGTTACAGTAGCAGCTGCCCAGTATTAACTGGAGTTCAGATAAAGGGTTTCAGGGCAGTAGTATCAACAGTCCAAGGCAGATACCAGCCCTGCCACCAGCAATATTTATTCTAACACACTGCAGAATGCAAATTCATAGAAAGCATGGCACAGGCTAGTGTTTTCTACAAGTCTATTTTCTTAAGTCTCTACTACAATTTAAAACTGTAGTTTTAAAGAAGTTTAGCTACAAGGAAAAAGAGTTCCCAAGTTCTGCTGTATGTAACAAGCCACAACAAGCATAAACAGCAGACTTTTCTGAAACACATAGTTCAAAGGACAGTCACAGCAGAATACTATGGTTTCCCCATCTTCTCATTCATCCATGAGCACAGCGCATCTACCATGTTGTATTCTCAGCAAAGGGGCATGAAAGAATCAAACCCAAAATGAGTTCCTGGGGGAAGCTGACCTCCAATCTGTAGAACTCACAAATATTCATTGTGCAGACCCCAAAGTATTCCAATCATTTTTTAAAACATGTTCCCTTTGCAGTGTTTACCTGGATGCAAAAAATGCACTTTTCAACAGGAACATTATTCTCTAGAACATCTTTAACATTTTTCCTTTTCATTAAGTTGCATTCACACACATATACAATTCTTCTAGATAAGGCTTTTCTCCAGAAGTCACCCTGCCTCATATATGGATTTTTTACAGATCAAGGTGTTACCATCTTTCATTTGCAAACCACCCACATTTTTTCACCTTTTCTTCTATCTTTTTTTCTTACCAGAAAAAAACAACTAAGAAGAAAAAGAATGGCTGCCAAATGGCTTTTGATTTGCAGTACCAGGAACTCGTGTCTAGAAGTGAGAAGTGCTTGCGTGTGCATGCGCGCGCTCGCGCTCGCGCTCTCTCTCTCTCTCTCTCTCTCTCTCTCTCTCTCTCTCTCTCTCTCTCTCTCTCTCTCTCACACACACACACACACACACACACACCTTAGCATAAGTGCTTTCTTAGTTCCTAAAGTATCTGAGTTCTGGAATATCCTGTTCTCTTTATCTAAGCCTATAATCTCACTTAGTTTCTGCATTCCATTCTGACTAGTTGACATGGAAGGACATAAGACCATAGCATCAAAAGCACTGGGGGGGGCAGTTTAGGGTATCACATTAAGCTGTAATTTTTCCATACATCCTAAAATGTATGTTTTATTTTAACAAACAACCAAAACCAGTAAAGAACTAGAATACTTACTTTTTCAAGCAATGCTATAGAGTCCCTCAGCACGCCTTTCACATGCTGGACTTGATCTGTGTCACGCTGAGGAATTTTCTGTCTTGATGCCACATGAAGGGCTAAACTGAGAAAAGATAGATAGATCTTGGATGAAGAGATCCTTTATATCATGCAAAATCTTGTATTCTATTTTATCATTAGTGTTATTAATACATTACTAGCATAACATTGGCTCTTAGCTGCTATGCTACATCAGCCACTGTGTTCTCAGCCGTCATTATGATCTCCCTACCAACTGGTTCTATTTTAGGAAAGTCAGCATGGGTAACATGCAACTTCATGCTTTGCATGTCTATTGGAAGAAAGTATCACTAAGCTGAACAAGAGTTTCCTAGTCCTGAGACCCCTAGATGTTGTTGGACTATGGTTCCCATCATCCCCAGTAGTGAGGCATGATGGAGCTGTAGTACAACTTCATCTTGGATACCCATGATCCAGAAAAGTTGTGCAGTTAGGATTACAGTCAGATTCCATAGAAAATGGGAGTGGACAAACCAATCCATCACTTAAAACTGTTTTACAGATAAATAATAGGTACCAACCTGTGAGCAACTTAAGAACAATATCCCATCTATCCACAGTAGACCCAGGGCAGTCTACATCATATAAAACCATCATTCCATAAAAACAAGTTAAATACAGCAATGGAAGAGGCAAGAGCAGCAAGAAAAAGAACAGCTGAAACATCTGATCAACCATTAAATTCTAACAGGAAAAAAATAAAAGCTTTCTTGAATAAAAAGGCCTTGGCTGGACAGTAGAAGGCAGGTCAAGAGAAGGCCAAAACAGCTTTAGAGGAAGAGATTTCGACAGATTGAATGTTATCACAGAGAAGGCTCTCACTTATATCACAATCGGTCCAGCCTCAGCCATGTTTGGGATGCAGGGAAGGGCCTCCCCGACACCTCTGTTCTTAGTAAGTAGACAACATTATTACACTTGTTGTTGTTGTTACTAATACATGTAAGAGGAGAGTTTTGAAATCCAAACTAATGTTGAATTTCGCATTTGTCTGGTGAGATATAATCCAGTTGAAGGAAAAGAAAAATCACTTACTTTGCAGATCCTCGTTCCTGAAGGTGAACACGGTAAAAAGACTGAGCTGCATGTTCAATCTTGGACAGTTTGAGGAACAATGTCACATTCAGCAAAACTAACAGAAGTAGACTGCAAAGGGAAAACAACAGATCATTATTGTTCTTATTTCTTGTCTTTAACATCATGATGACTAGAAGCAATAGAAAATTCCAGGAGAAAAAAATAATTAAAGAAAGGAAGTAACAAAATCATCTTCCCAAGAACTTTAGCAAGATAGCTAAGGTTTTTGAATATGCAAAATAAAAAATAATACCCTTCTTCCAGTATGATTGAGTTTGGACAAATTCTATCTATGGAGGGGCTTCATGTAAAGGCCTTGGGCCTCTTGCCCTGATCTTCTCACAATGAGCTGATTTATTATTTTGTATTTTACAGGCTGTGTTGGAAGAATATGTATATAGTATCTGTAATACAGTATATAAACAAACCAGGGTGGCCAAGTGGTTAAAGTGGCAGACTGGAGCTCCAGAGATATAGGAGCTAGTCCCCACTCAGTTTACTGGGTGATTTTGGGCCAGTTGCAGAATTTCAGTCTAGTGTACCTCACAGGGCTATTTTTGTGAGGACAAAATGGAGAGGAACAGATTCTTGTAATCCACCTGGAGTTTCTTGCAAGACAAAGAAAGGGAGGGTATAGATGTAATATAATAATAATGTATGACCAGGCCTCTCCCTTTGCAATTTAAAAAGTTACAGGACTTCCTCTGCAAATAATTCTGTATCTTTGCAGGTCTCCCCTTGTACTATGAAACAATATCCTTCCCATGAACAGAACAACTTGCTAAGTGCATTATTCTGACAATGACCAAGAAAACCTCCTTTCCACAGCTTCCATATGCCAGTGGAACATATATCTGAATGCCTGTGGAATAAATTGAGTTTTTCCAGGCATCTACTCCCATAAGAAAAATTAAGTCAAAAGGTGTGTCACACAAGTACTTACAAGATACTCATGATCACTATGATGGTGATGGTCTTGTTTGTTACATCTCTTTTTGGTCCTGCTAGATCAGAGAAGCAATTATAAGTCTACATCACCTTCCTAAATTGGATTCACTTTACTTCAATGCATACTTCTACTGAAGATTTGCCTTCTTTTCAATAGTGGAACAGCTCTGAGTCTCATCTAAATTACAGCTTGCAGCACATACTTGCTTTTCAAATATGAATTTGATTAGCCTAGCTAAGCTTTCACCACTGTCAATATGGCTACTGAATTCGGATAGGTTCTGCTATGTCCTCCTGTCCTTGCAATACCCATTCCTCTAATGCCATTGCTCACAACTCCCATGTCCAGGTAATCTGTTTTCTGAAAGGGCTTTTCCATGACACATTTGCATGGTTATGCCCCTGTGCATGTTTTGACAGTGGTTATCTTACAGTCCATGGAATTCCATAGTTCTCACACCATACAAGTACACAACTAGCTAGCAAACAGTGCTAATAGTAAGAAAGAGACTGATACAAATCAAGCATCCCATCATCTCAAGGGACCCTGCAAGATATCCTAATGCGGGTGGATGAAAAGTACAATGTATGCCAGTTAGCAAGGAAAGGAATATAAGATAAAAACATAAAATCAGTAGGCAGTTCTGATCAAGATTTCACAAAAACAGAATCAGAAAATCTTGTGGAACCAGCACAGGATATTTCCAGATGGAACAACAAACCTTACTTGACTTCCCTAGATTCCTGTGAACTAAGCATTGGCAGAGCCTCAGGCTTACCTACTTCCTCCTCCACATCAAAGGACTGTTCACAGGACACCCGTTATTTAACCCATGGTGATGTTGCACTGTGTGCAGGGTGCATGGAGCCACCATATTGAATATGCAACTCCTGCTTAGAGGTTATTGTGGCATGAAACCTCAGTGAGTGTGGGTTATCCCAGGGTTAAGCAACCCTTGGGGATTAAATAACTTACAGTGAACCAGAGTGTATTGTCCGAACAGCTAAACAACAGTGTGCATTTCTCTATAAAGCTAGATCATAAACCAGGATTGTCATTACCCTGGAACACAGTCATAACATCAGTATCAAGGATTCATTTTGTCATTTGATTGCCATCCTAATGACAAAAGACTTACAAAATGACACCAGCACTGAATGCTCTCTTACAGCCTTTTGCTCAGCTCTTTCTACTCAATCCCTCCAATACAGTATTACCAGATTCTGTTACAATCAGTGAGCAGTCTGCAGTCTTCATGCAAACACCCTACCAGCCTTTGTGGAATTATACTGTCATGATTATATGGTAACTCTGTGAGACCATTTTTATTATTTCCCATGGCCAGTAATAACAAACAATCACCACCTGTACAGGAAACATCTGAGTACAAAATTGCTTGTCACCAGTTGGGGTCAAGAGTTAATAGTAGGGCTACATTTCTCCTGCAAGTAAATTGCTGCTCACCACTACATTGCTTAACCTGGTATTGCATAGATTAGCTAATCTTCACAAATAATTTTTCTATTCTGATTTTGTGTCCGGGTGGGAGGGAGTGCATCATGGTTTGCAACAGGCACAGAGGCAAATATACTCATTTGGAAAGTTGGAACATGGTGAGTGGTCATTGGGTACAATCTAGGAAACAGCTTAAAACTACTGAAAGAATGATAGGTAGCTTGTATTGGTTACTCTCTATGGGACCTTCTGAAGTACCTTTCCTGGAACAAATCTAGGTGTTATCACTTCAGATTACTTTTATTGCTTCATTTAGGGTGCATTCCTAAGGGCATTTAGGCAGAAACAAGTCCTACCACTTCCAGCATGGCTAACTGGGGAATGCTGACAGTAGTAGGACTTGTTTCTAACTAAACATGCACAGGATTGCACTCTTTTGCTTGTCTTTCTTGGTACACTAACCCATGCCATATGCTCTTCCAAACAGTCAGTCATCTTCTAAAGAGGCCAGTGCATGGCCATTTACAATTCCCATTCAGGCTAACATGATTACCATACTGATGGGGCAACTGTGCAGCAAAAACAGCTTAGATGTCCCAGAAATGAGATGAAATGTCCCTCAGCTGGAAAAAAGCTGGTTATGTTCTAATTTAAGAACATTCTGATGTTGTATCCAGAAGGAAAAACACACCTCTGTACTTCTAATAAACTGCATCCAACTAGGTGTACAAGTTAAGGAGGCCCTGCAGGTTTTACTCTGCTTAGCCAGCGGCTAATAAGGGGTGGTGCTCATTTCCATTTCTAAGGCCATAGACATGAAACTCAAATATTTTATTTTCCAAACTCTGAAGATACAGAGCTATTGGGCCAATCTCATCTGGCCTAAAATCTTCTGCAACTTTTTGCACAGGCCTTATTTATTTATTTATTTTTCAATTTCTATCCTGCCTTACAACTGCAACATTACAGAGCAAGAGTACTTGCAGGTGGAAATGTGATTGTGCCACCAGCCTTCCTCATCCACAGAATTTACAGGGGATCCTAATGTTGGTGTCTTCCACTTCCCCCATCTTTTATCTTACAGAAGAAAATACATTAAGGAAAAAAAGTTGACGCAGCTGTACAATACTTTCTGATTTGGCTAGGAGGACCCCTTCCTCTGAATGTACCTAAAGTGTACCCAGTGGATGAAGATAATTAGCAACTTCCGAAACACATAAATAGCATTTTTAGAATGCAAAATAAAACACTTTTGGTGAAGTCCAATGACATAGTTCTGTGGACAATTCCCCCATCTCCCCCACAGTGCCCTATATGCCCTCCAAATCTGCTCTGAAAGGTTGAGGGACCCCCCCCCCCAGAGCAGGTATTTAGGGGACAGGAATGAAAAGAGGGAAAAAGTCTGTTCCTGCAATACTGAATTTCACCAATTCTGTTTACCAGTTGGATGGCTATAAAAATGAGGAGTAATCTATTTCCAGAGACATCCCTGCTTAGTTGCTTCCCATACTCTCAGTTCAGCAGTTTAGCAATGAAGCATGGAAGTCAGTAGCTTGGGATAAAGACACTACTTTCCACAGGAGTTTTACAAACCAGCAGCAATACTTCCCTTGTCTAGGTCACACTATCTGAGCATAGCTTGGCATATCTCAGAACTGCTGTGTGTAGAAAAGCAGGGAGTATATATGACCTATGCAGAAGTACTGTGAACCTGTGGTTCTCACTTCAGCACATCCCTCCGATACTTTTGGTTGGTTAATAGGTGCAACAAATTAGAGCATAAGACTCTAAGAAGAGCTTGGTTGGATCAGATTATGGGTCCACCTAGTCCAGCATTCTGTTCCCACATTGGTCAACCAGAGGCCTATGAGAAGCCAGCAAGCAGAACATGAGTGAACTAACAATCTCACAGCTGTGCTCTCCAGCAATTGGTACTGAAAGACATAGTCAATATCCTGTTTGATATTGTCCCCTATATCACCTAGAGAAGGCACACCTCTTTCTCTAGAAGAGTATTGTTCAGAGCATTTAGGAAGCATCTCTCCCACGTTCCGTTGTAAGGTCCATCTCCTTCTCCTCAGGACGCCTATTTTTGCTGGATCCTCTATAGATTTGTTCATTGCATATTCTTCCATTATCAATTCTGATTCTATAATTGAACACAGTCCATTTTTAAACTTTTATTTTTCTACTTTCTCATTTTTCTACTTTCCTTTCATATTTATGTTAGTTGCGAAGTTGTGTCCGACCCATCGCGACCCCATGGACAACATTCCTCCAAGCTCTCCTGTCCTCCACCATCCCCCGAGTCCACCTAAGCTCAAGCCGACTGCTTCAGTGACTCCACCTAGCCACCTCATCCTCCCCCTTCTTCTTTTGCCCTCAATTGTTCCCAGCATTAGGCTCTTCTCCAGTGAGTCCTTCCCTCTCATTCCTTTCAGGTGTGTGTATGTGTTTAAATATTTATATCCTGGGTTTTTTCTTATGAATTCAAAACAGAATATTTGGAAATACATCCCCAATACATATGTATTTTCATCTCAGAATTGTCTACCATACTTAAAAAGCTACTTCAGATTGGAAGAAGTATGGGAATGTGATACACTGATAAGCACAAGAAACACTCTTGAGAAACCACATGAAGAGATTAAACTAGAAAAGCAGCTGCCCCCCACCCATAAACCAGGGGCATCATGTAATACTAAAAGTGATTAAATTTCAAGTTTCACTTTAAAAAGCAGCCAGTAACATCTGAGTGTAGCATAGGGGACCATTGTTATCAAAGATTAAACTTCTCTTACTACTCTACTTACCAGTTATCATAAGGATTGTTAACAGTGAATTTACAGAATTTAATGGGGTGCTGTAGAACAGCCTTGCTCAACCTTGTGCCTTGCAGACACGCTTAGACTACAACACCCAGAACTACCAGTCAATGACCTGCTGGATGGGAATTCTGGAAGTCGTGGTCCAAATGCCTCTGAAGTCCAATAGGCTGGAGGATGACAAGGTTGTCAATGTCCCTGTTGTGTTTAAATTCTCCATTTTTTCAAGATTATTATCCAGTGGTACTTTTATTGAATGTGTCATGTCCCGCATGCTTGTGCAAGGCCAGTCATAAGCACCTGAGAATCAGAGCCCAAAACTAATGGAAAAAATAGCAAATTGCCTTTAAACTATTCTTAAAATCTAGGCAGGCCTAGTACTGCTCTTAGAGAGCTAGACGGGGAAAGCTGGAAGATCTGGGTTCCAGTCCTCCTTAGCCATGAATCACTGGGTGACTGTGAGCCAGACATGAACTCTCAGCCTAACCCACCTCACTGGGTTGTTATGGTGCAGATAAAAAGGAGCTATGTAAGCCATCGTGGGTTCTGCACAAGAAGAAATCTGTGGGATATAAATGCAATGCAATATAACAGTAATTTGGGCAGAAATATGACCATTCACTCTAGTATAACTGAATCAGATTATGAAAACAATTTATACCTATCAAGAAAGGAAAAGAAAGCGCACTTACCAAGTTGCTTAAAATTTTCCTGTATACCCCCCCATGTATTCTTCTCTATTATATTCTTGACAAGCCCCCATGGTTGCTTCTTGTATTTCACATCAGAATAAATCCTGTAGCAAAATAATATTAATAATGCTAGAAACATATTGGACTACCAGTAATCAAGTGGTGAGGTCTGCCTTTTCACTCACTTTGAGAAAAAAACAACAGTTTTTGTCATCCAAACTAGCGAGCTGCATGCATGAGACAAAGAGGCATGGTCGCTAGGTGACACCTTGTACACGCACTGTGATACTTGGAGGGAATGTACAAAATACTTAGTCGTTTAGCAGCTCCCTATTGTAATGCCATTTCAAATGATGGCTGAGCACACCCACTAGCTTAGGGTCAACTACAGCATGGCAAAGAGTTATAATGCAAAGGAAGCTGGAGAAACCTCACAGTGCCTGTTTCTGGATATGTTCAGTCTCCAAGGAGGGGGAAAGAAAAATTCATAAACACATATTTCCTTCAATAGGCATTTTTCCAACCAAAGTGAACAGAAACATTGACATTTAAATGTTCTTTTGTTCAGCTCAGCCACACTTTGACAATGACAACAAGAACAACGGTGTGAAGTGATTAAGTTCTACCATACTAAGAGCAGTTTTTTGTTTTTGTTTTACTGTCTCCAGCTTCCTTCATTCAGTAAAATGCAATGTCTCACCGTAGTCTGCACTTATGACTGGATATACGAGCAATACAGTAACTATGCACAGTGTAGAAGTAATCATGGTAAGGCACATCATGAGTCACCACCTCTGTGTCTATTCGATACGATTGATCTTTGTGGCTCCGTTTATGCAGGACCTATTAGAAAAGTAGGAAAGACTTGTTATGATAGAATGAAATCATAAGGAATTCTTCTAGCTAAGTTAAAAATCATTAGTAGATCTAATGAATAATACAAATAAATAGTACACCTGTACTATTTATTTTCCCTTGGTGGAATCAACATATTTCTATTAAATTTAGGATCATCTAAAACTGAAGCTAATGGTGATTTAGGTAGATCTTTAAACTTCCCCAAGAGTCTAAGCAGAAAGTAAAATATTTTACTGCTACTGACCTTACACTGATACTTAACCATAAACAAGCTATGCAAAGGTATATTGAAACAAGCTTCTTCAAATGTTATCATTAGAAAGCCAAGATTCTTTCATTCCGTCAGCTCTCTGGTGACTATAAATAGCAAATAATATATTTTTGTACTTGAAACAGCTAGTACCCCTGCTTTCCCCAGCCTGTAAAATAAGTGTTTTAACCTTAGGTGGTGGTGCATTTTTAAAAACTTTCCCCAAATAAAGATATACTAAGTAATTAATTTTCTTCTGATAATCATTTTTAGAATCAAGATTGCCACACATGATGTGGACAGGAATACTGTGAAAATTTTAAAAATTCAGAAATTACCTAGAAAGAATGTTAACAGCTCTAAGAAAAATGACATATCTGTAGCTTAGAAGGTTGTGAAGCAAGAAAGGTGGGTTCTTCCAGAACATAAGAAACAGTACTTAACATTCCAGTGCTATGCATAACAGAAGCATCTAGTGGGTATGACTAGCAATTAGATAGACCTAGGCAAAACCCAGTCCCTTGAAAAATACAAATTGACATTGCAGTTACAAAGCCTGGAAGAGTACATAAACAGGAGTTGGTAGCAAAAGAACTTTCTGACAGTCTGTTTTAGGGCATGGAGATGCTAGCTCTTCTTCCAAGAACACAGTCATTGATGAGGGTTTCCATGCATTTGGTTTGGCCAGATAAAGTAATTCAGAAAAACTTATCAATATGTCCAAATTAGATATGAATAAAGCCATATTCAGGCATTCTGTACCTGAACAGGGCAAACACACAAGGAGAGGAAGCACTCTAGTCCACCTTCTCTCCTCAGTCACCTCCATTGCTCTCACTCAACTCATGGAAAATAATCCTCTGAGGAGGAGAGCAGCCCATGTGAATCAGAATGTTGAACAGCTGAATAGAGCTTAAGTCAGCAAGGAACAACAGCTTAAACAAACAGAAAAATGGTATTTGGATTTGGCTGCCACACAAGGAAATCTCCACCAGTAATGCTCTGTACCTGCTTTTCAGTTGCAGTTGTGAATTTTCCAACAAGTGGATTGTTAAGCACAATAGTGTATGTCATGGTCCTCAGCTGATTGCCACCGCTGTCTCTGTTCCAAGGAGATGATACCATATCTAGATCCAAATATGTAATAAATCATGCTTGGCCATTTAAACATATAATATAATCATAGTCCTTAGTTGGAACTGGCTTTGGTGAAATAAATTCCCTCCCCGCAAAACAAAACACAAACAAAACCACAGATGTTATGTATGAGTATGACTATTCCATCTTGTATATCCATCTAGGGGTGGGAAAGTGGGTTGAATAATGATATTTAAGTCATTCAACACATTATGTATCTACTTAAAAGTAAATTGCATAACAATATTACTTTTCATTATTTCTCATATTACTTTCAGCAAGAAACTGATCTTTTTAAAGCAACATAATATAATGGTCTTTCAGTATAAATACTAAAAAGAATAAAAGTTTACCTGTTATATTTCTGGCACTGAGATACCTCTGCATGAAATGAGAATTGGTGAAAAGCATTTCAAACAGCCTATCTGCACCAATGTGGAAAACCCGATTAATAAAGAGTTTTCCATGGAGATCAGTCTCAGGGATACTTTCTTCAACTGGTGGAGAAGGGAGGATATGAAACAGATTAAGAAAAACTGCATGTACTATAACACAATCAAACATATCGAAATGTGGATAAACATGGATTCAAACTTAAGACACCATAAAAAAGAATAAATTGTCTCAAAATTAGATTTTCAAGACAATGTACAACCTTGCTGCAAGGTGTGGTTGTGTAAGAGCAGCTAAGGACAGAATAGGTACAAACATGAAGATAGTAGGGAAAATTCCCAGGATAGATGGATTAGGACCAGAGTATTATAAAAAGATGTTCATTCCAAAATTAAAATCTTTGGTTTAATGAAATATTGGAAGGAGGAAGGATGTCAGTAACTTGGAAATACTCTTCCATAGTTCTTAAACCTAATAAAGATTTGACAGATCCTGGGGCTTTCAGAGCTATATCTTTGATAAATTAAGATGCAAAAATGTTTACAATAATTTGCAAACATAATTTTATTGACACCTGGAGATGACCAGGCACTAATTCCACTTATATCTGTTGAAGGGTGGGTAAGAGGTTGAAATATTTATACCACCTACATGCTACTATATAAAGGTAAAGGTTTTCCCTTGATGTTAAGTCCAGTCATGTCTGACTTTAGGGGGTGGTGCTCATCTCCATTTCCTAGCCAAGGGAGCCAGCGTTTGTCCTCAGACAGTCTCTGTGCTCATGTGGCCGGCATAACTAAACACCGAAGTGCACGGAATGCTGTTACCTGCCCACCAAAGTGGTACCTTTTTATCTACTTGCATTTGCATGCTTTCGAACTGCAAGGTTGACAGGAGCTGGGACGGAGCAAGACAACTCACCCTGTCGTGCAGATTCAAACCAGCAACCTTTCGATCAACCAGCCCAGCAGTTTAAACCACTGTGCCACCTACATTCCTATGCTACTATATAGAGCAGCTCAAATGACCATCAGGGTTGGAATTCACTGTAGTGGAAGGCAACATTAGAGACCAATACAGAGCTGCCACTTCATAGGCCTGTAGAAAATCACAACATTCTACAATATTTTATTTATTCTGGGTTTAGGGTTAGGAAACTATCCCTGACAGCTAAAGGGAGCTTACACAGGAAATATTAAATATAAAAATAAAATAAAACTCTAAATAAAAACTAAACACAAAACAAAAGCATTGCCGATAAAAGCTCTACAACTTAAGTGGAATCCCTAAAGCAAAGGACCAGGGCACGCACGCGCGCGCGCGCGCGCACACACACACACACACACACAGAAGAGAGCGAGAGAGAGAGAGAGAAGCAAGAGGAAGAGACATCCAAGCACAAAGAAATATTATATTTGGACTGACTAAAAATCACAAAAGCGGTAAAGTGGCTTTCAAATTTCACATAGCTTTAATCATACTGAATACTGAAAGGAAAAGGCAGGAAGAGGGAAATGTAGGTGATGTAGCCTACATTTATAGCCTACTCCATTTACATTTATAGCCTACTCCAGTATAGTGGAGTAGGAAATGGTGGTAGCAGTCCTAGATGCAATATATAATTGTGCAGGTACATATGTAATATTATGTAATACAGAATAATGCAAAATGCAATATAGAAGGGAAGACAGAAGCACCAACTACAATACCTGGATGAAAATTTATTTATTTAAAACTTTTATATGCCGTCACCACATGCCTTGGCATCTCGGGATGGCTCACAAATGTACAATTAAAAACAATAAAACAATACAAATTCCATAAAATTATATAAAAACAAGAACAAAAACAAGAACAAAAATTAATGAAGACTGGAAGAGAAGGGGAAAAATAGTTAAACCTAATCTATTTGGGAATTGAAGATGAGCAAGATCCTTCAATCCTACTTCTAATACTGAAAAATTAGGGCTACAATACAAACCTAAAATCCATGGCTTATGTAATGGTGTCCATATAACAATGAAACTCTAATACACCACAGAGGAAACAGGGATGACACAATGTTCTCTTTATTAAGTATCCTGTAATATCCTAAAATATCCAGGTGTGCTAATTAGAGGAAATGTTGGGCCCCACAATTAATGCATATGAATATAATACACAGTGTCAGGTTTGTCAGATGATCTACTGTTCTGTTTGCTATAGTCTCATAGATACTGCTTTCAGAATATTCTTTAAAATGGCATTTCCATTCATATTTGGAATAATGTACAACTGTTATATGTTACAATTAAATTAGGAAATAGAGATTGAAAACACAACTGAAAATGTCACTCCATTAATAATGATATAGTGCACATGTCAATGAAAGCTTTAATTTAGAAAGGTGTTCATTTACCTCAGTTGATTGCTTCTTGCCCTTACACAGGCATCAATACAAATCAATTGTGTGCACTATTCTACATATTGTTCTTGTGGAATCTTAAGTACCATGATGGAAACTGAACACTTATCCTGTGGTTCCCCATAATCTATGATTCTATACATAGGGCTTTTAACTACTGGCTCTGTGTATAATGAGACTCCTTCCTTCCTTATTCAGGTCTGCTTGTTTCCTTCTCACAAGCATCATGTTAAATCTTTTTGGCCACATCCTTGATAGGGGAAGCTCTATGATTTGTAGCAATCTGTCACTGGGTTCAGAGAACATGATAATCCACACTCTATGGTTAAGTATGGTTTGTAATTTGACTGTCAGTTATCATGTTGTCTGAACCCAGCAAGACTAACAAATCATGGCTTGCTAACCATGAACAAACCACAAAGGGACCACAAGGTTTGTTGTTAAGCTGTGAACTGTGATTTGTTCACGGTTAACAAACCATGGTTTGCAAGTACAGCTAGGGTCGGACAATGGTATAACTCATGGTTCAGCAACAGCCACACCGGATCCCATATTCAAGCTGCAAGCATGCATTATTATGTTCTCTAAATGTAATCACTATAAATTATAGTATATGAAACCTATTTACCTTCCCCATCAGTTTCAGAGGCACTGCTCTTCTCATTTAGATCTAGTGGCTGTATTGAGCATTTGTGCTGTCCTGCATCAGCTGGCTTCCTTTCTGAAGGAAACGAAGAACTCCTCCTGTCCCGTGTAAAACTGGAAGATTCCTCTGCTTCTTCCCTCTAATAGAAGAAAGCCAAAAGTACCAAGCATAACATTATGTATTCTCATAGCCATCATACACATTTTAAAAGGAACTATAGCCCAGAAAATAAAATGGTCATACATAGTCCAAACCTTTCAAAGGAAAATAAAAAAAGGAAAGGAAAAGGTTGCTTCCAAAAACGACAGCAACAAAATCTTGAATGCATAGGTTAGAATATACATTTCCTTTAAGAAACCTAAACAATATTACAAGTCTGTTCTGCCCCTCCCACCTTTGTAGTTTTTTAAACCATGTTAACACCTGATGTTATAATGTGCGGAGTTAAACCATAAACAGCCGAAGCTGAAGGAAAGCGCTCCTTGCCACTGCTGTCACCTGAGCTTCCAATGAAAGCTCTGGGTCGAGGAGCACTCCCAGGCTGTGGACCTTGTCCCTAAGAGGGAGTGCAACCCCATTCAGGACTAAGTTCAAGTCACCCTCTCCGAAGCCCAATCCGCCAACCAACAGGACCTCCATCTTGTCTGGATTGAGCTTCAGTTTATTGGCCCTCATCCAGCCCATTACCTCGGCCAGGCACCGGTTCAGTACAGCCACTGCCTCACCTGGATTGGTGGAAAACGAGAGGTAGAGCTGGGTATCATCAGCATACTGATGATTCCGCAGCCAACACCTCCTAATGACCTCTCCCAGTGGTTTCATGTAGATGTTAAACAGCAAAGGGGACAAAATGGACCCCTGCGGTACTCCATGGCATAGCTGTCATGGTGCAGAGCCATAGTCCTCCAGCACCACCTTCTGGAATCGGCCATTGAGATAGGAGCGGAACCACTGCAAAGCAGTGCCTCCAACCCCCAATCCTGCTAGCTATCCAGAAGGATACCATGGTTGATGGTATCGAAAGCCGCTGAGAGGTCCAGGAGAACCAACAGGGACACACTCCCCCTGTCCTTCTCCCTGCACAGGTCATCGTACAGGGCGACCGAGGCAGATTCAGTACCGTACCCGGGTCTGAAGCCGGACTGAAATGGGTCCAGATAATCAGTTTCATCCAAGAGAGCTTGGAGTTGTCCCGCCACCACCCGCTCTAACACCTTGCCCAGAAACGGGATGTTGGCCACTGGTCTATAATTAGTGGCCATCTCTGGATCCAGTGACGCTTTCTTCAGGACCGGTCGGACTACCGCCTCCTTTAAAGGGGCAGGCACCCAACCCTCCCTCAGAGAAGCGTTAACCACTTCCAAGATTATGAGCTACTTTAGAGTTGCAATGAATTCAGGGATGAAATAGTGAAAATTTAAAAGCATTTTCCAGGTTTAAAAGAGGAGTTATATAAATGAGGTGCCTTATTTCCATGATAAAAGCCCTATGTTGAAGATAGCATACACTCTAGGTTCCATGTGAACAGGAAACACACGAACAGGTATAAAAATGTTCCTTGAGGCACAACCCTGAAGCCAGATATGTTGGCTGAAGCATGCTGAAAGTTTTAAGCCATAAGACTGCACCTTTAATAAGCTGACCTCTTTCACTATATTTCCATTAAGGGACTCTGTTTCAGCTTCAGGTATCTGAGCAATCGGTTCCTGAATTACACCAGTTGTTTTAGGAGGGTCCTTCTCCTCAAATTCCTCACAAAGGCTTGATCTGTCAGAGACAAAAATAGTAGTAGAGGTAATTGACACTTACCTCACATTGTCAATAGCATTTTGGAATTCCTAAGCTCTGAGTCCAGCACTGCTGCCTTATAACATCCAGTCTCCCTACTGGCCAGAGAATTTGTTTTTTTTTTCTTGTATCTTTGAGAGAATATCAACTTTTAGAGTTTGTCAAGAGGTAGAAAAGTTACTTGTGTTGTAGAGTAAGCATAACTATCAAACAAAGCTGTACATCGCAGGATGAGAAGAACATTTAGGTTGATCCTAAGGAATCTCAACTCTTTCCTATTTACCATGAAAGAAACAATGATGCATGCATGTTGTATGTGCACATTCATTCATTCATTCATTCATTTATTTATTTGGACAACTTGTATGCCACCCCATTCGCATATGCCTCGAATATACATATGTGTATGTCTGTGTGTATGTAGGCAGTCCCCAAGTTACAAACAACCTGGACTTTTAAACAAACTTCCACAACACCTTTTAATTTTTTTAAAAAAATCCAGGAAATTGTCATCATTCTAGAGGGAGGAAGGAAGGCCTGCCTTGCCCATCCAGAGAGGTAAATCTTTCTGGAATTTCCTTGCTGTGAAAATGAGGCACTGGTGAGTTTGTGCCACAGGAGAGCTAGAGATATTCAGTTTTTCTACTCTCATGGGGAGTCCTGTGCCTCTAACAGTTGCAAATGTGGAGGGCCAACTTACAAATAAATTTGACTTAAAGATGAATTCCATTTTCTCAAAACTGGAACTCATTCATAACCTGGGGACTGCATGTACAGTAGGCTCTCTATTTTAAAAAAGAGCTAAAACAGCTCTCTTGTTATCCAATTAACTTCTGCAGTATTATCTATTTCTAGAAGCAGAAGACACTAAAAGATGGATTTGTTCTTACAGTATGTAACCTAACCAGGCAAGGAGAACTTACAACTAAGCTGATGTATGTGATTAAACAAATATGATGTGGGAATCAGCCCAACAACTGGTAAAAATAGTACCTTTGAAAAGGAGTATGTAATATTCCCAAAATTAAGTGAGACACTGGATACATTTTAGACTGAGAAGACTATTTTCACTGGATATACAACATCATGCTTTCTGGCTTCTCTCTCCCCCCTTTGCACTAGTTGAGACATTGCCATCTGCTCATACAAGCTATATAACAGCACCCACACCTGTAGCAACCCTGAACATATTTAAATGCTCTTATTTCTGCAACACCTCTTGTGTGGAAACAAACAGCAGTCCCACCATTGCCATGTTTACCCTAGAAGTTATATATGTGCATCTGCATATGGCTGGACAACACATAGAGTTGAAAATTCCTACATATTAGTGCTTCAATAATCAATGTTACCAGGGCAGTCTTTTTGGCAGTCAGTCCAAGTGAAGAGTAATAACTAAACTAGACCAGAATTCAAAGGTCAAAATAAAAGTTAGGACACTTTTATATCCACACAGGAAGACTATCTTACCAAAAGACACAAAACACAAAAAGTGAATCTCTGTGTACTTTCAAATCATAGATGTCCAATGGTGTATATAAAATGGAACATCAATAACACATACCTTTTTGTGGTAATCTACAAATAATGCCTTACCTCAACTGTCCATTCTCCTCAGATGACAAGTACATGTTTTCCATCTCTTCTGTGTTCAAACCCAGCTCAGAACCATAGCTCTGGTGTACAAGTTGCCAGAATTCCTGCTTGGTTAGCCTCTGAAAAATGGAAGGTGAAAAATTAAGAATATGTCTCTTCATAACCACAGTAGGCTTCTTCTTTTTATGTTAATGCACTGCTTACACAGAAGTAATAAATCCTGTTATTAAAGAGTTCCTGCTTTAACATTTGTATTAGTAAACTCAGTTTCACAGTACCAAGCTGACATTTCTAGGTGAAAAAATGAAAAATAAGCATCAGTTCTAACAGACCCACTGACTCCTCACAACATAAGCTAACCAATGCAGTGCCCTAATTAAAGGTGAGGGGAAAAATCCATTGTCTTTAAAATTATAATCTGCCAGTATTTCTCCATACAGCCACTGAGCTCCAAGACCACTATAATCTTAGCCCCTCTCACCCTGATTCCTGAAATAAAAAGATCCAAGCCATTTTAAACTGCTGTGAACAGCTGCATCCTCTCAGCTGACATTAGTTGCAGAACAATATGGCAATTCCCTCTTAGCCAGCTGCCTTTAGGTCAAGTAGCTGCTCAAGTGCTAAAGAGACCCCAGTCAAAAGAGGATAGCAAAACGGTATATGAAGTAAAGGAGAGTAAGTGATCAAAGCAACTACCAAACTAACAGTTTACCATCTTAAAGATTATGTACCCCCGCCCCAACTTATAATGCTAGTTTTATGTTCTTTAGTTTTGGCAAAGAGATGGTATCCCAATGTTACCATTTCAGGATGGAAGAGCACTCTACTTAGATATAGCTAGTAGGTTGCTGAATTTAAAAACAAAAACTTTTATATTAGCATTAGTGTGGGGTTAAATGGAGCCATAAGCCTTTTCCTCACTACAATCCAAACGTGGATTGGGGGATCATTCCTGGAATATGTATTGTCAAAGAGTGCTCCACTTGCTTAACTGGATCACAATCTGGCAACTGAAGCTGCAGGTGCAGAAGAGGATGATCTATATCAACCTTCCCTAAGCTTGTGCCTTCAGACACATTTGAACTACAACACTCAGAATTCCCAGTCAATGGCCTTCCTGGATGGGAATTCAGGGAGTTGTGGTCCAAATGCCTCTGAAGGCCACCAAGCTGGGGAAGGCTGATCTATACCTAGCTGTGGGTCCTCATCAATTTGTGATCCTTTGTTTACTCTAGAGAAGAAAAGATACAGCTTCTAGTTATGTCTTCAAATAACATGTGCTTTGGGTCTCAAAATTTCACATTGGCTATGCCCAGTTACTAACTACAACTCAGTTACTCTTCTCCATGTCTCCTAACTTTGAAAAAGGAAATCTGCACAAAACTGCCTTGCAAAGGAAGTGTAAAGATTATTTAAACAATTACTGTTAAGCAGCGCATGCCGGGTGGGATGAAATTTACTGAAGAACACATAGTAGTTCTAAATACTGACCAATATATATCAGAAAACTTTCAAAACTTTCCAGCTACCTTTTCCTTCTAGTGCATTACACAGAACTAGTTTTGAAGGGGGGCGGGGGTCAAATGACTGCACACCAGCTAGTCAGTTGCAGGCTGTATATTGTCAGGTGGATGTTTAGGAGCAATACATAGAAGGTGGATTTGCAAATCATGCACAGTTTATTCAATGGGGTGGTTGTCGTGAAGTGCATAAACAACCCACAGTGCATTCAACTGATCATTAGGCTCACCATGGGTTGAATGCCCCCCTTCACTCTTGGTCCTCTCTGGTCATCCCAGGGACTCTACAAACAAGACTCATCTACCCATCTTGTCTGCCCTCCTCAATGCAATTGCAAGCTTGATGTGGCTTTCCCCCCCTTTCCCCCCCTTTTTTTCCTTTGTCAAAAAAACAGTGAATCCCAGGTGAAGCTTGCCATTTTAGACCTGCATAAGTGCACTTTGTAAGTCTTAATAAATACAATTATTATTAATCAGTAATAAACTAGTATGAAAAAAATCAATTTTCTTCTGTTATTTTTAAAAGTGCTTCTTCTCCATCTCTACTTGAAGATGTCCAGGACTGAGCCTGGAACATTATACCTGCAAAGCATATATTCTACTGCTGAGCTAATGTTCTTCTCCCATATGAATATAGCTGGAATTCAGGATATCCTCACAAGATGCAAAAAAAAAAAAAAAGTGGGACGTCATCATCATGAATTAATGGTAACTAATTGCTATTTACATAAAATTAGAAGCAGTAATTAGCTCAAATATAAAAGGCCCATCCCGAAAGACAACCATGCTACTTGTATTAGCTGTACAAACACAATAACCAATCTGACATATTAGCATGGATCCTATATAAGGAATGCAGGTGTGGGGTTGTGGGGTAGAGGAAGATAACCATTCCAACAAAAAGTTCCCAGTCAAAATAATATATTCACATAACAAAGAAAATATTTTTGGCCCTACGAGAATCCAGACTTAAGATTAACAGATTCCTCGTACAGCTCTTTACATCTGTGCTCACTCTACATTATTTACCTGTAATATTCTGTGTGAGAAGAGAATAAAACCTTACTTTTACAGTTCCAAAACGAAGGCAACTTCATTCTGACAGTCTGGAAACTGGACACAAACTCCAAGCAAAGGCAGCAGAATGCACATAGGAGCTGAAGAGACTGTCCCTTTATTGGAAATCATTCAGTATTGCCCCACACTTCCTGTAAAACCATTGGACTTACAGGCCAGACTGGAAGCAGATTCCAGGGCATGCTGCCTCATTTTCATCAAAATCACCATGCCTCCACAGAATGCTCCAGTGGCAAAAATCTTAAAAGGGATCAAGATGGACTTAAAAAGAAAGAAAACGGAATACCCTCAAGTCTTGAGAGAGAAAGAGTTACATTTACACTACTTCCGACTATAGCCACCTTGAAAGGTACTGACAAGTGGGCAGGTCTTGCTTTCAGAACTGGAAGTTGTGTTTTATTTCTGTCCGGTTTGTGGGCCCCTCCCACCAAGGAAACAAGCAAGCAGGGCTTGTGAAGTCTAGTATTCTTAAGGCTCCATCAAACATTTCCTCCTCTTTCTCTTACACAAAACACCTGGATAGACACGTAAGCAAGAATGGTCTAAAGTGATTTCGAGGGAGATTTCTGCTCCTCACACACGCTGTTCACTCAAGAATGCTGCCTGTTTCTACACCTATCTGACGATCTACAATCTCTGCCGCATTTTCAAAGCTGCTCCCACTAATGAGGTATAAGTTTCATTCAAAGCCGGTCAAGCCACACTTTGTCACAATAGAAGAACCCGAACAGCATTCCTGAACTGAGCGTCCTTATCAGGTTTCTCTTTACTCTTCCACAAACATGCATGTATACACATATACCACTGCAAGCTGTAAATGGAAAGAAAATCACATCTGACTAGAATGCCCATACGCCCAAGTACCTCTGGAAAAGCAAACAGTCTTTATGATTTTTGTACCCTGTGCCATGACTGACCCTCAGTTTTCTGGATTATCTAGACAGGGAACACAGTTATTGTGATTTATGATTTACACTCTCATAGGTATTATGCATTTGTTAGCATTTGCTATGGAAGGATTTTCATCATAATGTTGCCAGCTCTAGAATGTGAAGCATGGTGCAAGCCATTCCTTCACTATTAGTAGGACCTTTCTGTTATCCGTCCACAATATGGGGCGTGCGCATGCGCACGCGCGTGTGTGTCCTTTTAAAAACAACTTTATTTTGGTTTGTTGCTTTGTATACACTAAAACAAACTTTTCTTCTTCACTATCTTTGTAATAATAATAATAATAATAATAATAATAATAATAATAATAATAGAAGTTTTTTGCATTTATGTTGTGAAGGTATCCTCAAAAATGTGAATCAATTCTGTAAAAAAAACTGTGCAGATGTGTATGCAACACAAAATTCTAAGGTATCCACCACCTTTTGCTAATAACAAACGAAGGGCACTGCTGGATCAGTTCAATGATCCAGCTAGTCCAGCATCCTGTTTCCCTCGCTGGCCAACCAAATGCCTCTTGGAAGCCCACAAAATTGTCACCTCCAATTGCTGCTCCTCCTCAACTGGCATTCAGAAGCATGCTGCTCAACCCAGTTGTGCCCAATCTCTTTAGTTTCTTAAAATACTAGAGTAAACCAATTTCTCAAGCATTGCAGCAAGATTATGAGTAGGTGCATGCATTTGTGAAAATGATACCCAGGAAAGAAACAATGCAGTCTTTGTAGGCACACAAACATCCAAAGGTATTCTATTGTTTATTCATCCAAAGTTAAGAAGACTTAAAAAAACCCCTGGGATTTCAAGATACCTGTTGGTCAGTATCAATGGTACTGTTGTGATACCATTGTGGTACCAATGGTATCCTAACCCTGACCTGAACATGCAAATAGCTGTTTTGGGTGGCAGATTCCAGAGGGGACACTAATATGATACCTCCCACTATCATCAACATTTTTTTAATGTCAGCAAGCTTTGACCTTCTCTGCTGCTCTCAAAGTATCTATGACTGGCACTGTGGCTGTATTCTTTGCAAACAAAGTGAAAGCTATTGGCTTGTACACTCATAGAAGCACACCCCTCCCATGAAGTGTGCTCCGGGAGCCCTCTTTGAAAGAGGTCAGGAGACAGAATACTCAGAGGAGGGCCTTCTCTACACTGGAGCCCCGACTATGGAATGCGCTCCCTAGAGAAGTCCACCTGGTGCCGTCATTATATGTTTTTCAGCGCCAGGTCAAGACCTTTTTATTTGGACAATATTTTAACATATAGTAATTTTAATTGTGCAAGACTTATTTAATTTATTTTAAATAATGCTCACTGTGGAATAGCTAACTTATCTTATTTTATTGAAGACTGAAATAATGTTGAAAGCCGTCCAGAGACGACAGTAATGGACGGCCTACAAATTTTTAAAATAAATAAATAAATAATAAATGAAGTGGGTTGAAAGCCCCTTGGCAGATCAGGTGGTGCATCCTGCATGCTCACCACCACGAGTCCCAAGACTGCCACTGCCCTGTCCCTCTCAATGAGGAAGGGGGTAAACAAACAGAGGGGAAATCATAGCACCTGGTACAGTTAAATTAAAATGGCTGCAGTCTCCTCCCATTATATCATTTTAAAACCATGACTAAACTCCATAGCTTAAACATCAGTTACTTTTTCCTCTCTATTCCTCCCTTTTGCTTTGTTTAACCCTTCCCCTTTTTGTGCATTGTTTACTATCCAACCTGGTGAAGAATTCTGGAGAATTTGAAAGTTTGAATGCTATTCTGTGATCTTTGAAATGAATTCTGTGATCTTTAAAATGACATTGACCTAAAATACATTCTGGATTTTTCCTTATGACCCACACAGTCACCTTTGCTTTTCGAAAAATGTAAGAACTAGTAAAATATCTGTACAAAGGTTCTTATGCAGCATCATAAAAGTCAGACTGGCAAAGCATCAGAAAGCCAAAAAATAGAGCATAAGAACAAATCACTAGCAGTGTATGTTACAATACATTACACTCCACCAAAACTGCCTAGTGCAAGCATTTTGCAAATGCATGAAGAAAGGGAGTGTGGAATAGTGGTTAAGAGCACAGGTGGGACTCAGGTAATCTGGGTTCTAGTCTCCGCCCAGCCACAGAACTCACTGGATGACTTTGAGCCAGTTACAGACTTTCAGCCCTGGGTATTTGTTGTGGGGATAAGATTGAAAGCAGGAGAAGGTGTAAGCTGCTTTGAGTGTGTTGGGGAAAAAAAGTGAGATAAAAATCTAACAGATAAATAAAATGAAGCTTACCTTCTCTAGCAATGCATTCTGCCATAATCGAAAGATAATGAGGTAGCTTCTGTCCCTGGCACTGAACGAAGTGAAGAAAAACTGTAGAGCAGGAGGATAATCCACATGTAAAATTTTGAAAGACTCTAAAAGGTATAGGTCCCTGTTTTAAGACAATATATGGAACTATGGCCAATTTATTTCATTGGAATTCATTTCCATTTAATTTTAGGAGGGCTAAGTTACAAGGGGATGGCAGAGGTTGAGGTGGCTAGATGGGGTCACAAGGGTGGTGGGTGTGGGCTTGGGTGGACTCTGAGGGATGGAGGAGGTCAGGATAGCCTGGAGGAATGTTGTCCATTGGGTTGTGATGGGCTGGGCATGACTTTGCAACCAAACAACAACAAAATAACAAGATCAGCCATTTACAGTGTGCTTCTATTTGAGAGTAAGTTCCTTTAAACACAATGGGACTTATTTTGAAATAAGGTAAAGGATTTCACTACAAATCAGCTAAAATGTTGAGCTGATACTTAGATGCACAGAACAATCTTATTTATATAGGTAGTCTAAATAGGTCGCTTCTCTGAGACCGGGAAAGCCTCTTGTCTGTAAACCTTGGAGTGCTACTGCCAATCAGTACAGAGCCATCCCCAGCGTGATGCTTTCCAGTTCTTTGGACTGACAGCCCCCATTAGGCCAACGACCATGGCCAATGGTCAGAGCTGATGGCAGCTGTAGCCAGAAACAGGCTTATTTTCAGACTTGCTTGGTAGTCAGGCATATTAGTTTTTAAGGATCCCATACTTCAGCAATAGCTGAGATAGTAATATAACAAGTTTTAATAGCCAGCAATAATGTCAGTGAAGTTCAAGCGATGTTGACATATGTGATACAGTTCAACAGACACAAAATGCCTAATAACCCCCTCTTCTCTAAATGTATCATCACAATAATGTATTGCTTCTGGAAAATGTTCCGAAATGATAAACCCAAGAGGAAAGATTTTTCAAAGATGGAAAACAGTATCTCAGAATTCTTGAGTATTTAATTTCAATGTTTCATCTCTGGGTTATTCTTAGCTAACTCTGGAGGCTGCAAAGGTATGAGAAAGAAAACTGCTAACAGAGCAGTTAGCAAAGGTATGAGAAAGAAAACTTCTAACAGAGCTATTATTCATACCCTTCATTACTGCTTCTACTTCCACATTAAACAAACAGTACTGAAATTAAGGCACTGTCTGCTGTATATTTATTTTTATGAAAAAAATAAATAATGCATTAAAGAATGTCACACCTTCTCTCCTTCAGTAGCAATTTGGATGGCATTTGGAATGAGCCGAGCAGTCTTCTCTTTTGTCATGAAGGTTATGTCCTTCAAGGCGATAGAAATCTGAAGTTCAAAACACACATGTGAAGCAGAGGATATAAAAGCTCAAACAGGAACTGCAAAGGCATGCTAAAGTATCATTCATATCAAACTATCATTTTCAAACCTGATGCCATTACAAACCCCTTTCCATAGCAACTTGTCTGCCACAGGTACTGCAGAGGATTCTAAGGGCATGTTCTTGGCCCTAGAAGATGGAGGCAGCTTTTTTTGCCTTCAAAGGCTGTTGTTTTAGCTGGGATAACACAACTGTGATAGGTAGGACAGTGTACAGAAAGAATCATCCACATGAGCTAACCTCCCCCTTTAAATCATGCACCTCAGCAGTTCACAATGCCTAGGGTAACACTTATTCTCTTTTGCAGAAGCTGCCCTATTTAAATACAGTGGTACCATGGCTCATGAACTTAATCCGTTCCAGGAGCCAAGTTAAATTTCCCCATAAGCTTCAATGTAAATAAGGTTAATCCATTCTGTAACCATTTTTTTTAATCAAAAAAATGCGAAGCAAAGTGACACAGAACAACAAAGATCGTGGCCATTTCCCCCCCACACCCCGAGCACAAGCGCGGCCATCTCCCCACCCCACCCCCAGCATGACCAAGATTGTGCCTGTCATCCCTGCATGATGGCGATCGCGTCTGTCATCCCTGCACACACCTGTCATCCTGGTGCGCTGGGGAGGGGAGAGACGGGTGTGATTGTGGGCACATTGGGGGAGAGAGAGAGAGACGGGCACGAATGGGGCACACCAGAGGAGGGAGAGATGGGTGCGAACGGGTCGCGCTGGGGGAGGGAGAGATGGGCGCGATCTCAGCCATCTCCTCACCGCCCCCCGAGTGGGGAGATGGCCACGATTGTGCTGGGGATGGGAGGGAATGGCCAAGATTATGACTGACTTTCCTGCAGGAGCGCGCCTGTGATCACGCACGTCTTCCCTGCATGAACACAACTGCGATTGTGGCCATCTCCCTACTCGGGGGGGGGGGGGGGAGATGGCTGCGATCTTGGTCACCACCCAATGCAGAGTTCACGACCCACATCAAAATTTTCATGAAATTTTTGTTCGCGACCTGATATGGTTGTGTACCAAGGCGTTCGTGAGTCGAGGTACCACTGTATATCCTTTATTTGAAGGGGTATCCCATCCAACTCCAGTTTAAAGATTAAGAACTGTTAGCCACCAACCAGCAGAACTGGCAGCATAGACACAGGTCACAGGGTCACAATCTTCCTGCTGTGGTGAATTTGGCCATATTTGAATTTGAATTCAAGCTAAACTGTTCCTAAATTTGCATATGTAGGGATAAATTAGCATTTGGAAAACTGTGTTGTTTTCTTTTTAGCAGTTTGTTTCCCCTTTTTATGATGAGAAGGCCATGGCAGAGTTGCGTGTTGCCAAAGAGTGTCATAGAACATGTTGCAGACCATGTGCTTGCTGCTGCTGGAGGCAGAGTCATTCATGCACTGTAACTACTGTGTGTGGGGGGTGCCATTTTATGATTGTTTTTCTTGCTTTAGTAATATATATTTTGATTATTGCTTTTCGTGCTAGAACTAAAATAAACCTCCTTTCTGATCTCCATCAATGTGACAGTGTCTCAGAAAATGTTTTAAATCTTTGCTTTTAAGTAGTGTTCTTGCATTATCTTATAGTACTATAATACCAGAAGGATGAGTTTTCTCTAATTTCTTGAACACTCCATGTTACAGAACTAAGACATTATAGCAAACATTGTGAGAGCTCAGTCACAATAGACTCCTTTTTCAGATACATTTCCACCTCAAAACCCTACCTTTTTAAAAAGGAAGAGCAGTGCTAACGGTATCTATACCAGTGAACATTATGTTCCCCTTCCATTTTTCAGATGACAGCAGTCTTTTTACAGTTTGGAAAAAACAGAACCACCACAGGGAAAATACAGGATGACAACGATAAGATAATTCATAACACATGAACAAATGATGATTGCCAACCACCTAGAGTAGAAATATTCATATTCTCTAGTTCAAGGATAGGGAACATGCAACCATTTAGACGTAGCTGGACTGGAACTCACCATCCCACACTATTGGCTATTCTGGCCACTATTGGCTATTCTGATGTGTTTGGAGAGCTAAGCTTTACCCATCCTTGGATCGGAGAGTATGGGCAGTTTTCACATAGTTCCTCTATGCTCTAAACAATGCAGTAGAAGAAATTAAAATCATACCAAGAACTGAGTGGCCACTTCCAACAAATTATGCACAGCCCAGGTTCTACTCTCCAGGCAAAGAAAAGTAGTGTCATACATCATTCAACAATGCCAAGTTATTCGCATATAGTGAACATTTTCAAATGTACATACATTTTTGTAATTTATTTAAAAGCTTCTTCAATGGAAAATGAACAGCATTTTAAGAAAGGAAATACGAGGCATAAAACTCTTCAGGAGGGGCATAAGAACGTAAGAGCCATTCTGGATGAGACCAAGGTCCATCTGGTCCCACAGTCTGACCACATGTGGTCATCCAGCTGCCCAAGGGAAACCCACAAATAGGACTTACACCTATTCTCCCAAACAACTAGTGTACCTAAGCATACTTAGGTACAAGTATTCCCTGATACTGGAGGCAGTGTATGCCCATTGGGAGTAACAGCCATTGGTATTCTTATTCTCCATGAATCTGTTGAATCCCAATTTAAAGTTGGTCAAACTGGTGGCCATCACTACATCATGTAGAAATGTATTCCAAAATTTAACTATCTGCTATATTGAAGAAGCAACTTCCACCAATAAGCTTCTGGTATTATAGGATTCTAGAATTACGACAGAATGGGGAAAATGTCTCCATATACACACTCTCTCCTTACACACATGCATGCATACACACGCCTTACTGTAGTCTCCCATCGGAAGATGTTGCTGTAGAAACAGAGCCAGTTTTCAGAAAGGTACAGCCGTCCTTGAAGAAGGATATCCTTCTGGAGGGCACAGGCATAATCTGAACAAGGAAGCCATAAAAGTGGTTTATCTTATTCATAAAGTTCAACCAAACTCATGAATTAAGTTATCAATAATGCCATGCTTTCCTGGAACTACAAGGAGCTTAATAAGTATTTTGTGGGTGTTTGTTAATGTTAAGAGGATTTCCTTTAACCTGCAATGCCTCAAAGCTTCACAAAAGCTTTTTAACAGTGCAACCATTTTAAGTTGTGCAAGAAATTGTGAGTGTTGCATTGCTCAGCAAACCTACATGATTGGCAAAACTATATACTAACCAGGTTGACATAAAAAGCATTCTGTGCTGGGAAATACAAACATGTTATTCTACATGCTTGCATGCATCTTAAGACATCATTTGACCCAGGGTATTTTAAAATGTCAGTTATTGGTCTAGACCTAACTTGTTACTTCACTGTTTTTGGAGAACAGTCTGCTGAAATAAGTTTGGTGTGTCCAGTTTTTAGTGGTGAGCCAGCTTTGGAAGCACAGCCTTTGGGTTTGTAAAGATCACCAGTCATATCTTATAATAGAATTCAAGAAAAGCCAGTTCTGCATATTTCTAGCAGAAAATAGATGTGCATCATGGTGCTTTCTGATTGAGTGGAAAGTGGTGACATCATTAACTTATCTGCCCACTCCTTCCTGAACCAGTTTTTCAATGTTTTAATACTTAGTGTCAGACTTGACATAGTATTAAATGTGTGAATGCATGTAAATAAGTTAATGCTTTTATAATCAGCTGCCAGGGGATTAGAATCAGGACTGTGCTGCACAAGTGGGGGCTGAGGGTGGTAATCCTTTCACCCCTACACTGTAATCCAAGTAAAAATCATTCCCCTTTGACCAAACCTGCTATTCTCCCCAGGAGGAAAGCTGACCTTGACTCTAATGGTATCTTCCCTCCCAGAGCAGTTTACAGCCAGGCACTATAGACTTTCCACAGGAACATGATGGGGAGTGGGGAATTAAACTGAACTTGAGACATTTTCCATGCAAAGCAGTGTGTTGTGTCTTTTTCCAAGGCCTTATCTGGTTCCACAAAGATCTCTTCCATTATAGGCTGGCTTGGTTTACAAACAAGTTGAGCTCTCAAACCAAACTTTAACTCTACACTTCAGCTGTATAAAGTTATAGAATGATCCCTGTTTCCCTGTCATACATTGGCCGGCCACTGATGAAACTTGTGGATCAGAATATTTCCTTGAAAAGAGATTTTATTTTGCTAGGAAAAAATTGCTTTTGAAGCAAGTTAATCCAGCTGTTTAATGCATTCTTTAGATTTGGATAGGCTGCCTCATAGAAAAACCAAATTGCTTTGCTCACTTTACTACACCAATGCAAACAACAGATTAGAAATTCAGGATAAAGAGGATTTGTTTATTGCACATCATGCTAATTCTCTATCTGGGATGGGCTATTTTAAAACATCAGATAATGTTTATATTTCAATAAGGATTCTTTTTCATGGGGCCAAGATAGCTTGTTTCAGAAGCTGTGCCAAATACCCAAAGGGACAAGATGAATAAGCAAGTACTTGCTGAACACTCCAACAACAACAGAGAAAAAATCCAAAAGATTAAAGAGCACAATGTCTGCACAGCTCAGGTATGCAGACATAAAATGAAAGCACACCTGAATTAAACTTATTAAGGTATTTATTCTACAAATGCAAGTGAACTAAGAGGAAAAATTAAGAGTCTCTTTTCAATATCTGCTATATGCTTCTTGAAAATGGTTCAGCAATATGGCCTGGTTCAAAGGTCACAACAAACCATAGCTGTGACAAGAATGCACCACAGTGGACATGATACCCTCACATTAGAGCACCTCTTCATCAGTGGAGTAACACAAACACAAATATCAAGTACTGGAGGACAAATACCAAGTATTGCTTCCATAAACTTTTCATTAACATTGGTGAGGTCTAACTTCAATTGATGGGCATACTTTCCTACACCCTCTTCTGGTATACTTTCAATAGCAAGATTCTTTATGTATACAGTTACTATGCATGGAAATTTAAAAAAACTGCCTACAGGGTTGCAATCTTAAAAGAAAAATCCATAAACAATACTTGATAGACCCACTACTTGCAACTTTTTAGCACATAGCTCACCGTCACTGTTATATATATATAAGTGACAACAACAAATTATTATTCAGAGTCACACATGAGTCTGTCTGGTGTTGCGGGTGAGAAAGATGGTTGCTTTCGGCACTCATTCTCAAGGACTGCTGGCTGGGTTTCAGAAGGATCAGAATCAGGATGTGAAGCAGAACCTGGGCAAGTTCAAGAGTGTGGGCTGAGGCACTGAGATGAGAGAAACAGAGGCGCTCTCCCAAAGCCAGAATTCCCTCAGTGGGCATGCAGTCACTAGGAATAACCAGGATGTATAGCTGGCAGGGGAGGACCCTGAACAGGGGAGCTTCTCAGATGCAGACCAGGCAGCCTTGGTTCCTGACCCCACGAATGGCATCAGCAGAAGACGACAGACCAATTAGAGGATCAGTGTGCAGAAAGGATGAGTGCTTGCTTTCAGAAGGCCCCTCCCAAAGGGATGGGGCCCAGGCATGCTCATAAGGAGAGTTCCTGGAGGTGAATACCAGATTGTGTTCAACAAACCACTCTGTGCCTGCTCAGAGATTCATTCAGGGTGATTTGTGCTTCTGGTGAATAAAGTATGCTTTTCAGGGAAAATGGTCTGTGGCTTTTGAATGCACAGTCTAGCTCACAACATCCAGCAACTGAAAAATAGCTGTATTTGACTATTGTGTGTGTGGTGGTAGTTGTTGTTACATGTCACCAAGTTTTCCTTGACTAATGGTGACCCTATGAATGAATGCCCTCCAAAAAGTCCTGTCCTTGACAGTCTGCTCAGCTATTTATTGATTAGAGTTATATCCCATTTTTTAATTTTTAAAGAACTCAGAGCAGCTGACATAATTCTGCTCTTCCTTTCAATCTTATCCTCACAACAACAACCCTGTGAGGTAGGTTGGGCTGAGAGTGTATGATCAACCCAAAGTCACCCAGTTGGCTCCATGGCTGAGCAAGGACTAGAACTCAGATCACTTGAGTCCCAGTCCTGTGCTCTTAACTGCAACATCACATGGCTCTCTGAACTCAAAGCTGTGGAATCCTTTATAGAATCGACCCATCTTGTATTTGATCATCTTATTCTTCTCTAGCAGAACTGTTTTCTCCAGTGAGTCTTGCCTTCTCATGATATACCTGAAGGGCAACAGCTTCAGTTTAATTTTATTTAATTTGCTTCTAAAGATTTGATCTAGGACTAACTTGTTTGTCTGTCAATCCAGGGTATTTGCAAAGCTCTCCTCCATCACCATATTTTGAACAGAGCGATTTTCTTCAAGCTGACTTTTATGGTAATTTTCCTTTTTTGGTTCTAATCATGTTATTTTTGCCATTGTGTTTCCTCTGCCTGGAGGTTCAAGCTTAGTTTAAAATAAAAATAAAAGCTAACATTTTGAGGTTTTTCAATAAAGCCTGTCCATCTCATGAATGGATCTTCTCTTACCTACTACAAGACTTTCCAAATCTGGAATATGTGAGAACTGTCTCTTGAATTCCTCATTCCTGTATTTGTAAGTGGAGCTTGAGATCTACAGAAATGAAAGATTGCACAAAACACTTATTTACCAGAGAAGGCCTTGTAAAAAACAATTATAGGAATTAATCAACATAGATAACAGTATTTGTTCAAAGTGAACTTAACTATGCACTGTCCCATTAAGTATAACCCAGCTTTCCTCAGGCCCAACAGAAACCCTGTTGCATTACAAACCCCATATTAAGAGCTCTGCTGAATAATGTACTAGAACCCTATTAATAACCATTTTAGTTGCCAGTACGCTATATGCAATTTAAGTTCAACAGTCAAGATTCCACAGACAACAGAATAGGAAGTTACTGTATGATCTCACTATGTCTTTATGACTTACAGTATGAAGTTAATGTCTCAAATACATTAATTAAAATGTAAAACAACCAGATTCTGCTATGGGCATTTTGGCTTTTTTTCACAGTAGGAACATTCACAAGATTCAACTGCCATTATAACATTTAATGGATAGGTTGTTTGAATGGATGCATGCCAAAATATATTTCATACGATCAAATGAAAAATAAAAATTCTCAAATTATGTTTGTGGGACAGGTACCACTGTGGTTCTTTTCCCAAGCCGTAAAAGTAAGAGAAGATGACACAGGCTACACAGCAGAAACTGTATGGCAGTGCCAAAAAAAGGGTGTGGGGTTTTTTTCCTTTAGAGCAAGGCTTACGTGGAGTGGGGCATATACTTAAACAGAATCATGCTTCCAGAAGCCATAATTTTAGTAGCAAATTTGGCAGCACAGAAATGAAGGCATGGGGTGGTCTACAGGGTGAGAAGAAGTTGTCCACCCCGATCTATTAATTACTTTTTCTACATGAAACTTTTTACCTTGCCTTTTCCAAGGCTTCACCTTCCACATGCTTTGCAGGATCAACATTATATGTGTTTCTCTGTCTTTCCAGATGCTGCATTATGTGACCACTAGGTGGTGCCCTAACAGGATTATGCAAATACACCAGTGTTTCATGCCACCATTCACAGAAATCCCAGACTTTTCTAGATGGAAAAGAAAATGCTGCAATTGTTTTAAAGCACAGGAGGAGCCCTGAGGAAGAGGAAAATGTAAAGCATTCACAAACAACAGTGAGTGAGGAATCATGAACAAAAAATAAATATCTCATATAGAAATGTTCACAGAAAATGCACTGTTTTAATCTCTCCACCCATCAAAAAAGCCAGAGTCAGTTTCAACTGAACCCCATTACTGTGTGTAAATCTTTCCACACATTCCATCTTAAATTATTTGTTCCAAAGCCTTTTCTAGAAGAATTAGATTGTATGCTATGTTTTGGTATATATCTGGTATACCCAGATTTTCATCTTACTATTTTATAGCTTAAACAACAACAACAAAAGCTCTTACCTACTATCACCATGATTTTATTTTACATGGCTATTCATCCTGTTGTGTTCATTAGGACTTACTTTCTGTTAATTTTACTTAAACAGCCAAAAAGGCTTAAGGAATAGTTGAAAATACCTAAATAAAGCATTTTACAGCAATATTATACCAAATATTGCCAGTGTTACATGAGACATTGCACATTTTATGAATATGTGGGAAGAGCAATTCTATGACCTCCAGACAGCATCTGAAGGGCCACAGGATACTTCCCAGATCCAGTATTAGAGGCAACACTACAGCCTCAGTGGAGTAAATCGGAACTCCAGCCACTGCTCTCATGCCTGGAAGGATCACTCTGGCTGCCTCTCCAAAGCTGGGCATTTTATTGCAACCAGTACCCTTAAATCATGCAATTGAGGTAGCCATGAAATATAGTCCTGCCCATTGCTGCATATTCCTCCACCACATCACATTTCCCTGGAAATATTGAGGCAGATAAAAACCTCATGTCACATCATCATGGCCCACATTTTGCTACCACTTGTAAATCAGCATCCAATGAACTGGGAAAGGGCATGAAAATGTCAGATTACACACTTTTCATAGCCAAGCAGAGGCAGGCAGCCCCTTATCCTCCAGTTGTCTTGGAGTGTATGTACCCTAAGGCCGGACCATTAGTCATGCAGGGTCAGGCTGATGGAGTAAGCCAAGTCACTGGGGACATCAGGGAGACATCCGTGGAGAATTGTGTTGGCAGCAAGCATGCATCTCCCTCAATATATAATTAGGTGTTCAGTAACAGAACATAGAGTAAGGATGTGCCAATACTTGCTGCCCTCTAAAATGGAGGGAGGTTCCCACAGTGTATCCTCTGCTGCCACCTCCCCCTTGGCTCATTCTAAGATCCTGAAAGTTACCTGAAAGTCAGGACTAGGGAAGGTAATAGCAGATATGCATCAGGCCCCAGACCAATGTGTTTTTTGTAAAGAGACTACAGCTATTTCTGGCACAAAGCTAATGCCATGCATGCTATTTCCTCCAAGGAGAAGGTTCCTTCTGGCAGAAAGAGTGCACAGGATCAGTAATCTGAACCTTGGTATGAAAAGATGCTCTGCTACCATAAGGGCACTGCCCACCAGAGTGGCTACTTCACATCAGCTGAAAAAAGGGGGAAATATGCATATACTAATTTGTATGTGTACATGCAATATTACATTTTGATTTAAATGTAAATATTACATTTCAATTTAAATTATAATTTTGGCAGAATGTGGAGACTATGATCTGGGTAGCCGCTGTTCAGCTGCTAGCTCTCGATAGGCAACTGTTCTGCTGGTTAATTAGGACAGGACAACCCTTCTAACAGAGAATGCTTCTCTGTCAGCCCTTCAGATAGAAGACTGTGTTCTATAGAAGAGGACACGTGGCCACCTTGGCACCATTTCCCCTTTCTCATGCCCTAAGGCAAGGGTCTCCATTCTTTTGGCACCCTGGGCATATTAGTCAATTTGAGTGGTGGAAAGAGTGAGGCTAGAGGCTAGAAGGGGTGAGAAACAGCAGGGTAAAGGAGAGGAGAGAGAGGTCAGGCACTGGGGAAAACACCAAGATAATGGATGAGTAGGAGGGAAAGAGCAGGGCTGGAAAGGAAGAGGAAGAACAAGGCTAGGGAAAAATCTGTGTGGATGAAAGAAGACTGGAAACTGCCAGGAAGCAACTGTTTTCTCCTCTTCCTTCCCCCTAAACAACTGATCAGTGACAGGTTCAGGACCAGGAAGAAGAAACTGGTATTGTAACATTCTAGTTTCAAAATAAATAAATATATTTTTGGAGAGGGAAAAGAGCTGTGAGCTTTCCGAACACTATTGGAAGTCTCTATGGGTACCAGAGCACCCACAGGCTCTGCGTCGGGGACCCCTGCCTAAGGTAAGTTTCAAGGCTTTGGCATGGGAGATGGTGGCAGTGGCTTGCAGAATCAAGGCAAGTCCTGTTCCTAATCCTCACACAAGTAGCTGAGCAAGGGCATCTGTTTTTGCAAGCATCCCCCACTTCAGTGAATATGACACCTCTAAATCAGTGCACTTCTTTTCCATCAATTAGCATTCAACATATCTTTAAGAGGTTCTGCCAGAAAGCTCACTCCTACAAGTGTTTTTCTAGAGATCATCTTACAGAGATAAAGGACCTTACAGTGCAGATACAGGATTAAAATAAAGGGTGGGTTCAAATGGCATGCTAAACCCTGAGTTACCTCCCCATCCACAGCCATCCCCCACCACCCAGTTATCCTAGGAACTCTGTGGGAGCATCGAGAAAAGCATGGATGGAAGCTGTCAGCACTTTTGGAAACAGTCGACTGCCCCACACTCCTGTCCATGGGGTCAGAGTAGGATTGCTCTGCAACCACCAGCAGGGGTGAAGCACAGGGGGACATCAGCTCCCTCACACTGGCTTCTAGCCCTTTCTTGCCCCTTCATGGCCCGGGTGGCAGTGCTTGCTCCATTGACAGGTTTTCCAGAGAATCCTACAACATGCATAGTTTATAAGCCTCCCCTACTCTGGGAAGCATGGGGAGATTAGATGGTGCACTAAGCACCCCCCTCCCAAGCCCTGGAGGCTTAACATGCCATGCAAACCTAGTCAAAGAGAAATGCACAAGGAGTCATTATCTTTTAGAAAGAAATGAGAAAAACATCTACTGGAAGTTTCTTCAACACTGTATCCAGTTTAAGAAATAAAGTTCCCTTTAAAGTCAAAGAGAATTTCTTTCAGTGCTGCACCCTAATTGCTGTTGTGTAAAGTAAAGACATCTGCAAACACATTCAAACCAACACACATTACCCAGACCAAAACAGCAGTGCTAAAAAGTAAAACTCTGGGGAGTTATTTCAAAGCTCACATCACACAAACAAATTCTCTGGAGTCCTAGCACTGCTGTCAGACTGTGCCTCACATAGCAGTCTCTTTGGAAGCATATTAAAAATGATGTCTCTTTTCCATAAACTGAGTAAAGACTACCAGGTTTTCAAACAGGTAGGAAAACTCTTAGACTGAAAGAAAAGACAGTTTATTTTAATCCTTCTTAGCCCTCATTCTTAACCAAGGAAAAGATAGTAGACTGTGAAATATCCTCAATAAATCTTTTCTTCTGTGTCCAACAACTGATTTGCTTTCTTGTGTATAATCTACATGTTGCTTTTTCCAAGCCACAAAACTCTTTTAGTTAACCACATTAATCTTTTAATGCTAATGGAAGGACAATAAAGACATTTTGATACATCTGCCCACAACATTAACACGCCTTTAGACACTCAGATTCTGATTTCTTTAGTCCATTTCCCTTTGTTAGAAATTCCTTTATCACTGGGACTTTCAAAAGTTAATGTAGCCATGGGGGAGGTGTGTTGCAGAGGTTGTTGGGGGGGTGCTTCCCCCCCCCCAAACCCCTTCCATTTGCCATGCTGGGGTGTGGAAGGAATACTGTTTTTTTTCCTCCTGAAGACTATATAGCAGAAGATAACTGAAACTGGGATAATAGCAGAGAAAAGGGAGGTAACATAACCATGCAGCCTAGTCTTGAAAGGAAAATCCAGCAGAAGAATATAGGAATATGACCAAATATTCAGCCCTCAACAATAAAAGGTCA